AAACAGTACATGAACAGCATCTTGTGTACAGTTGTGGTAGAGATCTGATATGTCTGTAAAGTTCCCAAGACAAAGCTCAAAAAGCATTTCTGAGGTTAATGTTAAATATTTTTTAATAATCAATTTGTTAACATTTCAGTCCGTAATGTCAACTTTAACATACAAGGAACATAGTTGCTATCCAATGACGCATTTCGATCAAAAATATAAAAATCACAGATTCCCTCCAGTTATCAAATTAATCGAAGCGAGAAGTTTATTGAATTAATCAAATAAATCATGTCAACATACAGGTTAGTTCTTTAAAGGTTTTTAATATCCATTCAATATAGAAATTAAGATTGAAGCTTTACTCTCGTGCCTACCTTTTAGTCATTCAAATTTGCACAATGTTTTAATTAAGTCTAGCAGAAGTTTCTAAATTTAAACTTCAAATTCATTAATACAGACAGGTCAGTTTCGGTAAAGCATCATGAAATCCACTGACCTTCATGTTTGCTGAAAAATTCCTATTAATAAAATTCTGTGGGATTTCAAAATAATAAACAGATGAACAGTTGATAAAGGTTTGATAATGTTGTAAATTGATAAGCCTTCACATCTTTTGTGGCTGTCAATCCTATATCGAAACGTTTAGCTTCATTAAAGATATGAGAATCTTGTTATTGGATATTGAAAGGCTGTGTGGGAAATTTTGAATTTTGAAAATATTTTATATGGAAAATAAAGTGACAAAAAGTTGAAATAATGAAGCATATGAATATCCAGATAAGCATGTGACCAAGGAACAAATGATTGAAGTGCTAAATTCCACGTGTTCTTTTTTATTTTTCATTTATTTGTGTAAATTATTGTAAAAGTATTAGTGTGTACTTAATTAAAGTACACTAACACTACAAAAAAGAACAAAAGGAAATAATTTAATTAAGTTGCATACTGATGAACGACCAAAACTCGCACACAAACCTGAGGAAGATAAATAATTAATTGAAAGACCCATACAAATTTAGAGCGAAGTTATAATAATGATTTCTGCGAGCACTTGTGAAGTATATGGCAAATGCCAAATTTAAAACAAAATTTTTTATGACGCAAAAAATTCTTTTTTTGATGATTTTTCGTAGAATTTGAACCTAAGCGGGTTCGAGTTATACTTCGATGGAACACTTTTGTTACATGTTTGTAAATCAAATATTTTACATATAATATAGGATTCAGTCCCAAATGTTTCGTTCGAATTCACTAAGCGACACAATTTAAAGACAGCAATGTTTGTACTCAGAACTTTATGTGGCACTCTGCATATCTCGGGATTGAGCATAAAAATCATATCAATTATATATTCACTTCATAGCTAGTCGATTATCATGAAAATGTCTCCAAAAGTGTAGTTTTAGATGCAAAGTTGCCATTCTTCTACTTTTTCTAAACACTTTGCATTACCAAATATGCCCAAAAATCCTATTCCAACAATAGCAGACTGCTTGGTGCCATAAAAATGACAACGAGACACTAAGATATTGGCTGATAATTTCATTTTAGTGTCGCTATAGAAATAAACTGTTGAAAATCTCTTTAATTATGGATGGAAGATGAAGAATTGCCAAAAGTTAATCAGATTATCTCTGTCTTATCAGACAAATTAATAAATTCAAGATCAAGTGAGCATTTGTTGGGTGGAAAGGATGAGGGTAAAGTAAATGCCAAAAATACAAACGTGAAAGCATAAGCAGGCAGATACAAAATCTTGTACATTTTATACGACTATGCTATATTAAATAATGATTATTGTAGCAGTAAATATAGAATAATAGTCACAGCTTCTGTAATCCGTTAATTAAATATACTTAATTAATTAGTCGCTTATCTATCTTACCATCAATGTCAGGAAAGGGTCTTGTTTAAATGATGTTCGGGATAAAACATTTTCAGATTTCACAAATTTAAGTTCCTTGGATTAATTTACTGTTTTTGGTTGACCAACTTACACTCTATGTTGAAGCATAAAGTAACAAAGTCATTTTGATGTAGCTTCGACTGCTGCTTTGTTCCAAATCAATCTTCATGGTTGTTGACAACATACCCAATTTAGATCTCGTTACTTATCGTGGAAAGTAGGTCAAGAAACACTGGTTTCCAAAAAGATCATCTCCAGCTTAGGATGTTTGCTAATCTAGTCTCATATCTACTACACTTTGCATTTAGTTCCGATCAAATCAATTCTTAAGGATAACTGTGTCAGGTTTTAAATCAACAAAAAATGATTCTTAGACATAGGCAGGGTGGGGAGATTTTTTGCGATTTAAATCAAAATCGCAGAATTTATTTTTGATTTTGATTTAAATCTCATTGAAAAATGATTTTAAAAAGCGATTTTTTTTTTGGGGATTTTGATTTAAATCTTTTGTATGAAAAATTTTTTTTTGAGGATTTTAAAATCCCTCCATATAAAGTTTTTGTATGCAATATCTCAAATTATTTTTCAAATCAACAGACAAAATCAAATCCGCTACAAAAAAAAATTTTTGTGGATGTAAAGGAAATAGGCAGTTCAAGTGCCTATTCTTGCTTATGACTCATTAAACAAACGTAGACTACTTTGGTACTGTAATAAAAGACATTTAAGATTTTAAAAGCAATGAAAGCAGGTAGTTCCTCATATAGAGTAAGATCCAGGCATGCTTGATGAAGTCAAGTTATTTAAATGTAAGCAGCAAGGCACAGAAGATTAAAAATCATGAATTGGATTTTGCGTAAGTCAAACAGCATGGAACCATTGGTTGCTGTAACCTTTATTAAAGATATGATTGGATCTAAAAGATCCAGTTGCAAGATTCTGTCCGAAAAAGGATCAACTGCATTCTTACTTATGAGAAACTGCAACTTAGAACTGTTGATTTGAAAAGTAATTTGAGATATTGCATACAAAAATTTTATATGGAGGGATTTTAAAATCCCAAAAAAAAATCTTTCAGACAAAAGATTTAAATCAAAATCCCCAAAAAAATCGCTTTGAAAAATGATTTAAATCAAAATCCCTTTTAAAAAGATTTTGATTTTGATTTTTGATTTAAATTACCCTCCCTGGACATAGGACATCATAATTGAATAACCCCCAAAATAAATAAAGTCATTAATTTATGTTTCTCTTAGAGATGCTCTTCTCTTCCCTTTTTATTATTTGTTATCATTTTTATCATCATCTACAGTACAAAAGTTTCATTTATTTTATATTTTATTCGGTTCCTTAAACATAACACAACAATTCCTCTCATATTTTAACGCTTGGAAATGGTATAAAAAATTTTTATATGTAGGTCACATTTATATGTAAAATAGAGACAACAAAAAAAAGAAGAAGAGCTAGAAAGATGCTTTTATAAAATTAAAACGACACTGTCATAAATTTTAAACTTAATATCATGAACAGGACATGTGGGAATGTGTAAAGTTCGCGAGTGCATGCTCTTTCGTCTCCTCTTTTTTTTTGTGGGAGGCATAAAATAAACAGTTGAATAAAAAAAAATTAAGAACATCGACTAACACTCGCGTCCAAAAAGCAATGCTTGTATTAATTTCAATTTTTGCTTCCGCTTTAAAGTGCTACATAAATCTCATTTAAGTACTCCACAACTTTTTCCAATGTGCAAAAAAGTGCTTAATAGCAATTCGTGGACCGAATACATAATTGACTTAAAATTTCTCACACAAATAATAATTCGTAGTGGGAGGTAATGTTTACCGACCTTTCTATGCTTTTTTTGTTGATTTTTTTTTGCAATGCTCGGAAAAATTGCTCAGGTGATCTGATTATAAGCTTTCAAGAATTTTAAGACATGTTTTGGTATCAACTTCAGTTTGAATCCTACTTGACAAAAACATTCGTTGAAATGCGTTTCTATAGACGAGTCATAAGATTGTTATTAGCCCACAAACTTATCATTATAAAACATTCTGCAATAATTCTTGAAAGCTCATAACAAAAAAATAAAATGGAAGTAATAAAACTAAGAAACTTTGATATTAAAAGTTTTATAAAACTTGGTACAACAAAAACTTATAAGTCTACAATTAACGACTATACAGTTACGATTATAAATACGACGAGGTAAATTTAATTTCCTCATCAATTAAAAGTTTGTATCTTCATTCATTGCACATTGAAGATTAATTTAAATTTTTTTCTCGAAATAACAAAAAAAGTACATAAAAATTGCTTATTCTTTTCACTGTGCCAATTTTGTGCATTATTTAACGAATTTCTAAATTAAGTGCGGTTTTATTGCGACATCTAAAAAAGTTTTACCGTTTTTCGAATTTAATTATTGACATCTACTATCATTTAATTAATTTAATTACTTTAGAAACACACGTAAAATTTTTTCCGAATTTAATTACGTTCAAATTTTTTTTTTATCAACAAAATTAAAGTTATTTAAAAAAGTTTGCCGTAGCATTTTATCACTAAGAATTTACTGTATTGGTATGTAACATGTTGTTTCAGTGGAACTTGGAATTCAATTATTAAAAACAAGAGGGAATGAAGACAATTTTTTGATTGTGTTGAATTGTTCACTAGTGACATTTGCCATTTAGAATGAATTAGTGACTGGGAATGTAGAACGATAAGATTTCGTTGAGGATAGTCTTGAACTTGATTTGATTATTTTGAAGATGACGTATTGATTTTATTCAACTTGATTGGATAGTTTTGAACTTGAATTGATGACTTTAAACTTGACTTGAATGCTTTGATCTTGACTTGATGGTTTTGGACTTGAATTTTTTGTTCTTTGAACTTGACTTGATGGTTTAAACATTAAATGCGTTTTTAACTTGACTTTTTAATTTTTGAACTTGACTTTTTTGGTTTTTGAACTTAATTTGTTCGTAATTTAGAATTTTATTTGATTTAAATGCATTAAAACTTAAATTGCACTATAAAAATTCCAACAAAAAGTATTCACATCATTTTTGCAGATTTAAAGGTCTTGCATGACAAAAATTCCTTGAATTTTACAGTTAATTGTGCAAACTATCCTATACAAGTGTCATCGATAGATTCATTAAAAACTAATTAAGCACTAATTCTCAAAATCATCTTCATTCCCTTTTGTTCCTTCATTTCATTGAATTCTCACAATTCCAAATGATTTAATTATTTAATTAATCATCATTGCTTTGTTCATCTGTTGCCACAAAGCACGTTCTAATGCTATCCTCGCAATTTTCATATCGTCTAAACTGAGGTAGATCAAAGCTCTCCTGTTTCGCACAAACGCACGAGTATGTCTTTGATTCTTGATTGAACAATTGAATCGGATATCCTGCCCAATCTCGATCAATTCCGCCTGATTGCTTTGTACACCAAAATCTTGTTCCCTTTTCTTTCTTGTATTCCATGTTGCACGGTGGAAATTCACGCTGAAGATTCTTCTCTTCTTCTTGTTGCTTTATGCCTTAAAATTAGAGAAGAACGAGACAAAAGATATAGCAATAAGAAATGATTGCTGGTTTTGTAATATTGGATGCGCTCAGCCATGACTTTGACGTTTTACTTATAAATTTTATAATTTGATTTTTTTTTGTTGTTGTCATGCCATAAAATCATCCACAAGAGACTTAATGTCATGTTTATTTTTTTTTATCAAACATACCAAATTGAATTTTTCTGTCGATTGACCAAAAGTATTCCGTAGGAGTTCCATCTACATCATAGAAACTATAATAAAATGAGAAGAGAAGTGACCCATAAAATATTATGTAAATAGTTTCGGGTGCATAGTAAGAAAATTATTGTGCTAGGTCATGCTTCATGTACGTACCGACCAATCAATCGTCCGACGAAATCATAATTGTCAACATAAAAGTCCCGCCAATTCTTCAGACTGACTAGCTCACTATAAAATAAAGTAAATTAAGATGTTGCGTGCGATATCAATTAAAAATATTTTAAGTTGTCGCCAAAAAAATGTTGAGCAATTAAAACAAAATTGCGTGTCTTACCTTGGCGTTAAAGATAAGACATGATCAAGTCCACTAGACTTGCCGTTTTTGGCATCAAATTCGCCAGTGATAAATGCCTTACTAGCATCAACTCCTACGAACGTATGATATGATTCGCCTGGTCCGTAATGCTGCAATGGAAATTGATGTTAGGTTCAAGGCTTTTTAAATGTCATTTTAAGTTATCCACATTATGAAAGACGACTCAAATGTTATATTTAATGTTCTAAAATTCCAGTTTATTCGAAGTGACGATATATAAGACATAAGCACCAAATTGTATAACACAAAACGTGCCATACTCATAAAACTGCTTAAAATAGCATTTTAAAAGATTCGAATATTCCACAAATATAAATATTAAAATTTTGTGGATTATGCATAAACCAGCCAGTAATGGTCGTTAATGCAATGTGCGTCAATAAGATTTAAATTTACCAACCTTTTCGCCTCGTGTGACATCGAAAATTTCCCCCATAATTGCTAAATAAAGTTTTTTATTATCACCTGAATTTAAATAATAAAGAGATGCTGTTAATTAAATATTTAGATCAGGTTTGCGGACGATGGAATGAATAAGAAGAAGTAAAACTGAAGATCAAGTAAGTTATGCAACACTTATTTTGATCCACCAAATATGCTCAATTTTACTTTCGTTTTCACTTGTTCAGAATGTAATTATTTGTATAAAGACATTCACCTTCTCCGTTAAATTGCTTTAGTTCCTCCGCTGTAAACATTGGAATCTTGTATTCTGTTTGATCCACAGATTCGACTGTTTTATTGATTTCGGTACCATTATTGTAAAATTTTACGTATATAGCATATCCAATCGCAACTAGGATTACAACTAAATTGAATAATGCATAAGGCGGTGATCTGTTTGATCGTTTCGGTAGCTTTTCTGCTTCCGTGCTTTTGTTGTCATTTTGATGTTCCATAATTTCACAATTTATTAAAATTATCACTTAGAAATGATTGGAAGAACTGACAAAATAAAACGATAAGAAAAAATAAAAAAAATCACTACAATTCACTCAGCTAATATCTTGATATCATGATAGTTATCGAGGAAATGAATTAAATTTGTGGATATAAAAATTGCTGCTTAAAAGTCTCTCTGTTTATCACCAATACATACAAAGGCTTATCTTTTTATTATGCGGCAACACAATTTTCAAATTCTTTAATAACCGTTACGATCTATTAATTTTAATTAAATCACTTCAAGCTAATGTCCTGTAGTATTAAACTACAGAATAGACTACTCTTATTAAGGTTATTAAGCTAATTTGAAAAAGACACTAAGCTTTTAGCTGGGAACATCTTTATTTAATTATATTCAATAATAAAAATATTGAGGGGAAGAAATTGTGCCACTCAACTTCAATACACAAACTTTAATTCGTCTTAAACGAAATTCAAAATTAAAATAGAAAAAAAATAAATATTATTAACTTAAAATGTCAAAGAGAAAGAGTCGCGCTAAATCTATGTTTGTAGAACCATCCGATTTAGTTTTTGAGGACGATTCCGATCCAGATGTTGCTTTCAAAATCGTGGCTGCATCGTTAAAAACATCTGAAGTTAAAAATGATGCAAATAAGCAAGATATTGACAATTCTGGCGTTAGAATCTCGGCTAGAGCTAAAAAGCAAAAGAATATCTATGATCCAAGCGAGTTTAATGGTCCAGTTCATAAGAAAAAGAAGGAGGCAACTGAAATGGCAAATATTTTGGCGGCAACAAAGAAAAGTCTTTCTCCATTGAAACTAGCACCACCAAAGCCAAAAACACCTTCCAAAACGCCATTAAAAGCTATAAAAGTATCAGTTCAAGCACCTAAAACACCACCAGCACCAAAAACGCCGAGTGATGTTAAGAAAAAATTGAATCTAGATAAATCAGATTCTAAGCCAGAACCAGCAACTTTAACATTAAAAGTATCTAAACCACCGCTACAAGCAACAGTTCCTGCACCAATGAAGGAAGCAACAAAACGAGCTTCTGGGCGTAAAAAGTCTGTTCATCAGCCACAACAGCAAGTGATAAAACCAGAAAATAAGACAATCACTCAATTGACTGAACGAGATGGCTCTGCAAGCACATCTGGGAACTCTGAGTTCGAAAAGGCATCGACTGTTGAAATGGACGAGAAGACAATTCCTGACGTAAGCAAGTGGACATCCGATGACGTTTATAAATACTTTGTAAATATTGGATTCGATAAGAAGGACGCACAAAAGATGAAGGAAAATGAGATTGACGGTGAAGCTTTAATGATCCTCAACAGAAATGACTTAAAGGAGCTTCAATTGAAAGTCGGTACCTTTGTAAAGATGTGGAATCGTATATTGACGTTCCAAACAGGATCAAATGACTTTACACAAGGTTGGAAGTAATATTGAACAAAAATTTACCTGCAATCTATATAGATAACTATTAGTTAATAATATTAATTTTATCAGAGAAGAAAATTTATTCATTATGTAAAAAGCATATACATAAGCTAAGAATCATGAATCTATCAACTAAAATACATTTTGTCATTAAATCCAGTTAAAATAACGGTTAACATTCAAAAATTCAAAATTTCCCGCTCAATCTAATTCGCTTTTCAAAACAAAAAAAAACCGAAAAATTTGCGTTTTTAAAAAATATTCAGGAAAATAACATTAAATAAAGAAAAACAGAACATTAAACTAAGCAAAATCTATCTAGTGTTACGTCTTTATTCATAATTCATTGAAGTAATATTGAAATAATATCAATAAGTTGTGAAAATTAATAAAAAACATAATTTAACCTAATTTAATAGAGATGAAATTTCGTGAAGTTATAATTCCGGACTATGCAGGAGAAGAATGGAAGGATATCAAGCTTAATATTGGTGGAAGTCATAGCACATTACAAGACATTAAGGTACAAAAGCAAGCAGCTGGATTTTGCTACAAAAACGACGAGTTTATTCGAAATAGATTTATTTATTGGAGAACTTGTGATGATACAGTGCTGGAACTAAGTGAAAACAGCTTGGATGTTAATTTAAAGCATAAGAATCTAAGATTAACATTTGAGGAATCACCAATATTATCAGTTTTCATTAGTGAGAATCAAGATCATGTAATTATACTCGTAGCAACGATCAGTAACATCCATCGATTCCAATTCATTCATCCTCGACGGAATATCAATGCAAATGGCGAACAAAATGAAAATTCAATCTTTAGTTCTATTACACAAGAGACTGTTAAAGATCCAACATCGTATTACACCATTAGTAACTTATTGGCACAAAATGTCCCTCACAGTGCATCCTGTTATCTCTCATTGACTAGTGAGGAAGCATATTTTGCAGTAGCACATACAAATCATCTTCTATTGTTCCAAATGAACTGCTTTACTGGACATACAGGAGTTACGGAACTGAAAAACTTTCAAATCTTTCCGAAAATCTTCAGCAACTTTACAGACGCAATTCGTGGAAAAAGTAATGTAAATGACAGTAATTATGTTACATCTATGGTATTTGATACTATTGGAGGTGAAAATGTCCTTTATGCGCTCTATCGTGATAATAACATTCGAATGTGGTCTACAAGAACTGGACAATGTCTATTTACTCTCAATATACTCAAGGACAATGATGAACGTAGAAGTCAAGGAAGTAAGTAATAAGTTGTTTGTGGTGAAATTGTTTTAATTAATGTTATTAATTTGTAGCACAAAATAACATCCTGAAAAAGTCAACAACATCCACATCAATTTGTGTCTTTTTATCCTATGGAAGTGGCGCTGAATTTCAGCTATTTAAACCAACTTGGGATGGTGCTAATTCATTCGCTATAGTTCCAACAAACCTCATCGCTGCGCCACAATTTGATTTAGTCGATTTTGAAGTCACCGACCAAAAATTGTGGGGATTATGGTGTAATTCTGAAGGAGACATGCACATTTCTGCTTATTTTTTGGAACCAGCATCTATGGAATGTTGGAGAACAGCTGTCTTGGAAGGGATATCAGGGAAGAGACGAACAGTTGAAGCTGAAATGGATGCAAAACATATTTATTGTTCAAACATCTTCCGACCAGGCAAATTTCAAGCTTCAACAATTTCTAAAGCATTGATGGTAAGCTACAGCCTTTATATGGATTGAAATATCAATTTATTCCAAGGATTTATAATATTTTCTAGATGTTTAGTCGATCAACAAACTACAGTGATGCATTCACTCCAATGCATATCCTTAAAGAGCGAGTATGTCAAGCAATTGATGCAGAGATCCAGAACGAGATGAAAATGCATGATCTCAGTGAGGACGAGTACATAGAAGTAGCTATTAATAGTTGGGAAAAGTTTTATTCATGCTGCGAACAATATCACATTGCAGCACATCAAGCAGTCGGAATATTCGTGCTGGATTCTCTAGATGCTGTTTGCGTTATTAAGACCAGTCTAATGTCATTTCTACGACCATGCGATATCATCGAAAATATGCTTTTATCTGGCTTATGTCCAGTAGAATTTGACAGTGACGACAGATTTGAACAAGATTTAGCTGGTCTTGTTAAGACGCTGTATTATTTAGAGAATAATTTGTCGATGGATGTAAAAATAGAAATATCCAATAATCTCTTCAAGCTTAAAATGGCAAATGTCATAATATCGGACTTATTATCGCAAATGAGAAGTGAGGATGATTGCAATGTTGCAATACCGAGAGAACTGATTGAAGATGTTGCTGAAAAGTTAAGAGCTATAAGAGATGTCCAATCCACAATCAGTGTCTTATTAAATTTACTGAGACTTGACAAGAACAATTTTAGTGATGATGAGTTCAACGATGAGTTGACTACTTTCCAAAAACAACTATTTGGTGGAAATTATGGAAGTTCCTTAGTGTCTGAGACTGTAAGACAAATTTCATCAAGTCGATTTGCAATGTGCAGGAACTTATTGATTGTCCAAAATATTTTAATTGATGGATTTTCATTAAATTGTAATGAAGCTGAAATTATTAGATCCAAGCACATCCCTGAAACTGTCATTTTTCTTCAATCTTATTATGTTATGGTGTGGATCGGTGAAGATGCTTTTGCAGCACCACAGCCTAAAGCTAATATGGTTGGATTTAATACACAAGGTGGATACAGTCAATCATCATCATTATTGCAACTATTTGTTAAAAATAAAGGCTTACAAAAAGCTCTAAAATTGTACTTTAATTCTGATCAAATGGACGATGACAATGATGATTATGAGACTGATAATTTCTGGTCTAAAAACTTACTGAAAATTGCCAGTTATATTGAACGTTTCATTTGGGCAATTTCTGGTCGTTTCATATTCGGCGAATGGCTGTCAACAACACAACAGCATCTTCTCATTGAAGAATTTGTGAGATTACTAAACGAATGGTGTGAATACAATAGCTGCTCACGTCAATTTGTCCTTGGCTTATCATTTTTGGAAACTGGCGAAGCAAACAAAGCATTTGACATGTTCATTAAGTCAGCAAAAGGAGTCTTATCAGAGCCATTTTTATCAGCTTATGTCGGTGCACAGGATCTTAAAACAAGCAATGAAATCCTCGCACAGTACTACCTTAAAGTCATGAGACTATTTGAAAAATATGAAATCTACGATTGCGTCATAAATATTGCAGAAATAGCGATTGGAACAGCTGATAAAGAGTCACAACTTGCAATGTTTCAAAGCATAATTTTTAACAATCATATGCATTTGAAGCACTATGAGGAAGCTTATCATTCATTGATCCACAATGTTGAATTGTCACGACGTAAAGACTGCTTACGGCAATTGGTCATTATGCTCTTTCAAGAGAAGAGATTTGATATTCTCATAAATTTACCATACAATGGTCTCGAACAGGATTTACAAAATATTGTAGAGACGAGAGCTCGATCAATGCAAATTGAGAACAATGAGCACTACAATTTCCTTTATTCATATCACATAAAAACCAGTAATATGAAGAGAGCATCAGTTGTTATGTATGAGAAGGCATTGCGTTATTTATATGAGGGTGGAACAGTTGAAGCCTTACAGCATCGTTATAATAGCTTATTGGCATGCTACAATGCACTCTTACTTGTTGATATTGCGTATAGATGGCTAGCGAAGCCAGTTATTGAAGATCCAAAAAATAATGATGATGATGTGGATGATGTTATGGACAGTGAGTCAACAACACAAATAGAAGTGATTGATATAGAGGAAATAAAGAAGGAATTGCTTGTGGCTGAAGCTCTTTTATGTGTTGCGAAAGCAAAAGATTTAAAATTAATTATGCAAATGGGACCAAAGGAATTGGTTGTGCTGTTATCGACACAAAAGTTCTATACGAATGCATTGAAATTAGCTAAAGGATATAAACTGCCATTGACGCCAATTTTTGAGAGCTTAACGCTTGCTAGCATAAAATCATCGAATATCGAATTCAATGACAATCTTGACTGGCTCAACCAAAATAATCTTAGTGATTTAACGCTAACAGTAAGCTTTAGTGAAATGCCATGGATTTATTTGCGAAAACTACTCGAGGAAGAAGATTCAGAAATGGTGTATTATCGTGATGTCGTTAAGCATATTCTGGCAAATCAAGCATTTATACCACAATGGCTTTTGGATACGTACAAGAAGCAGAAAGCATCCGAATTACTTTATCTCTATCTTCAATATGGACGTCTTGATGAAGCCGCTGAATTGGCAGTTGATTTTGTGCGAGCATATCTTGGATATGGAAATGAATTATTTGGATTTAAACATTATGTTGCTAAAACTCATCCATCATTTCCTATTAACACAATGGATTTGCTGTTATATCAGTTGAAGGCTCATGGGGAGAAGGATAAGATGTGTCAAGAGGTATGTAATTAATTAATCTATACTTGATGTTCCCTAAGTTTTGAACTTGCTCAAATTTGAATGTCTTTAAATTTAACCTGAATTTTGAACTTTATTTGACCGTTAAAAACTTATTTTAAAATTGAACTCCTTTATTTTGAAATTTTAAAAACCGTTGAAATTCAAATCAAAAAGTTCGTTAAAACTCAGTTCAAAAATTGAACTCCTTTTAATTCAAATTATTTAAAACCGTTGAAATTCTAAAAAATGAAAGTTCGTTAAAATTTAATTCAACTTCCTTAGAATTCTGAACCTGAAAAGTAATAAACTTTATTTTCTACCACAGAACTACAACTTACTAAAATCATCAATAGATGAGTACCTTAAGACAGCTAACACAATGACGCTGGAAAGTATGATCATGTAAAATGGAGAAAATCGTCAGCATTTTTATTGTCTTAAATTGTCACATTAAATTTATTAAACTTGTTAGATTATACAATACTTCTTACAATTCTATGAGAAATAAATTTTCTTTTTTCATAAGTTTTAATTTTTTTTGGTAAAATTTTCGAGTTAATTCTTAAATTTAATGATCCTTATGTTACTTCCAAGCAGCTCGAACTTGGCTTAATTCCCTCACCAGGGATTTTAATGTTGACATTATGTATGATTGAGCTCGGATCAGCCGTATGTGATCGAGAAATGTGTAGATTCTTATTATTATTATTTCCTGAACTATTTGAACTTTTCCACGTTTTAATTCTCACAAAGAGATTTTTGTATGCATTTCGATACTGCGACGATCCAACAGCATATATAATTGGATTTATGACAGCAGACGACCACGCAGAAACAGATGCCATCACATGAAATGCTGGATATTTCATATCTTTCTCATCGAATACATTCACTAACATTAATGGAAGGAAGCACATTATGAAGCACAAGAAAATGACCAGCATCATGATTGTCAATCGCAAATCATTTTTATTACGGAAGAATTTTAATTTACTTTTATTCGGACTCGTCGTGTCAAATTTATTTAATTTTGCATGCTGCTTACGGACCGTATTAAATATACATGAATATGACAGAATTATGATGAAACACGGCAATAAAAATCCAACAAGGAAGATGAATGTTTTTGGTGATTTTCCATCCTTTTTGAGTATTGTACATGAGAATGTTTTTGGCTCGTGACCAAGCTCGCCCCACAAGCCCGACAGCGGAAAGAACTGCAATAAAAAAATATGTAAATAAGAAGCAAATTCAATTTTGAAGGTCGATTGAGGAACAGTAAGCAAATATTCGACAGATGACACATCAGACTTTCTTATCAATAGCTATAAAATCTACTTTGCGAGTGCTGAATATAAATGCAAATGATGAGTATAAAGCTACGGATTTTTTATGGTCATGGAAGTCTGATTTTATCAGTAGATCGCTTTGAATTGCCAGAAAATTGAAGCAGTGCCTTATTATCGAATTTATCAATTCTTATAAGGGGCCGTTCACTTATGACGTACAGGGGGGGGGGGGGGGGGTCAGCAAGAAAATAACAATAGAAATTCTGAGAAATTCCTGGAAATCCATTGTTCTTTTTTGAAAAATGACCGTTTATTTCGGACGTCATAAGTGAACGACCGCTAAACGGCAAATGATCAATAATCGTACCCTGCACACAATTTCAGCAATTATTAAACAATTCAAGTGTAAATCACAAACTTAACGATTCAAAAGTCGTACGCTGCACACGACTATTGCAATAAATACAATCAAATGCATAAAAATCGTAAAATGCACACGGTTTATGCAATATTCACAAGTCACATGATAACTGCTTTCAATTCTAGTCTTATTTCCACTAAATTGAAAATTTACGTGACTTTGTGACTCACTATTTTCAATCATGTGTCATCATTTGGGGATCGTTTATAAATGATGTCAATTGGGTATTTTTAAAGGTCTGAGTTAGGATTAATACAGTCATGCTTGACTTTCCATTCATTGAACAGCTCTAAAACGCGAGTATCATGTGCATGCTAGTCATATCAACTTTAGAACCACAGATCCCACTAAGTTTGGACTTCGAAGGGATTGGAACCGATCAAAATTGAGTAATACTTGATTGAGTCAGGTCTGTACTCATGTTGACATCAAACCCAGCCTTAAACATTCAATCATAAATTAAACATCACTTTTGAATGCACCCCACATTTAGTCAATTCCTCATAAGATAATAAAAATTGGCCATAAAAACCTACCATAATTAAAAAGGCAATAAACCAAGCACAAAACAATTGAACGATAATCAATTTTGTTGTGTAAATTTTCGGATATAAATGTTGAAACGTGATGAGGATGTAGCGATTGATAGTCATGAGAATCATTGATAACATTGAAATGCAAACGTTGCTGTAGAACACAAATGGAAATATTTGACACAGAAAGTCACCGAATGTCCATGCTTGATAGTAATAACGTACTGCTTGCATAGGCATCATTATTGCGCAGAATAAGAAGTCCGAGAAGGTAAGTGAGAGTAGGAAGGACGTTGTTGCATGCTTTCTGAGTCTTTCGCATTTTAGCAGCGCGATAATTGTCAATAAATTTCCTGCAAAAAGAATCCAGTCATCAGATAATTCAGCATAAAATAGTTCAAAACTCACCCAAAACACCAAAAATGCAGAACAGAACCGCAAATGCGGAAGCTGCATAGCACCAATCAGCTGGATAAACAAGTTCCTCCGACATTACATTGGCAAAAATCTGTTGATTAAGCAAAAAATAAAGCGCTGTTGAGTATACAAGTCATTCCAAACTGAGAACTGTTTAGTGCTGTTCGTACTGTAAAATCAGAATTGGCCTATGGGGTCGTTCACTTATGACGTCCGAAATTAACGGTCATTTTTCAAAAAAGAACAATGGATTTCCAGAAATTTCTATTGTTCTTGTCTTGCTGACCCCCCCCCCCCCCCCCCCCTGGACGTCATAAGTGAACGGCCCCTAATCCTCTCTCATGAGAAAATAACTCTCGAACAATTTCGTGGATCATCATTTTCTGCGACAAATTATCAATTAAAATGGCCATAAAAATGGTAATAAAACTTTTTCGGAAGTGCCAGTTTTCTGTTTTTCGAATTATTCATACTGTTTAAGACTGATTGTGGATTGGGTTAATAAACTTGATTAGGTACATATGTTTGGGTGTCTTTACATTTTGATGCGAGGTTAAGCTTGGATTACTGTCAGCTGTATCCTATTTGCAATGCATCATAGTATGATATCTGTGCTTTCAAAATTGCATTTAGATAACCTTCAATATGCAAACTCCGTAATCATAGAATTGTGATAGAATTGGAGAACATGACAGCAGTAAAATACGGGCTTAGAATTTTTATCAGTTTGAATTTCATCAAGTCATAATCTTCAGTTCTAAAGCTAAACCAAAATCACCAATTCGATGCTCCCACTATTCATATATTTCTAAATGTCTGTGTCCACTCTCTGGTTGTTAGTGACGCGAATAATAAAAGTTTGATGTACAAAACATGATTTTCATAAAGTTTTTTTATATTTACGCTTAGCACATACAGAATTTACTATCATTTCTCCCTCCCCAAAAATAGACGTCTATTTACATGAGAATTTGAACATTTGTCCAAATATACACAAAACCAACAAAGGAGATATTTTTATCGCAATCGGAAGTGCGACGATTTATCACATTTTTCATTTTGCTAATATGAACTTGGCTTTTTTTATTTGTTTGTTTGCTCTTTGAGATTTTTTCTCTTTCTTCTTGACATTACATCGTCTTCCTACAGATGTTTCTGCTTAATGATGCGACCTCTAGCCCCGCGAGAGTAATGGAATGAATTATGTTGCATTAAGGAAATTGGTTAATTCTTTTTATCCACAAACAAATTAATCTTGTCAATTATGAATGTCGGTTTATTGTTTTAGGGGTTCTTAATCTTTTTGATCATCATTTGAATTCCCGAGATACACTTTATTATTTTTGAGAAAAATAACTGAATTTATAAATTTAAATCTAAACGTATTTTGAAAATTTGAAGTTTTAAAGGTTCAAATTTTGAACTTAAATATTTTTGAATTTTTGAAAACCGTTAAATTTTGAATTTTAAAAAACTGTTATAAAGTTGATAAAAATTTTTACTTTTTCTACAAAATCTTAACTTTGTTTCAAAAACACAAACAAAATAACCGAATTGTTCGAAATCACCAATTAATTATTCCAAGAAATTGCTTCTTTATGTCTTTTCTACATGATCACCATTGAACACAAAAATCCATATATGTGATTAGGCCTAGCTTGTTTAAAATTCCAGATGCATATTGAATGAGCTCATATGGTTTTAATAAATTTATGAGACGATTATTGTCGAAATTTCGCTTTCTATTTATGTATGGTTCATGAATTAATATGTTAATTCATGGCGCTTCTTCTTGTGTTCTTTTTTTTTGTGTATTAATTCATTTTGTTTGTCTTATTATGCCACACAAAACGTAACATAAAGCATGTTGTTGCTTATTAAAATATTCATTTGTTCTGTGATGTTTTTAGATTCCATAAAAGTATGGCGAAGGAAGCAGATAGGCGGTAAATGGATTTTAATATTTCTTTCAATGTTTGATTTATGCTGCTCGTAATTTTCAATTAAAGATATGATTTTTCTGGAGATTTCAAGGTTTGTTATGGTTTTGATTTACTTTGATGTCTTTAATATGGAGTTCTAGGATTTTTAAAGAATATGCTTTAAACTGTGGTAAATTAAGCAACAAACAAAGACTAGAACTATTAAAAACCAGTAAAACTTTAGGAAAAGTTCGTTAAAAATTTTAAACTTGATAAAGATGCGAAAAAACCGGTAAAATTTTGAAATAAAGATGCGAAAGATTTGGGTCTTAATGATTCAAATTCAAAACAACCGTTAAATTTTCAAAAAGATTTTCATCAACAACTTTTGGGGCCGTTCAATTATGACGTCCGAAATTAACGGTCATTTTTCAAAAAAGAACAATGGATTTTCCAGAGGTCGAAGCCGACATGAGTTCGCTCCGGTTCGCTAAAAAACCGATTCAAATTTGAATAGATTTTTTTCTGCTGCCACTTGTGAAGTACAACATTTTATACAAATTTACCGGTTATCGAATCGGTTTTTTAGCGAACCGGAGCGAACTCATGTCGGCTTCGACCTCTGGGATTTTCGTGTATTTCTGTTGTTCTTTTCTTGTTGACCCCCCCTCCCCCTGGACGTCATAAGTGAACGTTCCCTTTATGAATTGCTTTTGACTGCGTAAAAATTGATTGAAAGCAGCCATAAAATCTTTGTCAGCTATCAAAATAATTTATTACATTCCATTTTTTGATTTTAAATTCACAAGATTTCAAACATTCAATAAAAATAATAATAACTTACGTACGCAATGCTTCATAAAAAATACTCAACTTAATTAATTCAATGAGAAAAAAAAATTAATAGAACAATAAATTCATTTAGAAGACTTCCCTGTTTACCATACATCCATACATAGCGACGTAATGTACAGAATAGTTACATGAAACAAGTTTCATTGAAATTGAAATTGAAATATATAAAAATAAGCAGAATCAATTAGCCCATTCACGAACCCCAACAAAATTCTGACATTCTCATTTTTCATATCACATACGGATAATAATAACAAAAGCAACAGATATTATACATATGATGAAAATGCATCACATGCACTTCAATAATAAAAATAAATAAATATTTTTTTTCCTTCTCTTTTCATCTTTTTATTTTAATTAAAATGCAACATGTAACAAAATATGCATCATTTAAGCATGTGAATCATCATCTTAAGTGTGTATATCTTCTTACAGTATTCTTATCCACTTGTACGAAGATTGACAGAAGCAGCAGCAATAAGACAAAACAATCGCATGTCTCTCATTGTGCGATAAAGTCTTGATGATATGAATAAAGTTATAAGTGCATGTTCTGGATGAAATTGAAGGTTTTTGACTAAATTTCGAGAATGTTTTTATAGAATTCTGGTTCTTAAGTTCGGTTTGTGCACTAATAATGTTCAATTTTAAGGAAGAGGTGGAGGTCATTTAAGTAAGTTGAATTAAAATCATGCTTCTTAGCTTAACCGCAGTTCATATTCAAATCAATCGTTTTGTAAGATTCCACCTCGTTTAGCACACAGCACAATGCTGTTAAGCTGCTTAGTAACCATTCCAACGTTACTGTCGCTTTATTTTCAGTAAACTTCCAGCTTTATTGCAGTTTAGACAATATTTCAATGTTTACCGATCAGGTTTAGTATCTGAAGTCATTTGCAAACAACTTCCTGTTCAAAAGTGCCTACTTCCATCAAAACAACATTCAAAACCTACCAGAAAAAGTCTCAATACTCAAGAACTTGTCCAGACTTATCAAAATATTCATAGATGATCATCAAAAAAGAATTTGAGAAGATATCTCTTACACAGGAAGAAATGAGGATTCAAAAGAGTAAACATCAATAAAATTTGTGTTAGCTTGGCAACCTGAACTACGTCACGATCGAAATGAGAGTGAAATTTAATTCTCAATCAACTTCAGTGTATTTTTAAAGCTAGTTTGTACAAAAATGAGTCGATTGTAGCTAAATTCTTCAATAATGATGCTGATGCAATTGAATTTTTCTGTAAAAATGTATTAGTAAAATGATTTTTTGAAGGTCAGATTGACTTTTGAGATGAATTTGAAGGTATGTTCGGTGATCGACACACCTTTAAATTAATTTCTTAAAGTTGATTAAATTCTGGTTTAAGCAAAAGATAAACAATTAAGTAGATAGATTGGAAACATCTTAAAGTTCATCTAAAGTAGTGTTTATCAAACTTTTTAGGTTTGCAGCACAACTGACGCCATTTTGAAGAGTTTTCGAAACTTTTAAGATTTTCTAAACTTAAGTTTGAACTCAATGTTAATCAGTAAAGAAGCCTAGGTTTGACCTGAATAGTTTTAAACCTGGGAATTTGCTTAAATTAGATTTAGAATGAAGAATTGAAGCAAATTTCGTAAGGAGTCGTTCACTTATGACGTCCATCAAAAAACCTGATTTTTAGACCCCCTCCCCCCATCTGTCACAAAAATTCTATAGAAAAAAATTTCCATTGTTTGAACTGTCACAAAATCCTAGACCCTGCTCCCCCCTAAATGTCGGACATCATAAGTGAACGGCCCCCAAGAGAATCAACAAAGGATTTTTTAAAAACATTTAAAATGATACTTAGTGCATTTCAGGTTCAAAATCGAACTATGGAGTTACGTTCACTTATTACGTTACGCCAAAAAAACGACTTTTTTCACCCCCCCTCCCCCTTATTACAATATGTTACAACTCACAACCCCCCCCCCCCCCCCCCCCTGAACGTTCATAATTTATTTCATTTTGATAATTTTTTATATGTAATTATTAAAAACATTTATAACAAAAACTATGTATTGCTTAACTATCAAAAGTGATCTGGACATTCATAAATCATTAAAAAGGTGGAAAATTTAAAAAAATGTTTTTGGTGTGAATTTGTAAACAAATTTTTTTCGTGAACTTTAGTGAACTTAAGAACGTTACATACTTCTTGACCCCCCCCCCCTCCTATGTTACAATTTGTTACAATTTTTCAAGCCCCCCCTCCCCCCTAAAATGCGTAATAAGTGAATTACGTAATAAGTGAACGGTCCCTATGGAAATTGCATGGAAAAGAAGATTCTTAAACTTTATTTGTCCCTAATTTTAATTCACTTTTAAATCTATCTTGAAACACTAATAAGCCTTGAAACACGGTTTTATAGGTTAGTCCATTCTTTAGTTTGTATTTTGTAAGATATTACTGCGCACTTAGTCACACCAAGTATCACAATTTACTTTAAACTTTTACTATTAAGATATAAGTATTCAAGAAACCTGTGTCATAAGTCAGTTTGATCAATTGCTAGTGTCTTCTATACTTGACACTTTGTGATCGCCTAATAGCACATTGTTTCACAGATATTCGTAGATTTTGTAATAATTATTCAACTCTAAAATCTTAATTCTTTCTAATTTTTCATGAATCTAGAGATTTGAAATCCCAATCTAGGCTCAGAATTAGCTCATAACCTTTTAAAAACGATGAGCATTTAATTTAAATTTAAAATCTGAGAAAAGGTTTTCTTTAAACAAAAAAATAGAGCAATCCAATTAAATCCTTCTTCAAGATTACTGTTTATATTTTTGTCTTGCCAGACATCCAGATTAAAAATTTTGTTCTAAAATTTCAAATATTCACTGCTTTGAAGAAACAATCAAAACATATCACTAGTCAGTCAACAAAAAGTGTGCCTTAGTCATCCACAATATCAACAAATATTCTAATCACAATTTCTATTTCCGAAGGTATAAAAATTAATTCATTGACACTTTCTACAATTTTGTTTTTAAAATGTTTAAAGGAAAGGATTCATCGATGAATAATAAATGAACTTCCGTTTATCGTTAACACGCGGCCAATTTGATTTTGTATACGATTATGGTTTAAAAAAGAATTCATCAACTTGTATGCTCACACTCTTAATTTCCCATTCAATTTCCTTTTTTTGTCTGCACTTTAAACGCCAATTCCGAATAAACTGTTCTGTTCGTTCACGCACGACAATAGCTGTATAGTAACTGAAAAAAAAAACCTCACTAGTTTGTTGAGATAAATCTCGAATTCACAAATAAACTATTGCAGTCACAAAATTGCCTATAATCCATGAAATACCGCAATTTAATTAAATCCATCGTACATTCGACATCAATCAAAATAAATTTAAATTTATTCTGTATGTGGGTTCTGAAGCACTAAAGTCACAACGATTTAGAAACGAGAGCGGTGGCTGCTCTCTTCTTTCCATTCAGTGTTTTATATCAATAGACACACTCGTTACTTTTTATTATTATTCCAAAATTAAAAAAAAAATATTCACAGACTTTAATTTTTTTGTTTTTTGTGTTAATCCGTACGATTCAATTGACGATATAGAACTGACGAAGTGTGTTTATGGAAAAAGAATTAAAAGAGATATCATGCACATGTAAAGGAAAAGGCGGGAAAGAGAGCGAGAATATGAGTGAGGGAGATGGACAGAGGTGGATTGTACAGAGCTTAACCAGGGGAGATAGTCATGATTTGGAGGTTATATTCTCAAAAAATCTTAGCAAACTAAAGAAGATTTTTCATACAAAGGAGCTCTTAACCTGAGTCCGTTCCTGTAGATTGTCATGATGAGTGTTTTGTATATTTAATTTTTATTTTATTTTCATTTCTTTCTTTAATTTCCTTGAAAGACAAATAAAAAGAAGTTCTTTTATGAAATCATATGCATATGAAAATTTATTGCTTATTATGGATATCGCGCAAAAAAAAAACTTAATGTTATGTGGAGATGATAGACGAAATACGTTGAGTTGGTGTTTCAACATTGCTTAGCAAGTTGTTGTCGACTGTTTTTTTTTTGGTTGACCGATGGTGTTGAAATGTTAAAATCAACGGCAATCTGACAAAATAAGCATTAAGAGATATTACAAAATTCTAATTGCTCTTTATTTCTTAATTGTCGTGAGATTTGACATTTTTTTGGAATCGCTTTTCCATGTCACAGCATTTTAAGTATCACAATGTTTCAGACTTCAAATCTAATTTTAGACGACACAATTTAGTATTCAGAGTTTTTGGCACCAAAATATTGCTGCTTCTTGATGCAAGTTTTTGTGTCTTTTTGAAAGGTTTTTACCATTAGTGCACTGTTCTAAGCAATTAAATTTCTCAGTTGTCGTTACACACAGGTTCTTTATCAGACTATCGTTAAATGTAGCTCAGAGCACAAAAATCTAACCTTAAAAAACCTAGCAAATTTAAGAAATTTTTCCAAAAAGAAGGGAGTTGGTGTCAAAACTGGCTACATCCCTGCGGGTCCAAAACCGTTCAATCTAATTGATTGGGAATGATCCTGAGATGATGTTTATCAAGATCTCACTGCTATTTTCAATTTTTTAAATTTGAGGTTAGAATGTTTATTTTGGCTTTAACGTAATGATTTTAGAAACAAAGGGAGGTAATTTAGATTTTAGAAAAAAATACGAATCAATTAAAAATCCATACATACTTGCATTGGGATTACCAGCCCTTGAGTAAATATCTTGATACACTGTTTGACAACAGCTCCAAAGTCAAAACTTAAAAATTATGGCATCAATATAATTCCATGAATCAACTGAATATAAACATGATTTTACCACATGCCTTAATAAATTTCATAAAAATTTAGTTTCAGATTTGCCAAGATGACAAGAGACTAAGAAGAATCGAAAACTTCTGTTTTAAAAAATGACAAATTATTTTACAGTTTGGGAGACACGCGTTTAAAGCCAATGTCCTGTTTATTTCTATAAATATATATATAAATATGCTAGCATTATGTTTGTAGCTGTTATATAGTTTTTAACAAGCTATGTTTATATAATTCGCTAGGATCGTTCATGAATTATTAGAACTCTATAGTTACAGGTCTAGTTCCTGAATAGTAGACATTATTTATGAATGATCCTTGTACTGATTGCACTCTTTTAAATTTGATTAATATTAACTCTAATTTAATTTCAATTGTTTTGCAGACTAATGCAGACCTTGACTAGAACATTTTTTAAAGTTCCACAACAATTTCCGATGATTTTTTTTTTCAAATATCGCAAGTCATCATATGCTCTAACTTTATGTTGATATATCCATTCTTTTCTAAAATAAAAAAAAAATGCAAGAAAAACAGAAACAAGGGAATGAAGAAGAACAAGATACAGCTCTCATCTACTACTGTTTGCCTCGTTTCTTGTGCATTTGTCATTGTATTATAAATTAAATATTTAGGATTATGAAAAAATAAACATAAAATTTATGAAACAATACGTTTTGATTGTTTTGTGATGAACTGCATCTGCTGCGAATTTTTTATTTTCTAGTCTGTTATCATATGAGATGTGATGAGGGTTTATGTATGTAGCGAGTGATGCAGGGGCGTAGCTAGGAATCTAATGATTTACGATGGTTTTTAACTCTCGATAAACACTAGTAATTTTTAAGAATGTTGCCTTAATCTGTTAACAAATTATTAGAAACTACAGCAATTCAAAAATATTTTGACAAGCTTTTAAAATTTTGATATTGTTTGATATCGTTTGTAACTTGCGATTTGTAAACAAAAACAAAGTGTATTGAATAGATGACTCATTTCTTATCTTCTTTGCAAGTAGAGAACAGTCTATAATATTTTTAAAACATTTTAAACTTTTGATTTTATTTTAAATTAAAAACCTAGCAAATATTTAAAACATTTGAATTACCTTGACTTCTTATAGACTTGCAATTGATTTAGCAACGATATAATTTTCCATCTCTAAGTATTATTTGGTGAGAAGAACGACCTAAGCAAGATCCAGCTAGAAGATTAACAATATTATTTACAACTTCCAGAATTTTCTTCATAAAATGAACAATTTAATTGTTGAATTTGGAAATTTACCATTCTCAAATGGTGACTCTTATTATTCGTGCCTTATAAGCAATCAAAATATTAAAGAAAATATTCCTGTAAAAATTAATGGAAATCATCAAATTGGTAATTCAAACAAAGATGTTGTCAATGTATGGATTAATAAATGTACAGTCACAAAAATACCTAAAGGAATTACATTTATGTTCCCAAATATCAAAGTATTGGAGATCAAAAACTCAAAATTACCAGCAATTCATAAAAATGATTTGGCTGAATATAAAAGTTTGGAAAAGTTTTGCTGCATTGAGAATCCAATATCATACCTGCCTGGTGACTTGTTTGAGGGTTTTGAAAAATTGGAATGGATTGAATTTTATGGAAATAGTTTACTAATAATTGAGCCAAATATTTTGAATGGACTACATGGACTTAAATATGTAGAATTTTCAAGAGGAGGCCCACAAGATAAGCGTTTTTCTTTGTATCCAAGGTTAAGTTCAAATGCAAATGTAAAAGAAATAAAGGATGAACTTGAAAGAAAATATCCTCAAAAGCTCAAAGACGTCCAGAAGTTGGAAAACTTGATAAAAAAGTTAAAGATTGAAAATGATAAACTAAAGAAGGAATCACAAGAACAGGCTGCAAAAATTGTAACTCCAGTACTTGAGCCAAAAAGTGAACTTTTTGATGACTTGAAGAAATTCCTGCATAACGATAAGCATAAAGATTTCACAGTTAAGATCATGGATGAGGAAATTCGCGTTCATAAGTTTCTCTTGGCTGCTCGCAGTCCAATTTTAGCTGAAATGCTTCTTAAAGCACCAGATGCTGAAAATTTAAATCTTGTTGAAATTTCATCAACAACATTCAAGCAAATCTTAAGATACATCTACACTGATGAGCTTCCAACTGATAGTAAAATAAATTTTCTGGATCTTTTTGCTGCATCTGGTCGATTAAAAATGAAAGCTCTTCAAGATTTTGCTGGAATGAAAATTTCTATTAAAATTAATACTGACAATGTGCTTGATATTTTTGAATTGAGTGTAAAATATGGACATGAAAGTTTAAAGCAGAAAGCGTTCAACGAAATTAAGCAGAAATATTCTAAATTCCATTTAAAAGATGAATTGTTGTTTCAACCCGAAAAGTTAATGAAAATCGTTCAAAGTTTAAAGAAAAAGGAAGAAGAAATGAGATTATTTGAGAAAGAATTTGAGACTTTACTTTTGGATAATTAACGGTTATAAATTGAAATTTCAAATCATGCGTCAATGTTAAAAATTGAACTTCATTGATTTTTGTTGTTTAAAATTGTTTGAATAAATTTTTTATCACTTACCCAATAATCTGTGAGGGGCCATTCACTTATTACGTAACGCTTTTAGGGGGGGAGGGGGGTCTAAGATTTTGTTACGGTTCAAACAAGGAAATTTTTTTTCATACAAATTTTGTTACGAAGGGGGGGGGGGTCTAAGAAGTCATTTTTTCGCGTTACGTAATAAGTGAACAGCCCCTATCTATATTAGCATTCTTTATCATTTATAATACCTAGATATGTTTTAAAATGTAATTTAAAGCATTTTTAGTTTCGATCGTAGTAGGCTATTTTCAAAAAAATCGATTTTAAATCTATATTAGCATTCTTTATCATTTAAAATACCTAGATATGTTTTAAAATGCAATTTAAAGCATTTTTGGTTTCGATCATAGTAGGCTATTTTCAAAAAAAATATCGATTTTATATCTATATAAGCATTCTTTATCATTTAAAATACCTTGATATGTTTTAAAATGCAATTTAAAGCATTTTTGGTTTCGATCATAGTAGGCTATTTTCAAAAAAATATCGATTTTATATCTTTATTATCATTTTTTATCATTTATAATACCAAGATATGTTTTAAAATGTAATTTAAAGCATTTTTGGTTTCGATCGTAGTAGGCTATTTTCAAAAAAATCGATTTTAAATCTATATTAGCATTCTTTATCATTTAAAATACCTAGATATGTTTTAAAATGCAATTTAAAGCATTTTTGGTTTCGATCATAGTAGGCTATTTTCAAAAAAAATATCGATTTTATATCTATATAAGCATTCTTTATCATTTAAAATACCTTGATATGTTTTAAAATGCAATTTAAAGCATTTTTGGTTTCGATCATAGTAGGCTATTTTCAAAAAAATATCGATTTTATATCTTTATTATCATTTTTTATCATTTATAATACCTAGATATGTTTTAAATTGCAATTTAAAGCATTTTTGGTTTCGATCATAGTAGGCTATTTTCAAAAAAATATAGATTTTATATCTATATTAGCATTCTTTATCATTTATAATACCTAGATATGTTTTAAATTGCAATTTAAAGCATTTTTGGTTTCGATCATAGTAGGCTATTTTCAAAAAAATATCGATTTTATATCTTTATTATCATTTTTTATCATTTATAATACCTAGATATGTTTTAAATTGCAATTTAAAGCATTTTTGGTTTCGATCATAGTAGGCTATTTTCAAAAAAATATAGATTTTATATCTATATTAGCATTCTTTATCATTTATAATACCTAGATATGTTTTAAATTGCAATTTAAAGCATTTTTGGTTTCGATCATAGTAGGCTATTTTCAAAAAAATATCGATTTTATATCTTTATTATCATTTTTTATCATTTATAATACCAAGATATGTTTTAAATTGCAATTTAAAGCATTTTTGGTTTCGATCATAGTAGGCTATTTTCAAAAAAATATAGATTTTATATCTATATTAGCATTCTTTATCAATTATAATATCTAGATATGTTTTAAAATGCAATTTAAAGCATTTTTGGTTTCGATCGTAGTAGGCTATTTTCAAAAAAATATCGATTTTATATCTATATTAGCATTCTTTATCATTTATAATACCTAGATGTTATGTTTTAAATTGCTTTAAATTGCAATTTAAAGCATTTTTGTTTTGATCATAGTAGGCTATTTTCAAAAAAATATCGATTTTTTATCTATATTAGCATTCTTTATCAATTATAATATCTAGATATGTTTTAAAATGCAATTTAAAGCATTTTTGGTTTCGATCATAGTAGGCTATTTTCAAAAAAATATCGATTTTATATCTATATTAGCATTCTTTATCATTTATAATACCTGGATATGTTTTAAAATGCAATTTAAAGCATTTTTGGTTTCGATCTTAGTAGGCTTTTTTTCAAAAAAATATCGATTTTATATCTATATTAGCATTCTTTATCATTTATAATACCTGGATATGTTTTAAAATGCAATTTAAAGCATTTTTGGTTTCGATCATAGTAGGCTATTTTCAAAAAAATATCGATTTTTTATCTATATTAGCATTCTTTATCAATTATAATATCTAGATATGTTTTAAAATGCAATTTAAAGCATTTTTGGTTTCGATCATAGTAGGCTATTTTCAAAAAAATATCGATTTTATATCTATATTAGCATTCTTTATCATTTATAATACCTGGATATGTTTTAAAATGCAATTTAAAGCATTTTTGTTTTGATCATAGTAGGCTATTTTCAAAAAAATATCGACTTTATATCTATATTAGCATTCTTTATCATTTATAATACCTAGATATGTTTTAAAATGTAATTTAAAGCATTTTTAGTTTCGATCATAGTAGGCTTTTTGTCAAAAAAATATCGATTTTATTTCTATATAAGCATTCTTTATCATTTATAATACCTTGATATTTTTTAAAATGCAATTTAAAGCATTTTTGGTTTCGATCATAGTAGGCTATTTTCAAAAAAATATCGATTTTATATCTATATAAGCATTCTTTATCATTTAAAATACCTTGATATGTTTTAAAATGCAATTTAAAGCATTTTCGGTTTCGATCATAGTAGGCTATTTTCAAAAAAATATCGATTTTATATCTATATTAGCATTCTTTATCATTTATAATACCTAGATATGTTTTAAATTGCAATTTAAAGCATTTTTGGTTTCGATCATAGTAGGCTATTTTCAAAAAAATATCGATTTTATATCTTTATTATCATTTTTTATCATTTATAATACCAAGATATGTTTTAAAATGTAATTTAAAGCATTTTTGGTTTCGATCGTAGTAGGCTATTTTCAAAAAAATATCGATTTTATATCTTTATTATCATTTTTTATCATTTATAATACCAAGATATGTTTTAAAATGTAATTTAAAGCATTTTTGGTTTCGATCGTAGTAGGCTTTTTGTCAAAAAAATATCGATTTTATTTCTATATAAGCATTCTTTATCATTTATAATACCTTGATATTTTTTAAAATGCAATTTAAAGCATTTTTGGTTTCGATCATAGTAGGCTATTTTCAAAAAAATATCGATTTTATATCTTTATTATCATTTTTTATCATTTATAATACCAAGATATGTTTTAAAATGTAATTTAAAGCATTTTTGGTTTCGATCATAGTAGGCTATTTTCAAAAAAAATATCGATTTTATATCTATATTAGCATTCTTTATCATTTATAATACCTAGATATGTTTTAAATTGCAATTTAAAGCATTTTTGGTTTCGATCATAGTAGGCTATTTTCAAAAAAATATCGATTTTATATCTATATTAGCATTCTTTATCATTTATAATACCTAGATATGTTTTAGATATGTGACAAGGCTAAATTATTACATATAAATCATTACTTTTAGATAATAAGGTTTTTTAATAAGGTTCCTAAATAGAAGTGATTTGGACGAGTATAAGAATCTGAAGTCATTCGAATGTATTGGCAATAAGAATCCTACCCGGTGATTTGTTTATGGATTTGAAGGCATTGGAAGTTGCGGTATTTTTAAGTAATGGTACAGAAGTTATTGAGCCAAACATTCTGGATGAACTTACCAAGCTAAGACACGTTGAAATTGAAGATCAACCAAATTTTAACGTCTACTATTCCATACATTTTACAAAGAAGTCTACGACTACACTCAATGGTTTGAAGAATGTCCAAAGTGCTGAATATTTCTCAAGAACGCCTTTTCTGAAGATTTTTAAGGATTCAAATGATTTTATTAAACAAGAAATCTTTGATTTTCTTTGAAAATTGATATAGATCCATACTATGGCCTTTTTGCTGACTTCAAGAAGTATTTAAAGGATGAAAAATCAAAAGATTTAAAAATCATTATTGATAAGCGTGAAGTACGTGCTCATAAGTTTGTTCTTGCTGTTAAAAGTCCCACATTGGCTAATAAGTTCCTAGAAAGACCAGATGCTGAAAGTTTGAATTTAGTCGACATATCTGTTGAAATATTTGATCGAATCTTAAAGTACATTTATTCCTGTGAACTTCGAGACATAGACTTTCTGATGCTTAACGCTGCTGCAGCAAGGCTTGAAATTAAAGACTTAAAGGATTATGCAGCTACGAAAATCATGGAAAGTGCTAAGAGTAGCAATGCACTTGAGGCTTTTGAACTGAGTTCTAAATCTGGACATGATGAATTGAAAAAGAAAGCTTATGCTGAAATTAAGAAGAAATATCCATCGACTAACTTTAAAGACGAATGGTTGATGCATTCTGATATGTTGGGAAAGATCATTGAAGGATTTAAGAAGCAAGAAGAAGAAATGAGGAAGTTTGAATGTGTATTTAAAGTTATTTCTATTAAGAAGAAGTAGTTTAAATTTTGAAGTTATTGTAGGATAAACTTGTAATGGATGCTCCAATTTACTAAGAATTTGTTCATTAATTACATCCAGTGAATAAAGACAATCAAAGCTCGTATATTATGTCAAACACAAACAAGGCAAAATTAGAAATTCAAATTAATATCCCGAAGCCTTTATTTCTACGAAATAAATGTAATCCACATTTCATACCCAGAATATTTGGTCAAATCAGCCTTCATATCTGCTCAATATTCAATAAATTCAAATAATTACATTTTACGTGTAATTACATTGTGGAATATTGGTTATGGGCCGTTCACTTTTGACGTCCAGGGGGGAAGGGGGGGGGGGGGGGTCAGCAAGAGAATAACAATAGAAATAACAGGAAATCTATTGTTCTTTTTAGAAAAATGACCGTTAATTTCGGACGTCATAAGTGAACGACCCCTTAATGTGGCTCCGAATATGAGATAATTACAGCAACATTAATGCATTATAAGATCATAGACAATGGTTATCTATTTCATATTCGACACCATACCGAATGATTTCAATCGAAATAATAACGATTATTCATGTCCATAATTGTACCTTTACATCTGAATATGGAAGTCCAACAATATGTTTTTATGCAGCATATTAATTTCCATTTACTGCCAATGGCCATACTAGACAAAAAAAAAACTCGCTGCAGAATATATTGTACGGAAAATTGTCATGTTTTCGTTACACAGAAAGAATTGACGATTATGAACATGTTTGACATGTTTATATGCGAGACACAGCCATCATTGTCAAATTTCGTTGCTATGAATTTTTCATTCTTTTTTTCACTCGCTCATCTCAAACATGATAATAAAATGCCCGGGGACCTATTTGATTGCAAAAAAACGTATCGCAGCACAAATTTGTATGTAAATAATTGTAAATGCTTTAAAAAATATATATTAAGCTTGTGGGATTTTATAGCATGTCGTGTAGCATTTAAATGGCGAAAAAATTGCTGCGGTTGAGGATCCAACGCATGTTATCCTATTAATTTTAAAACAAATGTTTTATTAACAATTATGCTTTAGAATATTGATCAATCCTATTAGTGTGAAAAATGGTTTGAATGGTTGTGGGCGGCAGTAGAGCTTGATGCAACTGTTTTGAATTGTTTTGTTTTATTCATGGTATGAATTCCTAAATGTAATTAAATTGTTTGTGAGCTTAATGTCATGTCAAATGATTGGTGGAACGTGTTTCAAAATTTTTGATACAGACAGAAGCATTACGGGATGGGGAAGTATGTGATTAGTCATATGTTCCTACATGACCGTTTTGAAAGCTACATATTGACATATTTGGTCTTAAAGCTTAGTAGATCTCTTTGATTCAAGTAAGAAAACAGCCGAAGAGCACTTTAAACCCCCCCACTGACGTCATTTATGAACGATCCCTAACCCATTTCAACCACAAAAAAATTATCGCAAACTATTTTTTTCTCATTTCTTTGAATAACATCCAAAAGAATTTCTCACATTCTCATATTTACTTTACCGCAAAAAATACTTTTCTGACTCAACTTGAAATATTTTTTTCGAATTCTTCTCACGAATTATTCCCGAAAAAAAAAAAATGTATTTGCGGCTGTTTCTCCATCCAAACAATAAGAGTGCAGTAATTATCAGATTTTCCGGCGCCAAAGCGTGAAAAAAAAATCCCAAAGAATGAGAAAATTAAATTGCGTAACGCTGAGACTTACTGTGAGAGAAAGGGCATGGAGGAAGAAGAAAACTAATTTTCCACTCGCATGACGTTGTGCTTTTTGTGAATGTTTTGGATCAAATTTCAAGTTTATTTCCTTTCTTCTTGCAGATTAGGTTCGTAAAAATTTTATGAAAGCTTTATTTGCTGTTCTTGTCATAAGCTCCTTTTCTTGAAAAAAAGATTAAAGCTAGGGACGAGCACTTACAGGTTCTCTATAAATGACGTCAATCGAAATTGTTACTTTCAGTCCTTACCGTTTTATTCTCTTAAATTTTTGACACACATCATCAGAACTCCTTTTTAAACTTCATGTCATTAGGCGACTACAGTTCGGAGTGCTTACTACTTGAATTATAATTAATACATTTCTATGACCTATTGTTGATTTATGGTTTGCAGCTCTTCGCTAATTTTTTTTTCATGCAAGTCATTTTTTGGTGAAGAGCTCTTCTGAATCGTAAAAAAGCTTTTCTTCTAATGTTACACTTGAATTAATCGGTAACTTAGTCATGAGTCATGACGGGACTTAAAATATCTTATTTGATGTTTTATAATCTGAAATTTTAATGAATGTAGAGAAAGTGAAAGGGATAAGTAAATGATGGGCAAATTTTTTTGGAAAGGCAATACTTTAAGTTCATTGTTGGTCAAACTTTTTGAGCCACTGCACACTTTACGGTTAAGCCATGACCAAAGTCGCACACAACATGTGGCTCGCATCATTTCTAATTAATTTCCGCGGCACACAGTCTGGACAACACTGTTTTAGATTGTCATCAAAATTTCTGCTTGTAAATGTTGTGAACTTTTTATCAAATTTTTTCGCATCTTGTTGTTTCCCCCTTAACAAAATGACGCCCAAGCCGTTAATATCCCAAACTGTTTGAAGAATTTAAAGGATACAACTTTCTTCAGATGCTTTCTAAGCTATACAGTGGACCAACATACAAGATTTTAAGACAGTGTTTCTCAAACTATGCACTGAGGAGCTTTTTTGTTACGCTAAAGAAATTCTAGCTGTGTCCATAATTGTTGCTCCAGTTTTTGTTCCTATTTGTATCTAATAATACTATAATTCACATTAGCAGTATTTACTGTTTTGACTCGATTGATTAAGCAAGGAAAAGCAGCTGATAAGATAAAAATGTTGCTATGAATCAAGTGTCACACAATCGTCATTTTCTAAGTATGACATGCGGTATCATGTGGTATTTACTAAAAAGGAAATATTTCTAAGTATCAGAATTATAATCGATCGCCACTATCTTAAAGTTTTAATGTTTTTGATTTTGATAGCCAAAAAAAAAAATAATTCTGAGCTGTTTAGTGACGTCACATGAATGCAAATCATATGAGTGATAAATTTCAGACACAATTTTGAAATACATTAGGGGTTTATATGGAGATCCGTTGCTAGTAAGTTAGCACTTAGTAGATCGTCAACCTAAACTATCAAAAATCTTCAGCTTAATCATAAATCAAATCTTAAAAATTGCTTTAAAAGCATCAACAAAATCCAATTTACTTAAAATGTGTTTTCTATTGCTCCCTAAAATAATAAAAATAAAAAATTTTGAATGCTCCTATTACAGTAGATTTGGCAACATTCCATTGCACTTCGTTTTTTTTTTGTTACGTACTTAGCACAATTTTCTCATTACAAATCGGATGGCTTACATTTTGAGCTTTTGCCAAATCAATGTAAATAAAAGAGAAGAGCAAGCATAAAGCATGTAGATAAAAATCAAAGAGAATAAAAATCTTTACAGAGACTAAGTGGTGAGCGATAAAAAATTTATGGCGGAATTACAATAAGTGTGGTGATGCTAATAGCCTTTTATGTGCTGAAAGTGATCTGAAAGGAAGCTTATTAATGCTGATTTGTGGATATGTGGATATGATAATTGTATGCTCATTAAAACAAACACGGTTGCTGTTAGCTGAAAGCTTACATTCTATAAGTATAAATGGTAATTGGATATAAGTGTACTTGACTGTAGATGAAGACTTTAGCGACACAGAATGCACTTGATTATTCTGGTTATGTTTTTGAAACCAAAGAGATTTTGTGATTTAGATTTGCAAGTTTCTCGAGGCATGGAGCTAGTTTTGAGTAGCTGTAAGCATTTCATCTCAATATCAGGTAGAATGGCTTCATTTATCCCTCAACTCTTCTTTCAACATCTCAAGTCATGCAAATTAAAGAATAAAATTAAAATTGCTTCCTTAAAATCAAGAGTATCCAAACGTTATAGTCTATGCTTTTCACGTTTCTCATCTTGATAGCATGAAGCAATATACGATAAAATATAATAAGATTCTGTTCGATTTGGAATCGATTCGGGGGTGTCTTTACGGCTGAAAAGGCAAGAACCAAATTTGCATGAATTTAAGTGGAAATCCGATTGGCGATTTTAAAGTGCATTTATTATTGAGATTTGATAAAAGATGTCGTTCTCTGTAAAGCTTTTGGATCAGGATCTTGGATGCACCTCTTTTTGAGACGAACAATTAGAGCATATCTAGGTCTGGTTTCTAGAGCTCTCCATGGCACTTCAACCTAAAATAAGAATCATACAAAGTAATCCAAATTTTGATGCTAGTCTGGGCAGCAGCAGCTTCTTGATGTCTGAAAACCTCAAATATTGTGTACGTCATTTTTAAACAACCCCTAAGAGAAGTTGGGAATTTGAAAATCGATATTGACAAAAGATAAAATTATCAACTGCACAATTGTGAATGCTGAGCTCATTTTAATCTGTTGGGAAATGATTTTCTTGCTTTTTGTATTTTCTATGATTCATAGATTTCACCTTCAACAATAAGCATCACACATGTGCATAACAAAAACTTAATTCTCTCATCAACATGACATAACGATTCAGTTTTTGCTTAAAAAGCACAAAAAAGCTCCATCGGCGTGCAAGTTTCTTTGTTTTATAGCTTCATATGATGTATTAATCTTCTCATCAAGTCAATATCATAAATTTTACTTTCTTCTGCATTTTTTACGTCTCATGGCATAGTTGGCATTCAGTGAAAATTCTCTTCCTTGCCAAATTGACGACAAGTGAGATTTTATTCGCATTACATAGTATCTTGACATATCCATCATAAAATATTAGTGCTGCTGTACAAGAAATTTGTCTAGGTTTTTTGTTTATCCAAGAGTAATGCCTGCAATCATGCTCAATCATTGTGAATCAACTTTAATACTTTCACCTAACGTTATTAAAGCTCACATCTTTCTTAGCAATAAGAATTCAGCGTAGGATGTAGGATGCTGCAAAGAATGTTATGAATTTTCACTATAAAATTTTCATATTTACTCTAAACTTCTTATTATTCATCCTCCTACATTCTTTCCTTGTATATGCACTGTAAAAAATTATGTTTACGTCAAGGTTTATGACCTAGCTTTTTATTGCCTATGCTCAATATTTTTAAGACTTTTTTTTTATGTGACTAAACTTTGATGGAGGATGTTATAGCAGTTAATTTGTCTCCTTTTTGAATGAAACATGCTTTTAAGGAATTGTCGATTCTTAAGAAAAATAAAGTTTAAAATCAAGCCTTGCGTCCCGAGCGACTTATGAGATCTTTTTGGAATTAATGTGATCAGATAAATCAACAATAGAAGCGGGGGCGTAGCCAGGGGGGGGGGGGCATAGGGGCCCCCCCTACGAAAATCTGATAATTGTTTTATTAAGTATGTATAGAGAAGAACCAATTAATGTAGAGGAAGTGATGAAAGAAATGTCAAAATCAGCACGAAAAATTAAATTTAATGTATGAATAATGAATTATATATTTAAACTTATGAAGAATGAATATAGATTTAAGGATACAAAATAACGGTTTTTTAATTTTCGAAAATGGGCCCCCGCCCCCTTTAAAAATTTTCTGGCTACGCCCCTGAATAGAAGCATTTGGATACTCATTACAGTCAGAGATATAGACAATTTTAAACATAATATTAAAATCACACGGCACCTGAATAAATGAATCTATAAATCTCTGAATAATCCCCAAAACCACATTCTGATAAATTGATCATATATCACTTCCAACTTGACAATAATCGATAATATAAAATATGCCAACTTGCATAAAGCACTTACGATTTTGATATTAATAATTTATCGACCATTCTCACTAATTTGTCGATCTGACATCTTGGTTTTATGTTTATTGCCACATACGTCTAAAGCTTTATCATCAAAATATGAAATTATTCTATTTATTATCTCTCATCATGCATATCATCCTTAAAAAAATTGTCGACGAAATGAACAAAAAATTGAGCAAAATGAATAATTGAAAATTTATTGCTGGTGCCTTAACGTCTAGAAAGATCTGCAAAATAATAATGAAAATTTTTTCCATAAAATTTAATTTAGAGTGATGAAATTTTTTACTTTAAGCAGGAGGAATGCTGAAAAAATTTGTGTTTATGGTGTCGACAATGTCGCAACTTGTTGCATAATCATTTTACGGTAACAACATACTTCATTTTTTTTATGTAAAACCAACAAATTTGTCTTCCTCTTCCTTTTGTATATCAAAAAATGTGTCGTATAAATTTTATGTTGGAACCTTAAATACACTCGAGCATAATGAGAGCCATAATTGAAGTGGAATTAATAAAGAGAAGGAACTTTTGTTTTTTTTGCTTTTAAATTTGCGACGCAGAATAAATCACAATTTTTTTATATTTTTTCATCATCATAAAATTCTTTCAGGTGCTTCTAACGACATCGCAGTGAATTATGTTGTCTAAGCTTATAATGATACAGAACATGTTGAATTATTTTTTATTAAGAATGTCACCGCAATAAGACAATTTTAAATGCGTAGTACTCAAATGTGTGCATGAAATGGAAGTTTCTAGAATTTAAATCAAGACTTGCTTAACATTTTACAGTTTAAGATTCCAATTCCAGAGGTGAAGCAAGCAGAAAGTGTTTTTTTGGAGTTTAAACCCTTACTTCGCAGATTTTCAACTGAGTTGTTTGATAAAAAAAAATCATAAAACGTATCAAAATATTCCAGTCTCCTAGATCCTCTGGAACAGTATTGTCCAAGCTGTGTGTCGTAGAAAATTTTTGGTAATGATGCAAGCCACATGCTCTGTGCGACTTTGGTCATGGCTTAGCCCTTAAGTGTGCTGCGGCTTAAAAACTTTGGACAACACTGCGATAGAAATTCAGAACAAAGAGAATTTGAAAGCAGTTACGCTCAATCTATGCTCAAGTTTAAAAGATTTGGCAGATCTTTGGTAAAAATTCCTGTAATATGCATTCTCAAGTTACCAAAGCAGATTGTTATGCAACCAAACTTCATAGTTAACTATACGCTTAGACACTCCCGTTTTATCCTCAATTCCTGAATTTTGAACAGTTTTAAAAATTTCACAATCTTGTAAATTTCACATTTTTTTGAAATATTTTCGAACGACGATGAAATTGTTTTACTTAAGAAGTATCGCGACATTTTGGTTGACAGTAAATGACTCTTAGCATTGGAATTTTGTAGAGCTTAAATGATAAATAGCTGGTTCATAAGTGACGTCCATAAAAAATTACAATTTTCAGACCTCATCTGTCATAAAATTTTGTATTGCACGAAGCGAAAGAATCATAACTAGGGGCCGTTCACTTATGACGTCGGGGGGGGGGGGGGGATCAGCAAGAAAAGAACAAAAGAAATTCCAGGAAATTCCATTGTTCTTTTTTGAAAAATGACCGTTAATTTTGGACGTCATAAGTGAACGACCCCTTAAGGAAAATTTAATTTAACATTTTTAAGAAGTAAAGCATTAAATGTTAAGCCATTAAATATTATTCTTTGAAATTTCATAAATATTTTCTAATATTACGCATCAAATGCTTAAGCTTACGCTTTAAATCAATTGAAAAAAAACTCTTAAATGCCGGCTTAAGAACTGATTTCGTCACAATTAATAAGTATCTCGTAATGATGGTCATGATTTACGAAATTCACCATTACAAGTTCCTATACCATCAACTCATTCAATAATATTGACTACTTGATCTTCAAACTAGAATTCGCAAGAAGTCTAATAAAGAGGTATACTTAAGTGCCTACATTAGTGTTAGCTTTAAAGCAATTTAAGAACGTAAAGATAAGACAGTCTGTACACATTCATAATTCTACCGAGTGTACACACACAAAATAAAAATCACATTTTCATCAACAGCTAAATCTAAGTTAATTATACACACATTTGGTACTCACGTGCTTAAACACAGATAAAAGTATGTTCTGTATAAATAAACAGAACACATGTATATCCACAGAAAAAAAGTCAAAATAAATTTATTGTTTCATTGACTTGCAAAGTGTACAGTCAGGGTTAGATATGAAGTCAATTATTCTATTAATCAGTTTTTTGGCAATTGCAAATGCCGCGAATATTTTGTACATTTCAAATGTGCCATCACCGAGTCATTTTATTTGGTAAGTAGACATTGCAATGCATCATCGTCTTATGCTCAATTAAGCTGTCTCGAACAGATAAGAACTTCATAATCATATCCTATGATTTTATAGAAACGAGAACCAAGCTTATCAAAACCTTTCTAAAAATCCACAACTGATAAAGAATATTTCCATTCATTCATTCCACAGGTGTAAAGCTATTCTTCATTCACTTCATGAACGTGGACATAACTTGACAGTTTTAAGCCCTGATGTAGAAGAATCAAAGCCAAATTTGACATTCTTGCATCTTGACAAAGTTTATTCGGAAATTTATAATGGAACTGAGGAGATGAATTTTCTAGAATTCAATAAACTTGGAGCTATAGAACTGTTCAATGTGTATACAGATGTATCAAAGAAATCATGTAAAGGAAGCATTGAGTCTAAAGGATTTAAACAGTTTATGGAATATCCAAATGATTTTAAGTTTGACTTGGTTCTGCATGATATTACGATGGATCCATGCCTTCTGTTAATTTTTTCTAGAATTGGAGATATTCCGATGATTGGACTTTCTGCCTTCAATTCACCAGGAGTACTTGGAGCTAATCTACTGTATCCTGCTTTCGTTCCTGCACATGACTTGGTGTATTCAGCAAATATGAACTTTTTCCAACGATTAAACTCATTATTTGCTCATTTAGTTGAATATGTTTTTCGGGACTATATCATTGATCCAGCAGTTGATAAGATTGTGCATCAATATTATCCAGACATACCCAATATAGCCACTTATAAGAAGAATTACAAAATGTATCTCATAAATAACGAACAAATTACAGATCATAAGCAGCCAGTCTTTCCTAATCAAAAGAATGTCGGTGGTTTACAAGTTAAGAAGCCAAAGAAACTTCCTGACAACCTCAAAGCATTTGCTGACAGTGCAACAAATGGATTAGTTCTGTTCTCATTAGGAACGAATGTCAGAAGCGATTCTTTGGGTGAAGAAAGTTTATTGAAAATATTGAAAGCATTAGGAAGGCTTAATAAGTACAAGTTCTTATGGAAATTCGAGACAACTGAGAAACTTCCGATTGATCTACCAAAAAATGTTAAAATTCAAGCATGGATGCCACAAAATGATGTTCTTGCTCATAAAAATACAAAACTGTTTATTTCTCATTGTGGATTGTTGAGCACTCAAGAATCATTGTGGTACGGAGTTCCTGTTCTCGGTTTTCCTGTATTTGCTGATCAGCCTCAAAATGCATTAAGATTGAAGGATCTTAAAGTAAGTGAGACTCTGGAAATTCTCGATTTTACTGAGGATGGACTTTATGAGACAATTAAGAAGTTGCTGGAAGATCCAAAATACAGCAAAAATGCTGAACAAATTTCTAAAGCATTACATGATCGTCCGATGTCAGCTCTAGAGGAAGCAACATATTGGACAGAGTGGCTTCTTCGTAATCCAGATATTGACCTTGAAGGACCAGCTGCAGATATGAATTTATTTCAAAGACATTCACTGGATCTTTATACTTTTATTTTGTTCATTGAATTAATTATTCTTTATGTCTTATACAAGATTGAAAAGTTCCTTTACAATTTATTCTGTGGGAAGAAGACTAAAGTTCAAGTTAAGAGTGACAAGAAAAGAAATTAAGCAAGATCAGAATTAAAACTGTCTGAAAAAGTTAAGCATTAAAAAGAAAAGAAAAGCTTATAAATTTTTATAGAATAAAGGAAAAATCTTTCAAAAGAATAAATTATCAAGCGTCTCAAAATTTATTTCCACCGTTAACCTTTGCCATTTCTCTAAAAAATCATCATATAAATTATTAAAATGGATTACCTACCTCAATATTTTATGGCACGTCTACAGGTGTTTGAAATGACGTCGTGGCTGTTGATATTTATGAAATATAACAAAGAACATAAAAGGTACAGAAATTTTAATAATAAATCTATGAACAGAATTTTTATATGCGTATGCCTCATTCATGCTTTATTTATATTCACATGGCAGTTGACATAAAGCTTGAATTTCTATGACAATTTTTTTGATGTTTGTTTAAAATGCCAAAAAAAATTAAAAATGAAGGCTATAAAATTCGAAGTTGATGTTGACATGGCATAAAGTCCTACATTTTGTATGATTGGAATGAAGCTGACACAACAAAGACCATGCTGCTTTAGATTTGTATGTTACATTGAGATGCTTCCATGTTCTTGTATTATTTTAAAATTGCAGGTACTATTCCCCAAATGAAGCAATAATTACGCTAGTCCACTCCAAAAGGAACTCAAAATTATTTTAAAAGTCATCCAATTCTTTACACACTCATAAATTTTTAAATCCAAGAGTCATAAACTCGAGCCACGCTACTGTAGAAATTGAAAAACAAAAACCTAATCAGCTCATCATATGCTGTAAGTAAGTAATAGCCGTTTAATAGTAAGCGTATTGTTTTCATTCAGATAAGCAATAAGATAATAGAATGCACACAGAGGAGTTGATGCAACATTTTAAAGCAGTAGAATTTTAAACATCAATCAATTAAGATGAAGTTAAAAGTTTTGTATTTTGTGACTTTACTAGCTTCAGTAAGAGCTGCTAATATCCTATACATATCCACTGCACCGTCTCCAAGTCACTATTTATGGTATGTCTAATAGTCAATTAAATTATATCTACTCTAAATATACAAGAACTTTAGTTCAAAGCTGAAACATTTGCAGTTGCTTCAAGCTTCAAATCACACTGAAACATCCAAACAACCTTGAACTAGAAAACATTCAAAACAACTTTAAAGTATCATCAATTCTCTCTTAACTACTCAGTTTTCTATCCACAGGTGTAAACCGCTTCTCGATGCTCTTCATGACCGTGGCCACAACTTGACAATATTAAGTCCTGATATTGAATCTTCAAAAGTCAATTTAACTTTTCTCCATTTAGATCAGATTTATCCGATGGTTTTGAAAGAAGCTAGAGAAATGCAGTACCTGGAAGTATCAAATTCTAATCCTATAGAAATGTTTATGCTTTATGTGGAAACTTCAGAGATTGCTTGCAGAGCTAGTTTGGTATCAAAAGGATATAAGCAGTTACTCGAATATCCAGATGATTTTAAATTTGATCTAGTTCTGCATGATTTTCTAGCAGACCCGTGCTTATTATTTTTTGTATCGAAATTCGGAAATCCGAATATAATTGGATTTTCAGCCTACAACATGCCAACACTTTTTGGAGCAAATCTATTATATCCATCATTTGTGCCCGGATATAGTCTTCTATATCCTACAAAAATGAATTTCAAACAACGATTGGTTTCCGCTTTTGTGCATACTGCTGAATACTATGTGAAAATATTTTATACGGAACCGAATGTTGACAAAATTGTACGTGAAAAACATCCAAATGTTCCATATCTTGGAGACTATAAGAAGAATTACAAGCTATTCTTAATTAATCATAATCCAATTATTGATTGCAAGCATCCAATCTTCCCTAATCAGAAGAATGTCGGTGGTTTACAAGTTAAGAAGCCAAAGGAACTTCCTGACAACCTCAAAGCATTTGCTGACAGTGCAACAAATGGATTAGTTCTGTTCTCATTAGGAACGAATGTCAGAAGCGATTCTTTGGGTGAAGAAAGGTTATTGAAAATATTGAAGGCATTAGGAAGGCTTAATAAGTACAAGTTCTTATGGAAATTCGAGACATCTGAAAAACTTCCGATTGATCTACCAAAAAATGTTAAAATTCAAGCATGGATGCCTCAAAACGATGTTCTTGCTCATAAAAATACAAAACTGTTTATTTCCCATTGTGGATTGTTGAGCACTCAAGAATCATTGTGGTACGGAGTTCCTGTTCTCGGTTTTCCTGTATTTGCTGATCAGCATCAAAATGCATTTAAGTTGAATGAACTTGGAACCAGTGAGACGCTAGATGTTCTTGGCTTCACTGAGGATGAACTTTATGAGACAGTCGTAAAGTTGCTGGAAGATCTAAAATACATTAAAAATGCAAAGAAAATCTCAAAAGCATTACATGATCGTCCGATGTCAGCTCTAGAGGAAGCAACATATTGGACAGAGTGGCTTCTTCGCAATCCAGATATTGACCTTGAAGGACCTGCTGCAGATATGAATTTATTTCAAAGACATTCACTGGATCTTTATACATTTGCTTTATTTGTATTATTTATTATCATTTATGTGCTGTTTAAGATTGCAATGATGCTACTCAAACTGTTTTTTGGAATAAATAGAAAAAGTGAGATGAGAACTAAGAAGACAAACTAAAGTTCCGCAAAACTTTTAAGAAGCTTCAAGTTGTGACAACTTTTAAATCCCTCAATTTCTCTTTTTTTTAAGCTTTAAGATTAATTTCATCTTATCATGCAAGTTGGCAATTCACGAATAAAACAAAGTATCTCAATGATCCATAAATTGCACTTTCCATTATTGCCATGATTGCAAAAATACAGCACAATTTCCACATCATAACAAAAACGAATTTCATGAGCAAAAAAAAATTCTTTTATTGATTTTCTGTCACCAAAATTACATGCTTGACATATTTCAAAAATAAGAACGAAGCATTTTCTTCTTTGTGGCAATAACCTCGTTATTGATTGTGCTGAGCATTCTTATGAATATGTATACCTGTATTTGATTGAGTTGTGGCATGAAATATTATTTTATCGAAATTAAATTAGACATGTGGATGGATATGAGGTGACCACATAAATAACATAACCAACAAAAGCCCACAAAAAGGTGAGCCTTAATTCCCAATTGTAATCATAGATTAATTAGACATGGTTAGCTTTTTGTGCTGAGTAATTTTTGTTCATTCGGGTACTTTTAAGTAGTAGCCACTTTCTTGTGTGAGTAGAATAAATATTGAGTGGGTGTATAAATTCTCTTCTTGACATATCAGCTGACTGGTATCTTGATAAATGTTTTACCACAGCAAAGCAAGCATGAGTTTGTTCTTTTTGTTGCTAATGAAGAAATTTTTTCAGGGTCTTTTTGGGTGTAAAACAATGAACTTTTGCCTTTATGAAGAAAATTGATAATGTGAAGCTCTTTTCTGAGATAATGATTGAGTGCCTTGACAAGTGAAACCTGAGGCCTCATGTAGGCAGTTCTAGCAATATTTTAAAAATGTATGTACATCCATTTGATTAAGTTACAGAACAGTCTAAAAATCTGAAACTCTTTCGATATTGATGACTTGGATTTGATTCTCATCATTAAATCGAAGATTGATCAAATATGATCATGAGAATTGTCTTCTTAAGAAGGCTCTAGAACAGGCTGCGTCCTGTTTTGTGATCCAAAAAGTTTGAATCACTTGCTTACATGATGGACATCATGAATGATCTCTTAGACATGAAAAACAACATCAAGCTGCACGGCCAATAATTTATTGAATTCTGGCTCTGCAAGCATGTGAGTAGGTATTATATTCTGCATTGTTGGACAGTCATAAGCTTAATACCTTCCGCTAATGCAACATTTTCTATAATCATCATTTGTATCACTTTAGTACAGGATAAAAGTTTAAGATTAAAATTTTACAAAGCTATCCATAAAGTAACGCGTAATCCAAAATTAAAGCCTCATTGCAGCAACAAATTGTACAACTTTATCACTAAAAAACGATGCAAACTTTTTTTCAGCAAGTAAGACATTTGTTGAATATCAGAAAATTTTATATATTCTTAGAAATTTCTTGAACTTGCCATAAAAAGCAGCTGGTTATGATAAGAGAAAATAGAAGCGAGGAAAGTGGAAGGTCACGGTTAATGATGTTGAAACATGAAATACTTTAAGTTCCTTTGCTTCTTCAAGGCGACAAGAATTTTATTTTCTTTACATAGCTTCAAGTTATGGAATAAAAACTCTCGCAATTTTCTTTTGTAGCATTAAAAATTTTGTGACAAAGGTTTAAAGGTGTTTTGTGGATCAAAAGGATGTTTTTTTATAATGACTTGAATTTAAATGGTTATTTATTGAGATTCACTGAGCTGATAAGATGCTAGCGTTAATTTATGTGACATCTCATTCATCAAATGAAGTATTGTTACGGAAATGGAATATAGATTTGAATGTGTGTCACAACTTGTGTATAGATATCAAATCACATGAGTTAACATATCAAATTCTGATCCAATTAATTGACGTTTGGATATTTGGTTTCAATTTTCGCAGCAAATCTTTGTTTAATTAGAAAAATAGTTGAGTTGAAGCAGAAAATCATACAGTTGGAAGCTTTAAACAGCATAAAATGACTTGATTAAGGAGACTTAATAATTGACAGATTCAGCGGATAGCGAATCCAAGGTGTTGACATACTTTAGTCCTGATCCATGTTCTTAAACACTCAATAGTCCTTACAGCAGGTCTCTCATACAAAACAAAGAATTTAATGCTGCTTAATGCTCCTTCCATGATAGCTATAAAGAAACATTTAAATTATTCAATAATTTACATTCCTAGAAAACATCATCAGCCCATTAATGAGGGTATAATTAATTTTTCGTGTTTAATTGACCCAAATAAATTCGAATAAAGTCTTATACCGCAAAATTGACAACTTCCTTTCAATAGCTTTTTCTAAAAATAATCTAATTTAAAATTTAACGACCACAGTTGATAATTTGAGTGGCACCCAATTATTATTCTAATGAAGCAGCTCATTTTAATATTTTCTACGCAAATTATCATGAAAATATTTGTGGCTATTAAGTTTAGCATGTTACGGTCTAAATTGAACAAATTCAGCACGTTCCTTTTTTGAGTAAGACCACACCTTTAATGTTCGATTCGTTGTGCTTTGAAAACTAAAATTTATGAATATTTGATTGGTATGCAAGAGTTCGTTGAATGCTGTCTGGTGAACTATAAATGCTCTTTTTTTGGATTTTGGTTGAGAAGGCATTGACATGCTGAAGGATACAGACATCTTTAAAATTAAAATTACAGACCCTGTTAAAAGCTAATGGTAATAATATTAAGACCAAGATTCTTAAATTCATTTTCTAAAGCAATAATTTTAAATTTAATTTCAATATCATTGGCATCAAGGCTAATCTCAAGCACAATTGGATTCAAATTAATTTAAAAATCGATATGATCTAGACAAGAGGAATGAAATGTTGTCTGATATTTATGGAAGTCGATGAAAGCTTTCAATTGGAATGTTTTTCCATTGATATTCCAGTTGAAAAATGGAAAGTCATCTGCCACGTGCGTTTGCTTCTTCCTCATTGCTCTATAATCCTTAATTGATTTCTTTCATGCCTCTTTTTCATCTCAGCTTTTTGTTGTTAATTTTCTAAGGAAAAGCTTTCGGTTAATTGCTTTTTTTCTCATCAAGGTTAATGTGAGAATAATTTGTGACCATTCTGAGATTTGTATCCTTAATTTCTTTCCTGTTGCTGAGGTTGTTGAGAGGAAATAATGAAAACTTTAGGTCATTACGATAAGCTTATTGCATACTGATTTAAGTGCATGATTTTATGGCATTAAATGTTGATTGAATTTTAATTGAAAATTAGCGATCAAATTGATTGTTTATGGTATATCGAATGCTCTACAGTCGCTTTCTTAGGCAATCTAACCTTAAATTTTTAAATAAAATACAAAATACCAGAAGATTAATAAGTTTTGACTGCAACTAGAGTGGGTTGCCCTTGCTTTCTATAAAAAAAAACAGCCCTTAAATACTTAAGTTCTAAGATAAGTTTCAGACTCACTGGACTTTTAGAGTTACTATCAGGTTTAACTGTTCAGAATTAGCGTAGCGCTTACCAAATTCAAGCACATATTCACAAACCATGACGTCAATTCTCTAATTAATGTATCATTTCAGAGAACCGATTAAAATTAATTAAGCAATAATTACTTTTAAATTACGGCAAAATAACGGAATCACTTAATCAACATATTTCCCTTCAAGCTCATCTTGAAGCGTTCTAATAATTTCCCCATTAATTATTTTCACAAAATAAATCAACGAAAATTGTCTGCTATTAAAGCTACTATGTCTTGACCCTATAAATTACCCTTAATATATCACTTCATCCTACTTAATTAATCAAATGAAAGTGTCATTAACTTCTCAATTTGCTTTTTATTTTCACATTTTGCGATATTATCTAGGACAATTATTTAATTTGTTGTGCATTTACTTACATTCATTAGTCTTTTGGTTCTACTTCACATGTCGAGCAACAAAAGGACAATAAAGAGTTTATTGTGATAGAATCAATTCCATCTGTAACATCTGATTTACTGCAAGTTTAATGATTATCGTGTACCCGAATGGCACAAGTCGATTAATCGATCATAAATCCGGCACCAAGCCAATGTGACTCTAGCATGGTGCAAGATTCAAATCGAAGCCATTACCATGCCAGAGTCACACTAGCTTGGTGTGGGATTTCTAATCGATTAACCGACTTGTGCTATTCGGGGTATATTAATCATTTAGGTACTTACATGTATGTCATGCAAAAAGTACATTATTGATGATTTAAGAGTTCAAAATATTGAAAGCAGAAAGGTCAGCTACAGAAGTGTAGTTCCTAGGACATTTACCCCAATAATTTAATAGTTTAGCTTCATTTTATGAATTATTGAAATTTCAGGTGAAACATCTAATTACATTTTTTTCGGACGGCTCCATAATCCATTGTTTTTAAGTCTAAAACAGACACGTGGCCAGAATAGATTCAGTTGTCTGATCAATGGTTCTTCACATAAGTTAAGGTATTTTGCGAATTTTTCAATAGTTTAACCTTTTGACCATGATTACATTAGTTGGCGAACTGTTGAAGCACCTTAGAAGGTTTAAAAGTCAAACTTTAGTAATTCCTTATGTATAAATAATTTACTGAGAACATCATTCGAATGGAAGAGAAACTTGAGAGCAAATAATTGAGATTCTTTACAAATCAACAAAAGCGATGTGTTTCAAAAATAGTATGACGATGTCATTCCTTATAAAATCTCCGAAGCAGAAAGTACAAAACTGTAAATAATTGATAATGAGGTGAGCATTTAAAAATGAATCGCATAAATCAATGCTGATAATTCTTTATTTTTGCTAGATTTTTCATATTATTTTTTGGCATCATAAAATTATCAAGCTCCATTCCTTTAAATTGTACCTTCGATAATCATGATACTGTGTATCAGACAGTGTATTCTTGTATAGTCCAAAACCTCTATACAACTTTAAATGATCGATCAGTGACTGAGATAGTTGGAACTCATAAATATGGAAAGTCAAACGATGATGTCAAGCAAGTCTTTGTAAAGTTTCAAAATGTTCCTTATCTTCCGCTAAATCTTGGCAAATTCTTCCAAAATCTCGAAACTTTATACGTCATGAAGTCAAATGTTCAGCATTTAATGAATGGTGATCTTGATGGACTCAATAAATTGAAAACTTTTGATGTCTCACACAATCCAGTTGAGCAGATCGGAAAAGAATTCTTTAAAGGACAGAAGACAATAGAGAGAATCTCATTTTATGACTGTCACATAAAGAAAGTCAACAGAGGTGCACTCGATGACTTGACAAACCTTAATTCATTATTTTTCGATCAGAATCCATGCATTGATACAAGATATGATGGAGATAGCAGTTATGGAAGCATGCGAGATGGAATAATTGAAGAAGTTACAGCCGATATTTATGACAAATGTCATGGCATGGATCAGAGCTTAAGGACAAATCAGACTGAATTGTGTCATGAAATTAAAAATGTGAATGAAAATTTAACAAATGATAAATTAATATCCAAAAATGATAAAGTTCAGGAGTCATCAAGCAACTGGTCAACTGTCTTGACTATTTTATTGGTTTTTACGATGCTGCTCAACATTATATTCTCAATTGTTTTAGTAAGAATCGTCAGAAATAATTTTAATGGCAGCTGGCATGAGATGAAGAATGTTTTAGTGTAAGAATGTATGTAAAGTGTATCAAAATTTATCAGTTATCGTTACAATTTACACCATAATGAATAAAAACACTGAAGATTTCATAAAAATCACAGCATATTCATTTTTATTTTTCATTATCGTAGAGTGTCTCATCGCGAAAGGAGCTGGATTATTATTATTATTATCACTTTTAATTAAATCAGCAAGCGATAAAGAAAAGAGTAACTTGATTATTGATTTATGTTTGACTTTTGACATCATTAAGTAAGAAATATATTAATCAATAATATGATCATGCAAATCAAGTAAGTTTGTTTATTAGCTAATGTCGTTAAATTGTTGATGTTATACATATTAAGTTGATTTAATCTTAAAGTAGTAAAGAAGCTTTAATAATCGAGAGTTCTTCAGTGTCTCAGAGATTGATAGGCAAACTTAAGATCATTACAGGTTAAACCTCTCAAACCTAGAATATCCCCCTTTATAAGCTAGAATAAAACCAAAAAATCCAATTCCAATCAGAAAATCAATCTTATTTCTCATTTAATTTCACAGGTTTATCACGCTAACCTTGCTGTGCACGTTCCTTCATTCATCTTATCAATTTGTACTTCAATGTGAATTTTTTAATGCTTATATTAATTCTGATTATCATCCAATGTACTCATGCAATGCTGAAAATGTAACAACTTCATGGAATGATCGAAATGTTACAGCAATTTCAGGAAGACACTTACCTAAATTGGATAACAAGGATGTTCGATTTTTATCAATTTTTCATCAAAATTGTCATTTTATACCGAGAAATTTGGATCAATTCTTTCCTAATCTTGAAGATCTTACAATAAGGAAGTCAAATATACAATTTTTAATGAATGGTGATCTTAATGGACTTAATAAGTTGAAAACTTTTGATTTTGCCAATAATCCAATTGATCATATAGGAGAAGACTTCTTCAGTGGACATTCATCAATAACTTCAATTTCCTTCAATACTTGCAACATTAAGAAAGTTGATTTTGGTGCATTCAATGACCTGAAAAATTTATCAAGCATTGACTTTGAGTTTAACGAATGTATCGACACTATAAAAAATTTTAATAAGAGAAATCCAGCTGAAGACTTTTTTAATCAAGTTTACTCGCGATGTCATGGCAGAGGAAATACAATAAAAACAATCAACTTTAAGGAATGTCGCTTAACTCAGCATCAATCAACAACAGTTATCCACAATATTGATTCATCCTTAAACTATGCTTTGTTTCTACTTGGAATGCTCAGCATGTTATTGAGTATATTGCTAGCTTTGGTTATATTCAGGGTTTATGGCAGAAGAAGTGATAAAGATTTTAATGAGGCAGTGAATAGCGGTTTTGCAGATTTTGAGGCTTAAACTGATATAACCTTTATTTCAATTTTAAAAGATTTCAGAAGTCAATAAGCAGTTTGCTATTCGATTTGTTATTGTTGTTTAGACTGTAAATCATATTATTTTGCATATTCCTTATCACATATAGGCGCGTTGCGGCATCTTTATTCTAAAAAAATACAAAATAAACATAAACACTTGAAGCGATGAAATACACACTTGCTTTTCAATTAAACGTTTTTTCTTATCGCCTGCTTTATGGACTAGTGCCTTTGTAAACAGATGATGTCAGCTAGTATTAATTTAGGTCATTTAAAATTATATTGTTTTTATCTAGGCGTAAAACATATCACAAAATCCTAGGTCTTACATAAAGTTCAAATCCAAACAGAAGTCCTTGAGCTAACCATCAGCTATAGTAGACATCCAGTTGATGAATAGCTACAGGAGTTTAAGTTTGATTCTGAATATTATGCCAGGATTTGCTGGGAATTTTGAGATTAATCCTGAATTTCAACGCCTTGCATTTTATAGATTTCATTAATGCTTATCCTCACGTCATATAAAGAATGAATGTTTAAAAAATAAAAATAACTGGATTATGATCAATAGTCACCCTAATTGAGTTTTTAACTCTCATAAGAAGTCTCTATTCTCTTCTGTACTTTATTGTTTTTAAAATGAGAAGCTTCTCATCTTGTACACAGTTGTCAAAGTATATTGTCAATTTTACAGTCTCAATCATTTACTTATTTGCGTAGTCCAAGAGAAGCTACAAATTTCAAGACTTATCAGTGTAAATTGAGCACTTAATAATTATAATGTGAGTAAATTTATTCTAATTGAGTGATCAAGCCTTTATCTTTTCTCAATTTAGGTACTTCATTGTCCTGATTTTATTTGCTATCAACATAAATATTAGTCATCAGTTGACAATGCATTGTGATTTTAAAATTGATTCAGTTTACATGGATACAAAATATGCTTGTGTATTGAGAAACTTTACAACTTTCTTTAAAGATAGAAAAATTATAAAAATTACTGGAGTTCATGAAGCTGGAAAAAACCATAGTGATGTAAAAATGCTGTATGCGTATCATCAAAATATTCCATACTTGCCAAATAATATTGCGGAATTTTTCCCTAATCTAGAAAGTTATTACATCATGAGATCAAATGTTCAGCATTTGATCCCTGGTGACCTAGATGGACTTGATAAGTTAATACATTTTGCAGTTGTTCGCAATCCGATTGAATTAATTGAGAAAGGTTTCTTTAACAACCACACAGAACTGACTTTAATCTCATTTTATGATTGTCATTTGAAAAAAATTGAGCAAGGAGCTTTTGATGGACTTCATTCAATTAGTTATTTAAATTTAGATAACAATGATTGCATTTCTAGATTGTATGGCACATACATGTATAACTTAAGGATTCGACCTCTCTTGCTCTTAGAATTTTTGGCAGATGCCTATGATAAGTGTACAGGATATGAACGAATACTAAAAGTTAAAGAAACAATTAAGGATTGTAGTGAAATGCAGCCTGAATTAACAGGGCCTTTAGGGTTTTTCAGTAAACTAGGGATTGCAGTTATGTGCTTTTTATTTTCTGTTGATGTCTTCTTAACTTTCATGATCATCACTATTTACAGACAACATCCCAAAGAAAATTGGATTATGAAATTTAATGCTAATGATTATTAAAAATTTGTTTGTATTTAATTGTGAATTTGCTAGGGGGGCGTTCACTTATGACGTCCAGGGGGGGGGGGGGGGTCAGACAGAAAAAACAATAGAAATTCCTGAAAATCCATTGTTCGTTTTTGAAAAATGACCGTTAATTTCGGACGTCATAATTGAACGGCCCCTAGCTAAAAAGTAATATATTCTTAACTTCAATAAAACTAAAGATTAAATCAAAATAAAATCATGGTTTATCAATTCTTCTCCTTACTCAGAATTAGCTCTTACTTTTTACAGAGAGATCTACTCATTGTATATTTAAAATATATTAAAAATTTCATTTCAATTATTTTTCAGATTTACAGCAGAGAGCACAAAACATAGAAAATGAGGTGAGCTTAATCTTATTTTTTAAAGAACAGATAATCAATTGAATATTTTCCCACAGAATGATCGCCTTAAACTGTTTAATCATTTTTATGATAATCAAGTCATCAAGTCAGATGAGAATCCTTTGTAAAATGGAATTTGGATATACTATTAATAAATGTAATGCAAAAGATGTTGTTACATCATTTGATGATCGTCAATTAACTGGAATTGTTGGGAACTCTGGCAATGCTGATATTCATCAATTAATAATAACTTATAGTGATATGCCTTACCTTCCGCTCAACATCAGTGAAAATTTTCCCAAAATAAATTATTTAAAGATCTACAAATCAAATGTGCAGCACCTGATGACTGGAGATCTTTCTGGACTTTATAAATTAAAGACTTTAGATCTGTCAAATAATGCAATTGAGCAAATTGGAGATGATTTTTTTAAGGACTTAAGCTCATTGGAAATAGTCAATTTCGACAATTGTCATTTGAAAAAAATTAGCCCTTATGCTCTCGATCCATTAATCAACTTATTATCTTTCTCAGCTGAGAACAATGAATGTATGAATTTAAAAACCAAACAATCATATTCATATCGTGATAATGGAGTGACAGTTTCAGAATTTAAAAGATCTGTTGTTGAAAAATGTTCTAATACTACTCATACATTGAAGAGTTCTTACCAAGAAACCTGTCACGATATTTCAAATAATTTAAATGTCACTGAATCATCTCAAGACGTTCTTGTAATTATTGGTGTGATTTTCTTATCAATAATTTCAGGAAGTTTGTCAGCGATGCTAATTTACATGAAGAGAAAGGTTTCATCAGGGACTTGGAATGAATTAAAAAGACAGACTTCTGAAAACTAGTTTCTGAAATTATTTGATCAATAAAACCTGAATTTAATTTTAAAATAAAAATCAAACTTTTCTTTGCTAAATTGGCTATAAAGACTTCTTAAATCTCAAGAATGAAAATTTAAAATTTGATCAAGTTTGTTTCTATCGCTAATCTCTGTTTTTTGTCTGTTCGTCCGTTCTTCAGTTCTTTTATAATATTTTAAAAGAATTTTGCTGACGTCTTGAAATTAGATTGTGTTGTACAAATTGTTGGTTTAATTGAAATAAAGCAATATAATCATAAATATTATTATGAAAAGCTGGTTTTAATTAAAAAGAAAACTTAAACAATAATCTCAAAACAATAAATAAAATGATGAATCATCCAATCTTCCTTATATACATAGACCAATCGAAATAAAGCAAGTAATATATTTCATTATTTTTATTCGAAAATATCACATCTTTAAATTAAAAACAAGAATTCAATTTACTCTTGGGCAAGACCGCGAAAAAAGTGAACAAATATTGAAAGTTGATTTACTCAGAGTTTAGTTATTCAATCGTCACAATTCTTTCAGTGGCTTATAGCCAAATATAAAAACTTAATTTTTAACCCAATAATTTTAAAATGGCGACTTTATAAGTTAGTTTAATTTCTAAATCAAACATTCAAAGTGATTTTTATCCTAGAAGGAAGCTGTAAAAGGAGCTGATATGTTCATAAAAGTTGTTGAGAATCTTATTTTCTTTCATTTATCATACACACATTTTCAAATTAACACACAAAATTAGTTAAATTAACCAAAATTGATTTTACATATTAGTTTAATGAAATTTTCATTATTGTCCCTCAAAAAGCATTAATTAATGATAAATTACATCTTTCCTGCAAGAGTTTACTGCAATAAAGCCTTCTAATTTAGTTAATTTAAGTAAAAGTTTATTTTACAACTCTTTAATCAACCAAAAAATTTAAATTTTCAAAAACGGTTAAAAATTTTTGGTTAAAGTTTTTAAAGTTTTTGCTTTTTTCTTGTTCTATAACATTATATTGTGATATATTTTGCTAGAACTAAGCATATTTGATGTATAATTATCATTTTACATCATAAAATTAAAAGAATATCTATTCAATTGCCATTTAAAGGCAATTTTAAAAAATGACCAAAAAAAGTTAATTATACTACTTTTTTCAAAAATTTTTGGCTTCTATCATAAAGCCAAGGTCTAAAACTATATTTGTGTCAAGAAAAAAGTTAAGTAAGTTAAAAATTGATAGTAAAATATAGGAAAATAAGGTTAAAAACATTAATTAAATTAACTTATTAAGTCGCCATTTTGTTTTTATTACCTTTCAATGATAACCGTAGTTTTAAACTAACTATTGCTGAAAAAACTATCGAAATCGGTGTAAAACTAAGCGAGATAGACTAGTTTTAGTAAAATTTCAAATACCCTTCCCAAAAATTCAGTGTCAGATTTTGCATATTTTCAAGCTCTACAGCCTTAAGTATAGTACCTATAATAAAAAGTTACATACCAAAAGATAGGCATCAAAAAGTTCTATAAAACAGTATGTTTAGTTTTACTTTAAGTATTTTCGTTACAGAGATATAAACGAAATAACAGCAAAATCTGACACTTAATCGAAAAACGGTCTTGCCCTCTTACTTCATTTCTGCAAAATTCTACACAGTTCTCGTGAAATATTATTCAGGATTCTCTCAGAATATTCATTATCATTTAGTTCATTGAATATTTTCAATCATTTGTTCATTTCAAGTGATTGAGAGAAGTGTCGATTTAATAACGCCTTATCAGCAAAAGCAAAGCTATAAAAAATATATAATGTGTGTAAATTACGTCTAATTAAGTTATTTTATTTCTAATTTTCTATTTTATTCAATTTAGGAACTTCTTTATTTTAATTCTTGTTGTGTTTAATATTAATTTGAGTCATCAATTGACACTTCAATGTGATTTTAAAGTCGAAACTACATATTTAGGAACAAAATATGGATGTTTAGTGAAAGGATTAACAACAACATATAACGATCGAAAAATAATAAAAATTGTTGGAAATCATCAAATTGGAAAAAGCAACGATGATGTAAAGTTGTTGTTCATGAAATTTCAAAATGTTCCTTACCTTCCACAAAATGTCGCCGAATTTTTTCCAAATCTTGAAACTTTCTACGTTATGAAGTCAAATGTTCAGCATTTGATTACCGGTGACCTTGTTGGACTTGATGATTTGATTCACTTTGATGTCTCACACAATCCAATCGAATTAATCAAAAGTAATTTTTTTGAAAATAAAACAAAATTGACAAAAATTTCATTTCACGACTGTCATTTGAAAAAAATTGAGAAAGGAGCTTTTGATGGGCAAAGCTCAATACAGTTACTAGAGCTTAACTACAACGACTGTGTTTCCGGAAAATATCCATCTACTCAATCTTACTATTATCGAACAACACCTCTCCGTGAATTTTTAGTTGATGTTTATGATAAATGCACTGGAGCTGGGAGAGTATTAAAAGAAGATGAATTAATTAAAGAATGCAATGAGGAAGAAGTTCATAGCGAACTTGAACATTATGGATTAGTCTTCAAATTTGGAATTGTAATAATTTGCTTTTTAGTAATCACAACCATATTTTTAGCCTACATCACTTACAACTTTTATAAAAAGAGTTTCAAATCAGACTGGAATGAAGTCAATTTTACTGTAGTGTCAGCAAATTTAAATGGAAATGGTTATTAAAATGTCAGTTTTGTGTATGCTGAAAAATAAAGTATTTTATTTAAAAATATTTCGTTTTTTGTAAATGAGTAATTGTTGGATTGTTGTATATTTAAGACTGAGGGAAAACCCACTTTAAAATGTAATCAAATTTGGGGTCGTTCACATGTGACGTCCAAAAATAACGGATTCATTTTTCATTTTTAAAAAATAACAACGGATTTCCAGGAATTTTTAATGCTCTTTTCTTGCTGAGACCCCCCCCCCCCCTCCTTCACTCTGGACGTCATAAGTGGGAGGGGGGTTTAAAAGTTTGTGATACTTTGTGACAGGGGAGGGAATTTTGTGACATCCAATTTTTTGGTGAGAAAATTATAATTTTTGTATCTATGATTGGATGCCGAAGGGGTGGGGGGATATTGACAAATGTGGCAGATAGTGGGAGAAATTATGTTTTTTGATGGACGTCATAAGTGAACGGCCCCTTAAGATCACTTAATGCAAGTATTACACATTTATATTGACTAATTGGTATCATCTTAAAAACATAAAGACACTATGACGAAGTCAATATTCACCCCCTCTCGACGTTCTAGTTAATTTTCTGCAGACCCAACACACATTTTTAAAAGCCATTAAAATTTCTCTCAAGTTTAGAATGTAGAAGTGTTTCTTTTTTACTAATTGAATTGTTTTTTATTATGAGTGACGATGATCATGACACATGGCATCAAATAATCAATAAAACTGCCCTGATTATTTAATTATTGAAGTTGACAAATGTGAGAATCAATTTATTCAGTCGCAAATAAGTTTTGATGCTGATTAGGTCGAATTTAGGAAAAAAATATGAAGTGAGTTAAGTTCTTTACTGAATTAGAATCAGAACAGTTGCTGGACAAATTAAAATTTCAATTTCTGAATGACTTTAATAAAATGATTGGAATTGGCTTAAATTTATGTCAAAAGGAGTTATTTTTCATGCTAAGAACTTAAAATGACGTTTAAATTGATTTTTATATGACATTTTTAATTTGGAATTAAGAGTCACACAGCATCGAAGGATCTAGCAATTTAATGTAATACTTCAATTTATTTTCATCATTTTCAGCTTTGCCAAATTAGTCACGATTGCAGTCATATTATCTTCATTGACTGTAAATCTAGTCAATGCTGTCCAAGTGCATTGCGAGTTTTCATCATTTTCTCCAATGTCTTGGTACATTTCACCACGTTATAGTTGTAAAGCTGTCAATTTTGAAACAACATTCAAGGATCGAATTTTAAATAACGTGATGGGCTTACATGATTCCGATAAAACAGACACAGATATTAAAATGCTATTTATGCACAAGGAAAATTGCCATTACATTCCGAGAAATATATCTGGGTTCTTTGGAAACATTGACGTTTTATACATTAAAGATTCAAATCTTCAGCACTTGATGACTGGTGATCTCGATGGATTGAAAAGCTTATCAATATTTGATGTTTCTTACAATCCAATTGATCATGTTGGTGAAGATTTCTTTAAAGGACATTCATCAATTAGGATTATTTCATTCTACGCATGTCACATAAAGCAAATTGATTTCGGTGCTTTTGACAGTTTGACAAACTTGCAGGAAGTATCTTTGCAGTACAATTATTGCCATGATGGAGTTCTTAAGCGTGCATTAAATGGAACAACTGTTTTTACTGCAATTTATCTAACGTGTCAAGGAAATGGATTAAAATTGAAATCTAAAGTTGAAGAAGAGTGTCTAGACACCTTAAGAAAATCAATTGACTTACTGGATGATGATAATATTATTGAAGAACATTCAAGTGACATCAAAAGAGAATCAATGTCGCCTTCATTTAAGTTTATTTTATTTACATTTACATTATTGAGTTTAATAGTTTTTACTGGACTGTGCTTGATTTTATTTAGAGCACATAAGTTTGTTTCAACTAGAACCTTTTTTACTATGATTAATGAAATAAATTAATATTCAACCTTGATTCCAGCTTCACATTTGATATTTTCAACAAAAAAATGCTTTAAATTTAAACAATCAAAATTTTTTCATTTCCCTTAGCGTATATTAAATCCTTAACGCAAATATCTCATCAAACACAAAACTTTACCATCCAACAAGATTATACCAAGCTGAGTTTCTTTTTATTACCTTGCAGCTTCGTGTAGGTAATTTTACGTGGGTTTCAATACAATTTATTTTCTTTAAATATTGAATACATGGAAATACTCTTAAAATTTTATGCTAAAACAAGCAAACGACGATAAGAAGATTACTAATGTCACCTTTGGCGATAAATTTCTTTTGTATTACTCTATCGAATAAGCACTTAATATACAGACTGAAAATTCAATCATTTTTGAAATTTATGCATCAAGTTCAATCAATCCAATGCAATACAATGGTCTGAAAAAGCTTGTTGAACTTGCAGTCGTAGTTCATTTTGTTACTGAATCATTCAATGAGTTTGATCAAGAATGAAGATAAAATATTTACTTTTAAATCATAAATATTCACACATAAGCTGGTTCAATAATAATAAAATATGTAAAGTTTTCAGAAACAAAGAACATTTCATATCAAGCTATATTTCAACATGTTATACATACTGTACAAAAAAAGATGAATGAAAATAAAGCAAAAAGTTCATCAGATGAGTGGAAAATGTGAAAGAATAGCACAAAATAAATCCAGTGAGAATAATATTACTTGAAAATTGCATTGAACTAGAGACAAAAAGTGCATTTGAATGGTGAATCAACTTGAAGTTTCTTGAATAATGGATTGTATTGAATTTTTAAAGGGACCGTTCACTTATTACGTTCGCATTTTAGGGGGAAGGGGGGGTTGAAAACTTGTAACAAAATGTAACATAGGGGGGTCAAAAAGTGTGTAACGTTCTAACTTAGGGTTGGGGTTGTGAGTTGTTACATATTGTAACAAGGGGGGGAGAGGGGTGAAAAAAGTCGTTTTTTGCGTAACGTAATTAGTGAACGGCCCGGCCCCAAAGTCATTTGATTATTTTTTGTAGTTTTTCAATCTGATGCAGATTCTGTATTTTCAGAACTATGGAATCTTTATTTATTACGCTTTACAATTTTTAAGAGTCAATTCTCAATAAAGAACAACAAAATTCTTCCTCAAATGTCGACATTTCTATCTTCTCAGTGAATTTTAAAAACACTCGCTGGGTAGAACAGAAAAAGCAGGAAAAAAATCACAAAGCATCACGCATACATACACGGTAATAATGCATTCATCATCATTTTTTTTTCCTCCAACCCGTTTATATTGTAGAAATAGGAATCAGCCGTCATTGTTATTATGATTATCATTTATTTGTGCATGCAACAAAGAAATATTGCTATTTATGTTTGTTCAACATTTGTGCAAAAGGATTTTATTCTTTTCTGTGACAACTGTTGACGTTAATTAATTGTATGCATCTATGCACAGTGCAATGAATATGATATGGCAATGATAAAGTTTTGTATATTTAGAAAAAGCTTGTAATGAAAAAAAAATCCTCGTATGATAAATTTGATTTTTTATTGGATTATCTATGAAATTCTCCATCATTGCAGAAGTGGATTATGTAAACTTAATTAGGAAACTTCAAGCAGATATTATGGTCACAATATATGCTATCCAATAAAAAAGTATAGTAAATAATTATGAAAATGAAACCAAAAAAGGCCCAAAGCTTTTATTTTTAAATTTAATTTTCTGAAAAAATGTTCAAATTTTTATCCAGTGAAGCTACATGTTAGCCAAAAGCAGTTTTTACGACAAACAAATTATTTTTATGCTGACAACAAAATTTTTTTTTGCATGCCTTAAGCTTATTTGCAGATCATTTTTAGCTAGCTTTTGGAAGTGAATAATTGAGTAGCTTGTCATTTTGTCTGGGTAGCTGGTCCTTAGTTTTGATGTGTTGGTAGGACAGTGGTTGAAACTGCTGCTTTTTAAGATTTTAGTGGTGATATTTTGTTCATAGGTTCGAAAGGTTCATACAAAGTTATAAAAAAGTTCAAAAAGGTTTTACGTTGGTTACAATTGGCATTAAAACTCAGCTGTATGCAGCACAGCATTAAATGAAAATACAGCACACAGAAAAATATCCAGCTGTATGTTATTTGAAAACTACAGCTATATTTTACAGATGAAGAAAATACAGTGGACATTTTTCAAAATGTCGGAAGTTCTCATCAACATGTGCCTCATTGGATTTATATACAATGAAGATAATAAATTAACAACTTTAGTCTTATTTTAAATACGTAAATGTTGAAATATAAAAAAGGTCAAATGCAATTTGTTCTCACAAAAAAAAAGCATTAAAATACTCTTGCCTGTTCAGTCTATAAAAGCTCTAGTTTAATTTACTCAATAGAAACTGTTATGGCGCATACATATTATAATAATTGCAACCTTTTATGTTGGAAACTGTTGCTGCTCTATTGCACAAAGACTTTATTAAAGTATAGAAAATTATATCAAAGCGTGTTCATGAATGGAAAGTAATTTTGTATGAACATTTTTCTCACTTATTATGATAAATTTACAAGCCAAAGTTGTACAGTTAAAATTAATCGGCATGTTGCTTGCCTTATTGGTTCAAAAAGAAGGAAGAGTTGTTTAAATTCTTGCAGTGCCTTGTTTCAAATTCTACAAAACTTTCTTCTGCTTACAATTTTCAATGTCGAAAGAAATTAAACTTAAATCATTAAAAAGTAATAATTTAATTTTAATATCATGCAATGACTTTTCTTAATGAAACTAGTAAAAAGTACAACAGAATATTAATAAACTTTAATCCATCAATCTCTCAACTCCAATGCATAAGAATTCTTACTTCATTTAAGTAACAAAATCATTTTTTTATGTTGATTACACAAATGCATTACATGATGAACTTCCTGAACTTTCCCTCAATTTCATTTAATGGAATGCTATTTGTACTCATATAATAAATCTAAATTGTCGTACAACCTTGAACTCATAAAACATTATTAATACTGTTGCTAATGATAAACAGAACAAAGTTCATTTCGACTTTGAAGAAAGAAAAATGTTGCATGATGGAATGAAAGGAAAAGAGAGAGAAACAAAGTCAGGAAGCAAAAGAAGGAAATAAACTTAAGTCACGAAATAAGAAAGTGTGGGAAAAGTGCACTTGACGGTGCTGCAAATGCACTTATGGTGCTTGTAGGTGGCGATATAACTTTCATTTCGAAGAATTCTTATTCTTTTTGAGCTATTAGAATTACCATTTCAAAAATTGAGATTTGCCAGTAAGAAAATGTGAACTTGTAATCACCATTAAAGCTTTATTTGGCTGTTAATTAAGCTTTTTTCATCAATCTTTATAAATGCTGTCGAATGCTCATTAACAAGAAATAAAAGGCATAGCTCGAAGTCGATGAAATTTTTTATTAAGTCGAGTCGACTCGGATTCGACTCCGCAATACAAAATCGACGAAAATCTCGAGTCAACTTCGAGCTCTAATAAAAGCAATTGATACAAGTTCCAAACTTTAATATGATACAAAATTTGTCAAATAATTCTTTCATAAATGAGGTCTATCAGAAAATTTTGTTTTTAGATCTCCCTTCCTCCTCCTTCTTTTGTCATTCAAAAGTTTTCTTTTGCAATTCTCACACAGCATTTTCTGTCAAAATTTGGACATCATTTTTGACCGATCCCATTAATGTCCATTATTCTCAATATAAATTTGGATTCTATGTACGATTCATGTTTGAAAGCTTCATTCACAGATAACAATCATAATTATGAATGGAATGTGGAACAATATCCTAAAAAGCTCAATATGGTTTTTGTTTGTAAAAACTTATTGTGGACAGATTTGAAGTTTAAACATGTCTCATTTCACATAAACGAGAACAGAAAAATTAATTCAAAAACTCAATATCATGCATAATGTTTAAAACTGCTTGAAAGTTCTTACAATCGGTTGTCATAGAATTTTACGATTATTGGATTGCATTTCAATATTAAAAGTTTTTTTGAATTGGAATTGAATTTATGATGTGAAAGTTTTACAATTTCAGACAAATTTTCAGCACATAATTTGATGCTTATTTGCAGTTTTTAATGCAATTAAAACTTTTATTTGTGGAGAATTGATGAAAATATTTTCCAACAATTTTCACCATTTTTCTCAACTCTTTCAAAATTTTCATTAATTTTTCATTAATTTTCAATTCCAAATGAATATTTTATGCATAATTATCAACTAAACTGTCTGATCAACCATTATGTTAGCTAAGTTTGACTGAATTTAAAGAATAAATGCGTTACTTCCACTTTTCTTCTAATTTACAATCATAAACTCCATTAAAGTTCAAAAATAGCTATAAATAAAAGGAAGAAGTTGCTTGAGAATGTGAATTTAATGGAGAAGCACTTAAAAAGTTCTTAATTAATTGACTAATTGCAGAAAAATTCATCAGTAACTGTAAGAGTCCATAGAAGTCGTAGAGAAATGAGATTTTTACTCTATTTAAGTGGTTTAATGGCTTTTGTGGAAAGCATTCAGAAAGCTTTTGAGGTTCTGTTTTCGAAATTAAGAATGATGAAGAATTTAATTGAAAGCTTTAAAAATAGATTTTCTGATGTTCAGTTGCAGGACACTTAAACTTTTCCTCAAACTTATTGTTTATGCAATTTAATATCCATTAAGCAATTATCGACCTGTATGTGGTAATTTTCATACCTACAAAATAATTGGAAATTTCTCTATTAAGAAGCAATTATGGCTATTCCAATTTAAATATATAAATTTACTAAAAAGTTTAAAATTATACAGCACCACATAAAATTGCTACACAACAAAGAGAATTCATCTGCATAATCGATTATAACAATAATTGATGACTAAAAGAGGAGCTTAATCAGATTAAAATTAAAGCAATTTTTCAACTCAATCATCGACAATATACTCAATCATATTTAATAATTCAATTTTTTTTGGCTATAAATTTTCCCCAAAAATAAAATTGTTATTCATAGAAAGAGCTTTATGAAAAGAGGATATAATCGGGTGAGCCAATGGGTATTTTTTGTGATTGAAAAATAATTTGGGTTTGTCAATAAATGATGTCTTTCATTGAGAGGGTGAGGTCAAGAGCTTTATTGCATTATTTACTCATAATTTTTGTTTTTCTGGTTGAAAAATTGCTTCAATTCTGCTTTTTTTGAATAAAATATCCAAAACCTACTCTGGGACCGTTCGCTTATGACGTCCATAAAAACTTGTTTTCTAGACCCCCCCCTCTGTCACAAAATTTCTGGAGAAAAAAATTCCCTTTATTTGAGCTGTCACAAAATCCTAGACTCCCCCCCCCCTTAATGTTGGACGTCATAAGTGAACGGTCCTTCTCAAATCTGATTTTAAATTTTGTTCGTAAATATCAAAATTCAAACAGACACAAAATCTACTTCCAATCAGCAAACTCTCAACAATGAATTTAATGAACATGTTAAGCTTCTCAAAATTCTTGCAAAATTCACAACATCTAAGCTTTGCATGACTTATGGTAAAGTTATTATACAGAATGTGATCATATAGGCATGGGAAAGGATGAATAAGTTGCAGTTTCACAAATTAATTATCGATTTTTATTCATACTTTGCAAAGTTTTGCTAAAAATAATCAATTTCAACAAATACCTGCTCAATAAAGGATGTTGCATGACCACAAAATAATTTAAATAAAACTTTTTAATAGCTCAATTCTGAAATAATAAAATAACAATTTTTTACAGAACTTACTACATTAATAGCAATTTATAACGACAAATTGTCATAAGAAATGCCATTAAAAGATAATGTAAATAGCATTTAAAATTGAAATGACAATTTTATAAGGAAATGCTTGCATAACTTTACAATTTGCTTCCGGGATGGCAATGAAAAATAAAATTCTCTCATTTTCAAATGTCTTTTATCTTTAACTCGGTGGAATGTTGGAAAATATATAAAAATAAGTCATTGGGAAAGAGTTGCATAAGCGAATAATGTTTTTTGATATTGCTGGGTCGTTTTTTATTTTATGGGAACTCCAGACTTTTGTTCTGAAGTTTATGGATGGAATATATTTAGTCTACAAAGTGTCAATATGGATTTTAGGTCATAAATTGTCATATTTTAGTGGAATGAGAGATAATTTGAGTTTGTTGTGGATACTCTGGGGATTAAACAGTCTGCGGCTTTACTGTATTTTTAATGAGTCTCCCACAGCATTGAATTTTTGAGCGAGACAGTTCCGCCTAAAATCCTTAATGTCCTGCTTTTTTGGACCTATTTTTCTTGGAAAATGTTTGAAATTTGGTCTGTCCAGCTTTTTAGAGCTGAACTAGGGAAATTTCCCGTTTTTTGACCGCCTAATCCTATGCCGTATACCATTCGAGAATGTCTTAATGTTGAGACACTGCATGTAATTTTATTTATCAACTTTAAATCCTCTCAAATAGGTGCATTACAAATTCTATAGCTCCAAAAAGACATTTTGTCTAAAATTCTCACCTCAAATGTAAGCATGACATTCCAAATAGTACTTTTAAAAAATGATTTCAATGCGGACGAAACAGTAAAAACTTTGCAGGATAAAACATAAAATTTTCTTTATTATTATTTACTGAGGAAGAACTCAACAGCAGACATGAGAACAGAGAGATTTACGAGTTAGTCATTAGTTATCTTAGTATTCAGGATGAGTAGCATTTTTCATCATGACAGCTCTAAAATAAATGTATATACATAAAAAGAGGATGATTTTTATCCAGCATTAGCATGATAATTTTAATCGTGGAACGGAAATTTCAAGCTCTAAAAAAATGAAGAAGAATTAGGATTGACTGACGCATAAGCTTTGGCCATGAATAACAGATGGATGATTCTCATGTTTAGACTTAGTTGATAAAATTTTGAGATCTAATAAAGAAAATGTAAAGGGAAGCAAATTGATGTAATAAGGATGAGTATTCTTTTACTCGAGACTGAAATTTAAGACAAATTGGGCATCAGTCATTGCTGTTATCAAGATCTCTGAAACTCTTGATAGCTCCGAACTTGACTTGACTCAAGGGAAAATTGGAATATCTACACCTTAATAATAATCACCTTAATAATCAACTGGATACGCCCTTATACATACTTACATTTTTAAGGAGCCAAAGCTTTCAATCCTGGAACAAATAAAATTTAAATTATATTAATTAAAGATTTACTTTAGTTGAAACTTTAAAGCCAATTACTGACTGCCCTATCTGAGTCAAATGTGTACTTAAAATAAAATTTCATGTTCATTGTTTCAAACGTTCATCACATTACATCCTTTTCATCCTTCCAAATTGTGGTATCATCCTCTTTAACTCAACATCATCATCTCTCGAAATTTTATAAGCATCATCCCGAGTGCACTTTTCCCACATTTCACAAAATAAATGTACAGCAAGAGATATTTTTTAAAGCTTTAAATTTATATTTTTTCTGACTCTGACTCGTCTCTTCATAATCACATTAATTTTTAATCTTCTTTGTGGTGAAAAAAAGCTCATGTAAGTTGATGAAGCTTCATCATTTTCGTTACTGTATGATAAGAATTCCCACATATGGAGCATTAGTTCATGAAAAATGCACTACCAATGACAAATAGGAGTGAATTATGAAGAGAACTAAAATAGCTCATCAACACAACAAAAAAAAACATACGCATTCTTATCTTCATAATGAAATCATGTATGTATCATCGAAATAAAGATAACTTTATTACAAGTATTAAATTAGAATTCCCATACTTCCCACCCTGCAATCTAAATGCTGTTTGTGCTGGTCGGATACATAAGTATGTTGTGTATATGCGTTTGTTCTCGTAATACTTATTGTTGTTTATTTGTAGCGAGTCTTTTAAGCTCTCAATTTGGTGTTGTTTACTGCTACAACTTTGTTTTTCTGTCAGTTGCATGTTTATGCTATCAGGCTTACTAATGCGATTATAAACCAAAAATAGGGGACTTAAAATTAGAATTAACGATCTTTAATGAACCAGTAGTCAATGTTCATCGATAGTCACTAAAATTGCTAGTATTCAAGGATTCCAAACGTTGAAGAAGCCTGATGACCCATGAATCAAGTTTGAGTTGCATCGGACCATCTGTGCAGGACACTCTTCCTTAAAATGAACGAAAACTTGCAACATAAAATAAACTTAATGTGACTATGTATTGCTATGGTAGGGTCCTCTTTGTAGCCGATTCCAGATCTCATTTTTAAAAGCGCGAAATTCACATTTTCATTTTTATTGTTATGTACTTTTTCCCCGGTTCATGTTCGTTAGCATTAGCTGTATGCTTCAAACTACAAATTTCAGCAATTATTGCCCTCCTTTTTTGATGCCTTTATATAGGAACATATGAATGTGAATGTACTTATCAGCTTTGAAGCATATTTTATCATAAAATTTTCATGAAAAACACATAAGGATGTTGTTCTGACTCTGACTAAGTTTTCCTCTTTATATATACTAAAAATAAAATATCGAAGGTCAGACTCTCGGTTTTATACATGCGTTTTTATTTGAATAATATATAAATCGCATAGGCATTACCGTCGGAAAATGAGAAGGCTCTGAAAGGTAATAAAATGGAAGTTATAGCTAATGAAAAAAAAACTTTGTTCCCTTCATTTTTGGATAAAAATTTACTGTGTGCATTTATTAAATTTTAATAAGTTTATCTCTAGTATTCACCTTAAAAGCCTTAAAATCTAATTTCTGTTCTTAATAATGACAATAAATATTGTGTAATGTAATTTCCAAGAATATGGCTTTTAAAAGCTTTATCTTCTTCTTCGCAAAGTAAATAAATTGATGTGTGGTAATTTCAACAACGATAAAATTAGGAAGTTCCTTTTATCTAATTTTCTATCAATATGAGTGATCAAATTCATAAAATTTAATAGCTCATTTATAGCTGACTGAAATGTGTTGTTGGTCTTATCGATTTTTTGGATTTTATGGAAATTTAAAAGTTGAGCAGAGATTAAAAAATAAAATTTATATAGCTGTTAAAACTCGAGGGTCGAGGGGATCCGTCCACACACAAAAAATCAACCACACACCCCTCAAAAATTACGAATTACTGGCTACGACATATTGAAATTCCAATTAGGGTTGACCATTCATTAAAAACTATTCTCAAATAAAAATCAAAATAATTCTACAATTTTAATTTATTAAAACTTTCCTTCTCCTTCCCTTTAATGTCTGCAAACCTTCGGTTGCTTGGTTTTGAGTTTACTAATTGATTATCTTGACTGAAAACAAAATCAGAGCTTTTTTAAAAACAATATAATATTCTGAAACTTACAATTTTGCAGAAACATAGGTTTTATAAATTTATACCAAATATATTGAGTCAAAAATGTCTCTGCAAATAGAAATTTGATTTAATTTTTCAAAAAGAACTCAAACCTTAAAACAACTCTAAAAATTTCTCAGCTTTTATCTTTATAAACTTTTAAGTTTCCATAAAACGTACCTTACGTAGATTTAATGTACTGTATATAACTTTAAAGACACTTTAATAGGGCATAAAATAGAGGAAGGACTCAAACTTATTGCATGCCTAATTATTTGCTTTGTTGAGCAACACCATGAATAAGTAAAAATGTCTAGAAAATTCGCAAAAATATAAATTAAGCAAAATATTGCTTCAGATTTTGTTAAGCGCAGTTTTCTAATTTTTCTAAATAGTAGGATCCAGCATGGAGCTTAGTGCTTTATTCATTAACAATCAATAGTAAAAATTTTATCCAATTTTTATAATGTTTTAAATGGAAATTTATCACAGAAGTTTTTTTTTTACTTTTTTTCAACAAGTTTGTTTGGAAAATTTGTAATTGAGGAAAAAATTGGATTTTTTTTTGAGAAAATTGCAGAAAATTGTGGAAAAATTTCAAAAATTTTGCCAACAATTTCAAAACTTTACAAAAAAAATTAAAATTTCACCCTCAAATGAAAAAATTCCAGCCCAAAATAATAAATTAAACGAAAATTGATTTAAACACAAATAAGAAGTTATCAAGGTCTTAAGGACTAGCTACTCATTAGTCATCTACATCATTTTTATATAATATTTGCTTCATTTTCAAGATTTATTGTGTACCCGTAGAGTTAGAATAATAGGCAACAGAAAAAGATTTTCAAGTGCAATATTTGATGTCGATTAAGGACTGATTCCAATAATTAGTAACTGTCTATTAAACATCTATTGGTTCTATTGTTGTGTTACATCTATTTGATCCATAAAGTTTCTATATTTTTTCTTTATCATTTATTTTATTACATATAGCAATTGTTATCGGAAGTTAGACTTTCTCGTACTCATAGGATTTGTTTTTTAGGAATTGTATTGTTCTAGGGGATTGAAGTTGTCATCTCGTCAAATATGTCAAAAAAAATAATAGCAAATTTATTATTTCATCAGATTTAGTCTGCAAAAACTTAACTTTCAGATTCATCAATTTTACCATTAAAATTCGCCAAACTACAATATCATGTGCATGTCAAACTCGATTACTTCTAATATCATCCTAAACTTAAATTTGCATGTCTTTTAAAACCAAAAATTTTAAATATGTGAATTTTTTCAACACTTAAATAAATTTTCAACGGCCAATAATTTTTCATTTAATTTTTTTCTTCTTATGAGTACAATTTTTTTGTCATGAAAAATCAGTCTCTTATCAGGCCATACCGAATTGCTCTTTTGCCATTAAAAGATTATCCCTAATTATCATTATCATTTAAATTCTTCGGCCTCAAATATTAGCGTATTTAATCGAGGTAAGCAAATGGTTGTTGGGGATCCTACTAAGGTCGATGACTAAAGTAGCTGTCATGAAATGGTCAATAGTGTCATGATTCTAATTGATCGTAATTAAACTCACTGGCCACAATAAGAAAACCATCATTATTGGGGTCAGAACCTCCTTTGCGGTATCATCTTTACGTGCCACGGCACACTTGGTGGTAAGCCATGACCAAAACGGAACACATCATTAAATTCGTGGGATATACCAAAAATTTGTTTGGCTACGGCCGAAGAGTTAGACATCATTGCTTTAGAGAGCTCCAAATAATTCACACAAGACCCCCAACAGCCATTTGCTTACCGAGCATTTAAAAATTCGTTTTTTTAAAAATTATTTGCAATGAATTTTGTATTTAAACCTTATGTATTTTATGTAAACTTTATTTCTCAATAAACAGCTGCTGCCCATCCATTTTGATAAATTTACAATTTTTTCTTGTTGCAATGGGAACAGCTTTTTCTCAAAACAGCATCGTTTTTGTGTTTCTCTGTGTGTAATTTTGTCATTAATTATTTAAATTAGTTTTTTTGAGTGCATTTTTGTAGAATAAAATGAGGTTATGCAAGCAGTTGTTATTTTGAGGGATTTTTGAATCGTTGGGGATCATTTTTAAAAATATTAAGGTTGCTCTCAGTTAAAATTCAATAGCTATGGTTATTGAACAGTGTGTCTCAAACTTTTATCCACGATACACAATTGTAGTGTTGCTCAAATTTTACAATAAAGTCATGTTCATCATTCTGTGACCTAGTAGATCTTTCTAGGATTTTTACGCGGAATTGATGTGTGTTACAGAACATAGGTTGAGAACTACTGCAATTTTAAGTTCCCCATTATGAGGGAGAGGATTGTTTTGTAGGATTGCATTTTTCCCAAATTTATTCTACAAAAATACACCTTAGTCATCCACTTCATCCATTCCTTTCTAACATCATAATTTTATATCCACTAATTAAGTTCAAATTTTTTAATTGAAAAATGATTTTTTTGTCGTATAGAAGTTTCATCGCAGAAAAAATTTCAAGTTGGATTCTAGCATCAAATTGAGATTCATAGTAGATTAAAATGTCATTTGGTTTATATTCTTATCTCCCCAAAAAGGAAAAATAATAAAACTCAGATGAAAGAATTGTGACAATAAAATGTCATTGTTACAAAACAATTGTAAAGTCGGGGATGGAACAGAGACATGATGGAAAGGGAGATTGTCTACAAGATTTAATAGTCGTTAAGGTTCAATGACGTCATTAAGGAGAAGAGTCTCATGAGAGTATCTTTGCTTGAATGATATTGCTTATAGAGGAAATTTAATTCCGGTAGAATTTACACAAAATTTTGTCACGCTAATTTTTTAAGTGGAAAAAAGCTCCTAATAGTCGAAAAGTTATCAAGGCTCTCAGCTGAATAGGAAGTTTATGTGGACGAAAAGTTTTCTTGTTAATTTCATTCTCGAGAAAATGTGATTAGTGATGGAGATCAACACTCAATTTATGGATTAGCACAAGAAATTCAATGTTCAATGAACCCATTTCTGTTTAATGGATTGGAACTAATTTGGCTTTTATGTTAATTCTATTTTTGTAGAATTGTGCTTTAGTAGCTTTAGTTCTGTGTTCATTCAGATGCGAATTAACATAAAACTTTTTGACAAATTATTGGCATTAATAAATGGATTGGAGGACATAGATGTCAGGGGTTTGGTTTCTAGAGCTATCCGCTGTAACCAACTTTAGTCCATAGGTGTGATGGAACCAAATCATTAATGCAAACTCTTGCAAACAGCAAAAAGCCCATGAAAAAAGTTCAACAATCCAAAAATTGATCTTCTAGTTAAGAAACTTTTAAGTTTGAAGACATTGTCATGCTAACGTTATCAAGTAAATGTCAAAACATCATATCCAACTGAACTTTCCCTTTGTCCATAACTCAAACTTCTCAGATGTTGACGATTTCTGTCAATTCTCGTAAATTCATCGTCAATATCTCAAACTTTTCGGCTATTAGAGCTCAATTGACTTTTTTTTCATAAGCACAAACTTTTCTTACATCCTAGCTTTTTACTTTATATTATATTTTTTTGTTTGACCAAATTGAGAAACTTACTAAATTGTTTTTATTAAGTACATATCACACAATTTTTCTTTTTACATCGCAAACATGTTTTAAATTTATTTTATCACACAAAAAGTTCAAATTAATGTCAAAAGCTTTTCATTATCCATACCCAGACAGCATGGAAGCTTCTTCATTTTCTCTAATTAAAATCATGAATAATTAAGGAACGGAAAAAAGGAAAAATCAAGATAATATGAGAAGGAAAAATTATTCACACTTAATCACTCAGGAAATCCTTATCTAATAATGAATTTTCACGATCCGGCTCAAATGTATATACATTCACGACACGCTTCTGTCGTGCGAATTTAAATGCTGATGGTTTTTGTTTTGCTGTATTCTTGCTGGATGCTAATAACGGTGATGTTACCTTCGGCGAATCCATTATGTCGCTCTCATTGTCATTACAGCTATCCGACATATTCTTGTCTCGATCTCTTAACGCTTGCTCTAATCGTCTCAGAAATCTAATTTATTTGGATAGCGAAATGAGAATTTTAAAATGTTTTGCAATTATTTCCCGAATGGCACAAGTGGGTTAATTCAGGCATTTGGCGATTCTGGCATGTTGCTGGATTCAAATAAAAGCTTGCACTATTCTAGAGTCGTGCTGGCTGGGAGCCAGATTTCAATTCGATTAACAGACTTGTGCTATTCGGGTTTTATAGCAAGGGAAAGTAACTTTGATGGAAACTGGTATGATTGTGAGATTATCAATGGTGGAACTCGATAACAAGTTCTTCTAAGATTTTTGCTTGTAGTTCTTGAACTGAGCTTTCGTTGCAAGCAGTTAAAGTTAACCTACAAAGAGGTAGGCATGTACTTAATATTTTGACTCATGTGATACAAATGGCATGGCCTCTATCTTGGAATATTTTATTAACACTATATTAAGTTTTAAACTAAGCTGGATTCCATATAGTGTTGATAAATCACTCTGCGAAAGTTCCTTTGTAATTTTTAATGCTTGGGTTATCAACTTTTAAGCTCAGACTGCCATCTTTGTAGATTAGGATATTTAAGTTTATGGCTAAGACTAATCCTAGCTAAAACTTAGCAGAAAATTGTGAAATCTGTTGAAAATCAAATATTCAAGCCGTTGCCAGCTTGAAGCATCACTTAAGAGAGTCTATCGATCATAATTGATCTGTACAGTCATCAATAAAGTCATTGTTTTCAGTTCCAATTTAAAATCATAAAAGTTCCATTCAAGAATCTAATTTTGATGTACACAATTAACAGTTCTACAAATGAGATTCTATATTTTACAATTTACAGTTCTTTCAGTCTATTTGGTCTACAACTTTATGCTAAATTTTACTAAGCATATGAATACTGAATAAGTGCAGTTGATACCGTTAGTTCTACATGAACATTTAATTTTCTATTTTCTCTCCATTTGCTATCACATTCCATAAATTTCCATCAATTTATTTTCCCTTGACACAGCTTGTCTATTGCTACATTATCCCATTTACCGTATCTGATTCCCAATAGCCTTCAGTCGACTTAATTTCTTCGGCTGCTGCTGCAATTGTTGTTCGACTTTCTTTGGGACCATCGTCTCTGCTGTCTTCTTGGGAACAAAACTGGACGATCCTGGTCCATACTTAGCATTTTAGATAATTATAAGTACACAAATACATCAAAAATTCAAAAGGAAACGAAAGAACGGAAAACACACGAACGCAAACTTTCAAACATAAATGAATAGAATGATGATGAAGAGCGTGGACTACTCGGACGATGAAAGAGATGCTGATGACTTAGTTTTTTTTGGTTTGAATTTTTTATGTTTTTAATTTTTTCAAAAAAAATAAAAAAATTCAAAAATGATGAAAAAAATATAAGAAAAATAGAAAAGAAAGAAGAAACAGGAAGAGAATGAATATTGCAAATGTATTAATTTAAATGAAATTTTTCTGATTTTTTTTACTATCCATTAAATTTAGAATTTAGATATGAAAGAGAAGGTAGAAGGAGGAAAATTTGTGTGCTGAGGAAAGAACATAAAAACTAAATTGTGATTGTAAAAATTTGAAATCTTTCAATTTTAGAAGTATATATAATGTGCAGACTTAATGTAAGGTTGAATGATTCACACGAAATTACATGCAAAATCAATTTACAGGATTAGATTTTTACAGAGGTTGAAAATTGAGTTTTTACAGGATTGACTGTCGATTTTTTTTCTCGTAGTTTTGCTTACTGGAATTATTTTTAAGCATTTACTAAAGCTTGTTAAAGTCGTGAACATTGTTCGAAGCCTTGTTATACGTACAACACATTATAAAATAATTGAGAGATCCAGTCTCTGGTGGGAATCGAACCTATGTTCTCACAAAAGAGTGTTTCAAATATCCGATCTATTTTCTAACCACTCGGCTAATGAGGGGTTAGTCTCGCACTGGTAGATTCGCCTTTATAAGGCTCGATATCTCAGAATCCATTCTGCTGCGATACCAAAAAGCTTTACAGATTTAAATTCAAAGATTATTTAAGTAGTTTTGAAACGATCTCTTCATCTCTTCTCACCGAGTGTAAGGTTTTCGATAACCAACTAGCTATCTTATTGTTTTTATTTTATTTCTGAATATTTAAAAAATCTGAAACTTTTTAAAGACCTCTAAGGTAGATGCTTAGGAAATTAATCAAAGTTGAACTGGATGTTGGTTTAAGGTAAGTTTAGTTCAGCATTGAACCAAAACAAACAATTTCAACTCTGATTGAAATAATCTTCATATTTTCAGTTTTAACATAATTCATGCTCAGATAAGTGGGATTAATATTTCCAGCAAAGTCACTACAATTTCATATTTCACATATCAAGCAACAAAATATGCAGTACAACATTCTGTCGATTAGAAATATTTACATGTTCATGAATTACCTTTTTAGCAAATCTAAAATTTCTGAAAGCTCAACTTCCAATCGAGTGTGAATTTTTGCATGAGTTGTAAATATTTTTTTGGAATTTGTACATTTTTTTTGCATGAAAATTCAATTCATGATGCAAAAGAATTTGCTTATAAATTGAAATATTTTCTATAATTTAAAATTGTCAATAACAAATCCTATCATATGATTAGAAAACTTTTCAATATAACTCGACAATATGTTCATGAGAGAATTCTTGAAAATTTCAAATGACAATCAAACTTTTATTGATTATTGTTCAAGTTAAAGTTCTTCACATACACTGAATTGATGTCAAACACTTCTGATTTAAGTTCTATCATATTAAAGATACATAATTCTATTAATCCAATTCCCATCATGCGTGCGGAGCTGATGAAATGATCAAAAAGGATTAAAATTGATCAAAATATAATTTATCAGTTCCGCAGCCTTAATTCCTTTAGCATAAAATAATCATCAATGCTAAAATGTTTAAGATGCAATAATCAGAATTATAACGAATTGAGCTTTTTGGTACCTAAACCTCACTCCCATCCTTCCATCCACTTCCAATTCTATTAGGTTTTTTCTAGCTTCACTACTGACACGAAGCTGATAATTGATGAAATCCTAAAGCAAACTGAATTTTTCCCAGTGTTTCTAGTCATTTGTGTAGTTGCGATTTACACAAAACGAGTTGCATTCCAGCAAATCAGTACCCAAAATTCCTAGATGCAATTCTCCTATGTTTTATTTTAAAAGAAAGCTAAATGCCGATTTTTTTCTTATTTTTACTCCCTCCACCCATCCCATCCCATCTGTACATTTTTATGTATATTAAATTTCATCTAAATTGACGAAGAAAATGAGCAACTTTTATTTTACAAACATTTTCTTCTTTTCATTTTCGCATTCAACGTCATATCTAGTTCCCATCTACTTGTTATATTATTCATGCAATCACTCATAAAAAGAAGGATATTTGAAGAGAAAAGTAAAGGAAATGGGCGAATAGATGAAATAGATCAAGATGCAGACATTTATGTCTGATAAGACGAAGGAAGTGAAGTAAAAAATGAAGGAAAGAAAAATGTTTAATAAAATGCTGACATTGAAATTGATATGATGAATAAAAGAAAGTTTTGATGTAAAGGAACGTGGAAATGAGCAGTGTATCTATTTGGGTGCATGATAAGCATATGACACTGAATATGGTTAAATAAATGAGAGAAAATTGTGCAGAACAGAAATGAGACAGACTTAAAAAAAACATTGTCGACTTACTTTATCCGCATCATCAAGCACGTTCACATATTGCCTTGACTCGATATTCTCTATTAAACAGTCACGCACTGAAAATAAATTAAAATCAGAAATGAAATGAATTCTTTTCTATGTAAGACAAAATGAAAAATTTTCATCCCAGGGATGGACACTCTTTAAATGTTTACAGCCCCAAAAATAATAAAAATGCCCTTCACAGCATGTCCACATGCAATTATTTTCACAATCATTAAAAAAGTTCATAAACAAGAATTTCTGATCACGTTTTAAAGTTATTACATTTTATTGATGGCATGGACATCTCTTTTGTTGTCGTTAGTGATTCTGTAGACGAGGAACTGCTCGGTGTGTATCTAGCATGTGATCGTCTTTTCGGACTCTTCCTATTGACATTTACACTGTTGTATTTCGATGGAACATTCGTTTGTGTACAATTTATTGTGATTGCCTTTTGAGGAATCTCCAGAAGAATTGATGACTTTGATGGTGATTGTGGTTGATCTGGAGGGAGAAAGGAACATGAGTATGGAGTTAGAAAATGGCGAATAAGTAATCATTAGTAAAATATTCAAAGATTTGAACTTGAACTTTGAATTATTGTCAATTGAAGATGTGAAATGAAGTAATGATATTGGATGTACGTAATTAGCGAGATACTTTGGAATAGACTAGTCGGAAAAAGTGGAAACTACTTGATTAAATGCCAATTTGAGGATTATTACTCCAAACTTTGTCAAACTAAAGATTCTTAAGATTGAGATCTAAAGTATTGACATTCATACCCAACATCCAATAAATCCATCAAACTTTCACAAAAACAGACTAACTTACTTGATTTTAAATTTCTCTTGTCTCGTCTCTTTCCAACAGTTTTCCGATAATGTCCACTGCTCTTACCATCAGACGATGGAAAATCATAAAGTCCGTCTGAGTCGGTAAATGGCAATTGCTGCTCACGTTTATTATAAAATTGCGGAGAAAATCTTCCCATTCCATTGTTATTTCGATCGCTCAATGGACTTTCTGAACGTGACGAGACGGGAGATAATTTATCATATCCGGACTCTGATTGAATTACAATCGATGGCAATTGGAGTTGTGACATTGTGAGAACTTCCTCAGTTCCCATTAAAGTTTTACCGTTCTCCAAGAATTCTTTTCCAATAAATATTTCGAGTTCTTTTGCGCTTCTTATGTCTCCATCTTCAATCTTCTCATCTAGATGATCCGTTCCGATACCTTCATCGTTTGACTCTAACAGCGTCTCATCTGATAATGTCTCTGAGTCCGATCGTTTACGAAATTGCTGTTCACAATCATTAGAATTATTTTCATTTCCCTTCTTACTGTCATCGGTCTTCTTCAATATTGATTGATGTCGTCGTGCTATTGTTGGAATTACTATCGTTAAATCACCGCATTGTGATGAGTTACAATCAATTTCATTTGGACATAATGGATTATTAGAGTTGCAACGACTCGGTCCAGGACTTGCCATGCTTGAATATCCTGACGAACTTAAATTGCCCTCCGATGGCGCTCTATCGCCACGTGTGCACATCGAAAATGGACTCAAATGTGTCATGCCTGATGGATTTAATAAATGTTTACTGTGTGGCATCAATGAGGCTTTTGATGTAGCTGGCGATATGAATTCTGCGTCAGATTCAGCTTCACTCATATTAGCAGGAATTATTGTTATCATCGGCGGGGCAAATTGAAAATCCAGTGACCCTGGCTTCTCATATTTCTCATATTGCATCATTAATCGTTTCTGTTGTTGTCTATTCGGAAATAATCCGCTGGTCTCGCCAATACTTGCACGTTGTGGCGGTGGTGATCCCGGAAATATGAGCAGAGGTAATCTTTCCTTTGTTGGACTTGGCGTTTGTATAATAAGATCAGGTATTATAAGATCTTTTGGTCTTTGAGACAAGGGATATATTTTGCGCTCTACATCAACAGGTGTAGGTGGACAAATGTCAATTGCTGGCATTGATACTAATTTTGATTGACGTACTGAGCAGCGTGAATTGTCACTTGATGATATTGTATTCGTTGGCGTTGTTATTGAATCTTCATTTTCAGAATCTTCTCTCCGATTCAATTCGGTGGATAGGTCGACTAGAATGTGATGTGGCTTGTGCTGTGGCTGCTGTAGAACGGAAAACAAAAAAAATTTTGTTGCCTTTGAATTTTCGTGAAAACAAAAAAAAAGAGAATTTTTGATGGATTTTTTACGGCTTTCATTGTAGATGAAATTGTGTATGAAAAATTGATTTAAGATCAGTTCAGCTTCTGACATTTGGATTATAAGAGTTTCTTTTTTCCAGACCGTAATAAAAAGAGATAATTACATAATCAAATTTTTTATGTCGTATTGATTTTATGGAAGTTTCTTAGTTCGAATGTTGATTGGGATAAGCAGTTTGTGAAGCTGTTTGTCTGAGAACAACAGAATGAGCTAAGAAAGTTGAATTCTATTTCTAACCCATTAAGAATGCCATCTATTGAACTAAGGGGAAAACAACATAATGGGGAAAATATTTGATGGTGAATTGTTCGCAAAATTCTCAACAAGAGCTTAAGAAGGATGTTTGAAACACATCTGACCCCTTCCTTACTAAGAGACATACCCTTAATTAATCTAAATATCCTATATAAACCTTCAACATCCCTAAACCCATTACATAAAGTCTAACCCAGAAAAAATTGCGCCTAAAAGAATTGAGACCCAAAATTCAATCCATAAACTTTATATCTTTTTCATGAACTTTTCTGCTAAAAATTAAAGCAGCAACAGAAAAAATATTCATCAAGGCTTCTTGATAATAAAAATCTCATATGTCGGAATATTTTTTTTCCACACAATTTCACCACAAATGGAGAAAGCCTTAATTTTTCCATTTTTATCAATTTCTTCTTCATTTTTTCTTCTATTAAATGTATTCATTTACAAATGTATTATGTAATATGTAGAACTGAATATTGGTGTGAAGTTGGTTGTGTTTTTGAAATTGATAGACTTAGGGGTCGTATATAAATGATGTCCAACTTTTAGGAATGGAAGTCTGTCGCTGTCTGACTTTTAAACAAAGGAAAAAATTTGAAATTTGAAATTTGAGGTTAGGTTGATGAAAAATCCCATTTCTTGATGGATGTCATTTATGAACGACCCCCAAAAGTGAATTTTTGAATTCTTCTGTTGTACGTGGATGATTATATGATTATAAATTCTGACTAAACCATAGTTAATGTATAAATTTTAAACAAGATATGAAACTTAAATCTATTTAAATTAAACAAGATGATTTTGAGGACTTTGAATCATTTGTTGTTGATTTTATGACACAATCTACAAAGTCTTATTGTTAAAAACTTGAAAAATTCCTTAAAAATAATCATTCAATATTTTATGAACCAAAAAGATTTACACATCCCCCAAACCCTAATTCCAAAAAATATCAGCCTAACTTCACACCAATCGAGTATCGAAAAAAAAACTTATTAAAATAAAAGGAGAAAGTTTCTTTTTTTTTGGGTCTAACTAGATAATGGCGAAAAGCAATTTTACGATCAAGAACCAAAAACAAAATTAAATAAAAAGAGTTCGTCACAGATTTTTTAATGTTCTCTACTAGTATAACTACGGGCTAAATAGACGATCAGCGACTACAATCACTACGTGATAAAAATTTACAATTGTGGCAAATAGCAGAAAATAAAAGAAATAAGAGAGAGTATGGATAAGGTCATAATGATTTTCCTGTTCACTTTTTTCAATTCAAAAAAATTTGTCTTTAACTTTCTTTTTTTGGCTAATATCTCGAATTTCTCGAATAAAAAAGGTAAAAGATAAAGTTTATGTTAAAAAAATTATCATATGGATTATGACTGTGATTACATTTTTATCGTCTTCATCGCTAAATGTGACTGATATTGTTTCATCATGAACCTGCTGTGATTTGATCATACGATGTGGTCGTGGCATTACCGGTGTTAATGCAGGTGATGGCATCGGTGTTGGTAGTTCCCGTATTGGCGATAAACATTTATTGATATTGCCTGGAATCTCAAGGAGAATCGTTGGAGGATGGAGATGACTTTGCATTGGTTGTGACTTGTGTGCATTAATTGCATCGAGTACAGGAACTTCGATTGTACTTTGACGATAAAATATCGGTGATTCTGGAGCATTACTTGTGAAACTGACTGGCGTGGGTATTGATGATGTTGACGACTCATCATCACCAACGATATCGTCTTGAGGTGACGATGCTGTAGGGGTTGATGATGGAGAAATTATAAGGGATGCAGGTAAATTGATGCCAGCATTTGATGACGCAAAGTTTCTAAACATTGCCAATATTGAATCAGCACTCGACACCTTTGGTCTCTGCTTTCGATTGCTATTTTGTCGTAATGAAAAGTCATGTAACGCAAGCTCACTACTTGACAAAGAGCCACTGCCTTGATTTGAGGACGTACTATGAGGCGATCGAATATCATTTGTACATGGTGATGGTGGAACGGAACTTGCTCGAAATTGAACTTCTGTTGGGAGACTCAAAGCACTCGAATGATTGCCCTGGCCGAAACAATTTTTTTATTATAAATTGAAAAAAAACTCGTCAACTTTGTGTCAATGTACTTACATCAATATCAGTTCCACTTGTTATCTCAGCTGACATTTTACTCAGCAAACGTGCGAATGTTACCTTTTTCTCGAGTTTTGGATCGGATGATAATTGTCGTGTAAGCAAACCTGTGCCTACAAGCGTCGATGTTGAACTATCATTAAATGCTGTCTCTTTGATATCATCTGAGTCGTGTGAAGAATTGTTTGCATGAACTATTGCGTTTGAACTTTCTGACAACTGAATCAATTCTCCGAGTGTTACCTATATAAAGAGATATTGGGAATAATTAGATTTGAATTGTCATGAAATAAGAATCTGATGGATCCAGAGGAATCAATCTATTTCATTCAGTTCCGACACCTACAACCCAAAAAACCATGGTTTTGGTCTTTATGTACCCAAATTTTGCCCCAACATCCTTTAAATTATCAATTAAACTCACCTTATTCGTATTTGGCGACACAAGCTGCTGCAAAATTTGCTTTTTCTCAGCATTATTTTTGCGAGTTGGCGTCGAGTTGTTTCGCTTCTTTCTTGGTGACGGTGTACCTACATGCGAAGTGTGATGATTATCTTTAATTTTTGCAGATGATTGATATTTTGTTTTTGGATAATTTATATCAATTTGCAATTTTGAGGATTGAGTAATGTTTAATAGACACATATTTGATAATCATGTTTGTTTTTGGGGATGCATGGCAACACATTTATTATTTTTAGACAACAATCGGTAGTCGTTGATATTAATTTTTTGGTAAATTTTGTAGTTATATCATGGATGAATTGATGAATAAGTTATATAATTTGGTATACACAGAAAATAGAGAGAAACAACATATACATAGCTTCAGATATAAGTTCATCATAAAGATACATCTACTGCAATTATATACAATAAAATAGAAGTGGATAGACAGAAAAGAAGAAAAAGATGCCAGATAGAGATCTGCATGCTTTATATATGCAATGTGCTACATGGACTACAAATTATAATCGAATAAATTAAAAATAAAAGATTAATTTTTGCAGAACAAAAAAACTTTTTCTGTTAAAATTTATTTTATGTGCATCAGCAGCCTCAACATCGAGATTTTTGCTCGTATTCTTCAGTCTTATAGTTTTTATACTCACAATTTGCATTTTTGTCGAATTGTGCTTTTGTTCACATCGAGTTATTTAAATCACAATTAAATGGACGAAATAAGGGGGCTTGATGAATGAATCAGGAAAATGGAACAAAAGTGGAAAGTAGAGATTTTTTGCCAATTTGTTCTTTAAATTTTTTTCTTTCCAATTTTAATTTTTAATGTGAATTTCTTTCCATTTTCTTTCGGATGTGTCAAAACTTTTCTCATTAGTGTCTTGACACTTGTGAAAATATGAAAATGGGTTTAATAATTTTTGAGGGTGTTTTATGAGATAGTGATTTAGACTGTAAAGTTGAATCGATCAAGGGGATTGAAGCTTATGGTTGTGAGTTTTATTGATCACAATTTGTTAATTTTTGATGGTTGTAAACCAGATGCTTCAGTCTAAATACTTAACTGCGAAAATTCTGACGCATATGTTACCTGACAAGTAATCACAGACTGAATCATAGACATGGGTAATTGTTTATGTCTAATGGAGCAGATAAAAAGGATAAAACTGTCTCCAGACGTTCAGAGCATGAGCCTACGAGAATCATAAACAAGAAAGGAAGTAAGTGTCTAATGCAAAGAGTTTTAACTCAACAAGGTTCTAAAACTTGCTCAAACCTGCAACCTCATTCCAGGCGCGTAGCCAGGTGGGTCTTGTTCCCCCCTTAAACGTTTTGACAGTACCCTCCTGGCTACTCGCCTGGCTCATTCTATTTGACTCAGATTATCTCAAAATATTTGCTTAATAAAAGCACCGAATGTCTTGATTTTAAAAGATTACAGATACTAGACATGAAGAACATTTCTCAACAAATTTGATCATTAAACATCATAGCCAAAAAAATCTTCATCACTCCTTGCATATGCTTTGCCAATTTTTTGATGATGATTATATTAACACTCTAGGCTCGTCTACTCGACTTTTTAAAAAAATATTAAATCTTTTACCACACACACATACATAACATTTTTCCATTTCCTACTGTACATATTTTCTTTTGATATCATTTTATACAGAGAACTTAAGTGCATCAATGTCATGAAAAACATCAAATTTAATATGTATACAAGGTTTGTTGGGTTTTTTATTAAATATAAAACATTTCAACAACATCAACAGAAAGGAGGATTATGATATTGTGCAACAGGAGGAAAAGGTTCATTCAAATACAATATTTGCATGTACCAGAAAAGGGAGTGACGAAATAAAATATAAAAAAAACTTATTTATACCCAAATGCTCTGTTTCTATCATGTCGGTGACAAAAAAATATTTTGTGGGCACTTTGGTGGTTGGAATTAAGGAAACTTTTTGTTTGAATGTCTGTACTGGGTAATGAGACTTTTTAGCGCATTTTTGAAACTTGTTTCAAAAAGGTAGCTTAATAACGCACTTTGGTCGGCTGGTCGGCTGGTCGGCTGGCTGGTCGGCTGCTAAGAAAAACTTTTAATCTAGACATCGTAGAGAGTTCTAGTTTTTTGCATTAGTTCCGTTATATCGAGTTATTGGCCCGCCGGACATTTAAAAATCTTAAAACAGTGTATTTATGCTATAATTAATGAATTTTTGTTTTGTTTTCAGTGTAAACTGCTCAAATTTTATTTTACCTCTATAATTTCAATATTACCTCTATAATTTCAAAAAATTTCTAGCCGTTGTAAAATTTGAATTTCAAAAAACCGTTAAATGATAAACTTTTTTTGTATGGAAATTCATTGGAACAAATTATTTAATTATACTATAATTATTATTTCGTAGTGCAACTTATAGCGGGAAAATTTCAAACTATTTATTGACCGTTAGAAAATTTGAATTACAAAAAAATGTTAAATGATAAACCCTTTCTGTATGAAAATTCATTGCAACAAATTATTTAATTATACTATAATTAATTTTTTCGTAGTGCAACTTATAGCGGGAAAATTTCAAATTATTATTATATTGACCGTTAGAAAATTTGAATTACAAGAAACCGTTAAATGATAAACTCTTTCTGTATGGAAATTCATTGCAACAAATTGTTTAATTATACTATAATTAATTTTTTCGTAGTGCAACTTTTAACGGCAAAATTTCAAATTATTTACTGACCGTTAGAAAATTTGAATTACAAAAAATCGTTAAATGATAAATCCTTTCTGTATGGAAATTCATTGCAACAAATTATTTAATTATACTATAATTAATTTTTTCGTAGTGCAACTTATAGCGGGAAAATTTCAAATTATTTATTGACCGTTAGAAAATTTGAATTACAAAAAACCGTTAAATGATAAACCCTTTCTGTATGGAAATTCATTGCAACAAATTGTTTAATTATACTATAATTAATTTTTTCGTAGTGCAACTTTTAACGGCAAAATTTCAAATTATTTACTGACCGTTAGAAAATTTGAATTACAAAAAATCGTTAAATGATAAATCCTTTCTGTATGGAAATTCATTGCAACAAATTATTTAATTATACTATAATTAATTTTTTCGTAGTGCAACTTATAGCGGGAAAATTTCAAATTATTTACTGACCGTTAGAAAATTTGAATTACAAAAAATCGTTAAATGATAAATCCTTTCTGTATGGAAATTCATTGCAACAAATTATTTAATTATACTATAATTAATTTTTTCGTAGTGCAACTTATAGCGGGAAAATTTCAAATTATTTACTGACCGTTAGAAAATTTGAATTAAAAAAAACCGTTAAATGATAAATCCTTTCTGTATGGAAATTCATTGCAACAAATTATTTAATTATACTATAATTAATTTTTTCGTAGTGCAACTTATAGCGGGAAAATTTCAAATTATTTATTGACCTTTAGAAAATTTGAATTACAAAAAAACCGTTAAATGATAAACCCTTTCTGTATGGAAATTTATTGCAACAAATTGTTTAATTATACTATAATTAATATTTTCGTAGTGCAACTTTTAACGGCAAAATTTCAAATTATTTATTGACCGTTAAATAATAATCCTTTCTATATAAGCATTCATTGTAACTTTTTGTTAATTACACTAAAATTAATGATCTTCTAATCTTCTCATGATCTGTAAATGAACGCAAAATAATTACATAATCAAATACTGATCGCTAACACAAAAATGCGCTTAAGTCCCTCGATCAATAACACGAGGACTTCTGTAATTTTTTTGAATAGTTTAAGGTGTGTCGCTTGGAAAATTTTGTGTATTGAGCAAGAGTATGACTAGAGAAGGGAAGGGGGAGGGAGGAATGAATGTAAGCAATATTATCAGGAGCTAGATCTTGTTAAAAATCCTCAATCATTTAAGTCTACAAACAAAACTTCAGACTCAAACATTTTCTCCGAAATAATTTTAAACACCTCCCAGACCTCCCAGAAGACAGAAAGGTAAGGAACAAACTTATTTTCATCTCGAAAAAAGCAACAGACACAAAAATTTTCTCATCCGTTTTTAATAAAATTTTGTGAATTTTTGATGGGTTTAGTGCCATTCTCAAAATTCAGATGTCGTGGACGAGAAAATAAAGATGGAAATGGAAAGAGAAAGGAATTACAATTAGAGCGATAATGGCAATGAGGATATCCCAACAGTATCATTTTCACACATATACAATTTTTATAGGTGTGGTACGTGATTTGGATATGAAAAATTTATAAATGAAAAAAATAAATAGGAAATTTTCATTAAAAAATGAGAAGGTTTTGGAGCGTGATGATAAGGAACGGTTGGTTTTAAAGAGTAGGAAGTAGATATAGAGTAGATATAGACAGAAAGTGTATGAAGAGTTAAAAAGTGTGCAAAATGTGATAAAGAGAACAACATGGAAAGAAGGAATTTTTGTTTTAGCAATAATAAGAGTTGAGAGCTTACGACGAGGAGGTGGCCTCAAAAGATCATCTAGCGAGAATGTACGCGCAGTGGAACCGGATGGAATTTGAGGACTGCTGAGGCTTAAAATAGATGGTTTTCTTATACCCAAACGATTGAAGATTGACTTTCGTGAGTCACTTCCGGGCGTCGTTACATTCGCCTGTCCTGTCGATCCCTGCATAATTGGATTGTTTGCGGCGCCAGCTACTTGCAATTGCTCTCTCAATGATATGTGATGATGGTGCCGTAAATGTGATGCTGTGAAAAGAAGCAAGTTAAAATGAACGGAAGAGACAAAAGTTGGACAAAAAGTCACTGTGACAAGTCACATGAGCGCATTTTTGCTGACAGAATTAGAAGAAATTTTAGGTTAGAATTATTTTTTTAAGAAGATTAGATTTAAAATGTCAAAAAAACAGTTTTAAAGAAATATTTACAAATTTAATAGAAGTTCTAAAAATTTTGTATTTACATATCTACATGTTGGACATGAAAAATCTAACATCAAATCATATTAAATTGTCAGGTCAAATAAAAAGTCTCTTAGCCTAATTACATATCCAATTTATCATCGAAGTTATTTGCTATTTTGATCGATAGAATGGATAAATAATTGACTGACTAGTCCACAATAAATTATAAGTGTCATAAAAAATATACCAAAAAAGTATTGACCCAAAAATAAAATGGTTTAGGTTTTTGTTTTAAATTTGATTATCTGAATCTGTATTAAGCTAAAAGCTAGTCAAAGACTTTAGTAATTCATATAGAATTTGGATTGGTTATAAACCGAGCCTTTTAGGATTTGATTTAAAATTAATACGATTCATAAATATCCGATTGCTTGTCAAATAAAGTTCGGGATCGACTCATATGACTCTGTGAAGCTAAGGTTGAAACTAAAGACTTTCTGATTCTGACCATTTGATAAGCTATGTCTAATAATTGGGTGAACATTTACAAAATTTTTCAGGGACTTGTTTGTTTAATTTTAAGCTATTGTGTCTCAGAAAGCTACATAGATTCTTCCATTTAGGAGCTTGCTATTTACAGGGGAGATCTAGCTATCTGCTAGGAGTTTTATGAAAAAATCATTCCCTCCGAATTTTCGATATAAATTTTTTTTGTCTTCCCCTCTTCAAATTCCTGACTACGCCCCTCGAGATCTAATCTATTTTCAAAGGTTTTATTCCTAATCTCCCATTCCTAGCTATGTTCCTGGTCACCCTTCTTAAAATTCATTACATTTCAAAACGTTTACCGATGCTTCTGATTTAGTTCTTTATTACAGCAATCAGTTATCAATGTCCAGTAATCATTGGACTAAAATGAATTTCCATCTCAGAATCTTTTCAGCAAAAATGCGCTGAAAATTTTCTCTTTCTATTTTAAAAGAATAATTCTCAATGGATTAATGCCAGAAAATACTTACGACGATTCCGATCAGCCTCCTCTTGCAATAATTTTTCAATTTTTTCCGGAAAATGTCTCTTGGCACACCATACCATTCCAATTACGGACAGCACAACAAAAACAGTTATTAAACCCAACCAAAACGGCTCTTGTAGCATTCGCTCGGAAAGAGGACGATATGGAATTTTCATTCGTCTCTCACATTTTGGCCCCTCGAACCATGCAAAGCATCTACATATTCATAAATAAATTAAACGGTGAAAAAAAATTATTTTATTTTCATTTTAATTAAAAATTGAGCCCAAAGGCATCCTACCTGCACTCATAGCCACCATTTTTTTCAACACATTGACCACGATTCTCGCATGGATTATCATTGCACGGTTTCTGTCTTTGATCACACGTCATGCCCAAGTAGCCCGATTGGCAATGACACTGTACGATATTAAAAAATTGTTAATTAATATCCTTTTGAAAATTAATTAAATATACATTTTATCATGTCTACCTTAAAGCCATTTACAGTTAATTCGCACTGTCCAAACACACATGGCTCAAGTTCACACATTGTTAATCCACAAAAGCGACCCGTATAATGTCCAATGCATTGACAAATTTGCTTTTTGCCTGATAGAATGCACTTGCCACCATGTTGACATGGATTTGGATTACAGCTCTCCACCCAATCTTCAGTACTCGTTATCAGTTTAATTTTGAAGTTTATATCTGTTGATAGACATTAATGAACATATCAGCATAAGCGAAATATAAAAGAGAGGAGCTTAAAATCAATAAAATTTTCATTCATGCATGTATCGAAAAATTTGGTGTTGCTGGGAATTGTGAACGTTTTCCGATATGTATGTCACGTTCCTTATAATATAAACATTTGTTGAAATGAAGCAATAAATAAACATTTTACAACTTGTTTGTTCTGTCATGAAAAAAAAAACTATTTTTATCGAAGCTCTAGACAGAATTATTTTTGGAATACTTGTCGTCGATCCCAATCAATCGTTATTGACGTCATAGTTTAAGGACGTTTTTGTCTTTTCTGAGAAGGTGCTTAAAATATATTTTTAGATAAAGGTGAGGTCTGGCTGATTTATGACGTGAAGTTTTTGATATGTTGTGTCTGTTTGGAAACAATGTAATGTTTATGATGTTGAATCGGCCGGTGCATAATTAAAGTCTCGGTGGATGAGTTGTTAAGCAATAGTATCTCTTGAGCCCTAATTTATAAAGATGTGAGTTCAATTCTCATAAGAAAAAATTACAGACAGTAGTTTGAACATGTACATGACTTCTTTTCTGAACATACAGTCAGCTGATTCAATCTGACTTAATACCAGCTATCAACATCGTCATGTTTATATTTTCCGTGGAAAATGCAATGTCATCAGAGGTCGAAGCGAGCATAGCGAAGCGAGTTTTTAGCGAGTTCGCTTCGCTAAAAATTCAACTTGCTAAAGTCGACCTGTAGCGAGAAATTTTTTTTTCTTTTCGCCTTAGCGACCTATAGCGAACTCAATTTTATTTTTTTCGCTTTAGCGAACTATTAGCGAACTTAATTTTTCAAAGTTCGCTATAGCGAACTATTGGCGAACTAGAAATTTTTTTTTGGCTTCATATAAAGAGATGTCTGATTGCGTTTGTGAAGTATGTAATTTCATACAAAATTGCAAAAAATTATAGTTCGCCAATAGTTCGCTATAGCGAACTTTGAAAAATCAAGTTCGCTAATAGTTCGCTAAAGCGAAAAAAATAAAATTGAGTTCGCTATGGTTCGCTAAGGCGAATAGAAAAAATTTTTTCTCGCTACAGTTCGACTTTGGCAAGTTGAATTTTTAGCGAAGCGAACTTGGCGAACCAAGTTCGCTTCGACCTCTGAATGTCATTGTCACCATCTCAAGATCATCAACTTCAGACACCTTCTCAACTTGCAAATCATCTTTCCAGACTTTCTAAATAGATTATTTGCACGACTAGAGCAAAAACCTTCTCTCTTGAATCAAAGCGACCATTCAATATCATCTCAGCATCTCTCGAGTACCTCATTCAATCCATTTCATTATGCAAATATTATAATCTTACCTGACTGAACACGTACGGTGGCATTTAGAAAACCAAGTTGATTATTGTTTGAATACTGTCGTATGTGAATCGTATTGAGATATGAAGTTATGAAAATAGCTGGCGCGGAAGTCTGTTTAATGCTATTCGAGTCTATTTTTGTATTTATTGTACATAGTTGCCAAAATGTCCCATTTCTATCAGCATATTTATCGTAAATCTGAAATGGTATATACAATTGTATATAATTATTAAATAACATGCAGAACAAACATTGTTCATTCATGAAACGGAGAATAGTAGCCATAAAAAAGGACATAAAGAATCAAATAAGAATAGGAAGAAGAAACAAACCTCAATTACAGCACTATCGTTACATCCATTCTCAGTAAATTGGACACTACGTAGCTCGATCGATATGACATCGCCCGAAGGTGCTATGAGATGTTGTGTGTAATCAATACTTTCCGGCATGCCCCTTGAATGTGGATAATTGAGATGGTAAACACGTCCAAATGTCGAATTTGATAAGTTTACAATTCGATGTTCAACAATTTGTGGCACTAACGTGTTGGATGATGGACAGGATGAAATGAACAAAAGAAAATTGGGTTAATTATTTGGTCACGAAGAACATAATCAAATTTGTTGTTTGTGGACGAAAAAAAAAGGCAAGTTTGAATCGGTGTTTCCTCTTTTGTCAAGGAAGCTTAAACTTATAGCTTGACATCCAGTTGTAAAGACTCGACATAAATGCGTCCTTAATTGTTACAAAAAGCACAAAGTCAAAAATTAAATTTTCAAGAACTTCCTTCATTTTTTTTCGAATCTAAAGTTATGTCTTAAAAAAGTTTTTAAGGCGCAAAACGAAGGAAAAGGTCGACAAAAGAAGAAATCAAAAAAGTTCCCTTCAAACTCCATTAAAGTGATTGATGTGCTAATGACGGTAAACGACTTAGAACGAACGAAAAATATGAAAACATAATTTCCAAAACAGAATCATCATCTATTATTAAAATGTACATGTACGCGCTATATTCAAGATTTCATGTTAATTACAGAGGAAATTACTTACTTGTACGAAATACCACATTAAAGCCCTTCCCTCGTGGACTGTTTCTAGTTCTCATAAAGATTTTAACGTGTTCACCAAGACTCGCAAAGACACCGTCACTCACAATCGTTGAGTCTTGAAATGGCTGTAATAGAACACCGTCACCAAGGTCTATGTGTACTGACGCATCATGTTCAATGTTGAATGTTAGAAATTCTATCCAAATTTTACGTCCAATCGGTGCTTGAATTGTATAACTGCAGTTGAGATTGTGAAATAAAAAATGTGGAAAATTTGGGCTGCTTATATTTCCCTCGCGTGACGTTAAAGTTTGACCAGGACATGCTGATAAGTCAATCGATCTCCATATTGCCGAGAATCCTTCACCCGCAATAGCATTGTCGGTAAAAAAATTGAGAAGTATCTCATTTGAGCGCGAGACAAAATCAAATTTTGACATATCACCATCATGACTGCCACACCATCGTACGTACGCTTGAAATGATGGCGATGAGTCATTTACACCAACAGTTTTAATTTCAATTTTATTAGCTGCTCGTTTTCTTCTTCGGTCAAGGACGTGACGTGTTGATGTCTCATCACTATTTGCATCGCCATTTTTCGTTGATGGCGAATTTAAGTCATTCTGATTTGTTTGTACATAATGAAATTCGGAGTCTTGTATGCTGACATAGTCGTACAGACACTCCTGCTGATATTCGATGTCAATCTTTTGAAATTGCATTATTATTCGACTTCGTTTCGGTGCAATTATTTTAACCCAATAATTAATGTTCGATGAATATTGATTCGGATAGTCAGGCGATGTTAATCGTCCCTCAATTTCCGTGATTGTCATATTTTGTATTAATGTATTGCTTTTCTTATTTTGCTTACACACATAACCACCTAATTGTGAACACTTTTGTGATGACCAAAATAAATTTGATGGAAGTCTTAAACTGCCAGTTGATTTCCATTGTAGACCCAAGCAGACTGGATCATTTAGTGCTTTTGACATTAACTTTTCTTGACCTTGCGTCCATCCACCCGTAAATGATATCTTTGAGCCATCAGTCCATTCAAATTCGCCATCTTTTGAATATTCACCGCCGAGCCAATAGAAACGACGATGATTATATTCCGCATTGTTCCTTATTGCTGTGACAATAAATCTATATGGTGATGATAACAATAATAATGGATAGTAATTTAATATTGATGTAGTTGAGGCAGGGTTGGTGAGATGAAGCTATCTAAAGACTTTCATGCTCCTGATTCAGATCCCATTTGACTGAAAGTCAGATCTATTAATTTAAGCTGTAATTTGATTATCAAAATCTTTTAACATTCCACAATCTTTCAAAAAAAGCTTTGTCTTCTTCCTGATGCTAGTTCCATAAATTCACAACCATGCAATCAGTCGCATAAAGAAAATTTCAATATAAATTACCTGTGCTCATCGGAGGATGAGACCGATGATAATTGTGCGCCCAAACTATGGCATATTTTTTGTGCAACAACCCACTCGACCTCGGGAAATGATACAACCAGATAGCATGATTCGTTGAATAATTTTAAACGTTCATCGACACACTCCGATGCAGCTGAGGGAAATTGAAATGGATTTTATTAATTATTTAACGGAAATGGAAAGAAAATTCATTTGAGAATTTCATTATTGAACTCATTTTAAAACATAATTTAATACAAATGCTGAAGAAATAAATTAATTATGTATCATATTTAATTAAAGGATATTGTCTAATTGAAAAATAATGCTTATACACACATAAAAGCTCAAAGTAAAGCTCAAGCGATAGAAGAAAATGATGAAATTAATTTTTATAGAAATTTCTCTATTGTTTCATACAATGAATGAAATATCCTCGGGATTCTACATTTCCCTAGATAATCTAATGAGCAAGTCAATCAAACTCAGTAAATTTATTATTTATTAAACTTTAATTGGATAAAAAAAAGTTCATTAAAATTATATCTTTAGACAATCGATGGTTTTGTAATAGCTTTTCATTGTTTTCTGAACTTTGAAAGGGGAAAACAAAATGATGGAAAGCAAAAAGTTTAATGTGAATTTTCAATTTTTTTTTTCAAGACGATTGGAAATCTTTCGATCGACATTTCGCAATCAAACTTTTTATCAACAAGTTGTTATCCCCTTGGAACTTTGTCTTTAGAGTTTTCAATGTTCATGTTAGTAGATTTGAAGTGAAATTATGATCATTCGATAAAAATTTGAAGAAGTTAAATAAGCTGGGAAGTTTAATGGATCAATCTTTTCACTTAAGTAAGGTTGATATTTGCAATAAAGCTTAATCTGTTTGTAGAGAATGTAGTAAGGGTTATTTAATATTCAAATTATGTATACAACTATAGCTGGTTTGTTTCCCTTTGAATATATATATAGAGACCGTATTGTCTCTTTGATTAGGTTTATTAATAAATTAACATTGTGTTCATCATATCCAACACTATTAAATCCAGAATCGACGATACTCGTATACATTTTTGTCTGAACACAATAAAATTATGGAATATGTTAAGGGGCTGTTCACTTATTACGTTACGCAAAAAATCGACTTTTTTCACAACCCTCTCCCCTCCCCTTGTTACAATATGTTACAACTCACAACCCCCCCCCCCCTGAACGTTCATAATTTATTTTATTTTGATAAAAAAGGTGGAAAATTTAAAAAAAATGTTTTTGGTGTGAATTTGTAAACAAATTTTTTTCGTGAACTTTTTTTTTTAAAAGACAGACGACAGAACGTTTCATACTTCTTGACACCCCCCCCCCCCCCCTATGTTACATTTTGTTACAATTTTTCAACCCACCCCCCACCTTCCCCCACTCCTCCCTAAAATGCGAACGTAATAAGTGAACGGCCCCTAAAATATTTATATGATTTTGAATATTCATTTGGATCAGTTTAGTGTCAGATGAATATGAATAGTCTTGAGCAATAAATTTAAAATAATAGAATAAATTTGGAATAAATAATAGAAAATAAACTTTCAAAGTTTTGATTCAATATCAACCAAAATTCATATTTAAACTATCTTTTTCAGTTCACTGTACAGGTTTTAATACCTTTAAAGCCATTTCAAATGCCCAACTTTATCTAAACAACGAAAATAAAAGCAATGTTAAGCTGTACATAAAAGTTTAAAATTCAACCAATTAAAAATTCAAGTTGTCTCGTGACAATCCTCGAAAAAGCTTCAGAATACTTAAGATTTGGTTGATATGAAAATTTCAATAGGTACTTTCCGATAGCGAAACATGAATAAATAAAAATAATAATTTTAAATAATTCAAAAGATTCTCGTTAACTTAAAAACTTTTTAACACTACAAAGTCCCAAAGTGTTTTCCATTTTTATTTGACTTAACACATTTTACAGCATATAGCACGTAGTAAAGAATTTATTAAATTTCCTCATAGAAAAATATAAAAATAATATTAATTCAAGCAAACAAGTGATTCGCTGTGGGATGTATAATATCTACAATAGAGAACTAATAAATAATAAATGAAATGCAAGCAAAAAAAACACAGAAGCTGTGTAGAAGAAGGAAGAAACAGAATAGTGTAGAAGGAAAAAGTTTGTGCAGCATAAGCAAGGATTTAAGTTTATGAGTAACTTTATTATAATATCAAAAGAGAAACATGAATGGAAGAGAAATAAATAAGGAAATTCATTTAAATTCAAAAGCTCAATGCATTGGAAAAAAAGAGATCCTCATCAAAATTCATCAAGTTTTTCTTGGTTCTTGTTTACAACTAAAGGCTTCATTATGAGTAGCTCATGAATCTACTTTTAAAGTATCTACTCAAACTATGTTGATTGAGGAGTGCCATAAGTTTATTCATATGAAGCTTTACAACTAATAAAGCTCAAAATCGAACAAACTTTAGTGTTTGCCAAAAATTCATCACTTAATCAAGTTATTCGGGCTATTAATGGACATACACACATAAAAATCTTTCTCAATTTCTTTATTTCCCTCCTCCTTTTTCGTATAAATTTCCAGCTTTAATTCATAGAATAAACAAGCCAGTATTGATTGACTAAATCTTTAAGCATAATTTAATTCACTGAAAGCTATTCAAATAATTTTCTGAGCTAGTGAACTCTTGAATTGACTGCGTAAATTGAGAACAGAAATTACTTTCTTCCTAATTTAACATTTGTTGATTATCATATTTACTTATGTGCTATTGAATTGTAGATTAAGCTTGAAACAATTGCTAAATTAGGTTTAGAATATTAAGAATCTTAAAGATGAAGTATTTTAAGAACTAAAGTTCATATTCTATTTTTAAATCATGGATCGAGGTCAAAGTGAATGACGTTTACAGTCTGAAATCCGAACTGTGTAAACACAGACGACCTTGGATATAAGTATATCAGCTGACTGGAATAAAATGTAAATTTTAAAGACACAAGTAAATTGGCTTGACCTAGAAAAGTCTGAATAAAGTTGTAGACGAAGGGAAAGGAACTAAGTTTGTGATTTTAAAAATCAATAGAACTGTAGAGCATTTTTGATGCTTTAAAAGATGTCCATTTAAGGCGATTCCTCAAATAATCTCATCTGATTTTTCTCAACTAATACAATCTTTGACTCTTGAAAATAAGAATCATCTTAGATCGGATATTACTTAAATATTTCACTTTAATCTTCTTTCAATTTCTCAGAAAATTCTTGCCGAGCACCTTGAAATATTGAAAATAGAAAAGAAACTGACGTGCTGCATGCGTGCACGTCAAAAATGTAGGAAAAAGAAATTCCTTCCTGTATATTTCAAGTTATTTCCAGTTATTTAAAATATTTTGATTAAAAATAATCATGGATTTCCCAGAAAAATAATTCTCGTGACTCGTTCTTTAATTCATAAAAATTTATTTCCATCCCAAAATAGCATCTTTGCAATGTTTCCACAGTCAAAAATGTTAAAATGAAAATATTTATATTTGAACAAAAAAAAATTTCTTGTGCGCGATAAGAGGAATTTTAATGAATTTTTACTCAAATGACGTACTCATTTGTTTTTCATCCTCGGGTGGGTAAGTAAAAGATGAAATTTATTGTTTGTTATTTTTAGCGTAAATATGTATATACTGTATAATCAACAGTTCACACAATTGACGCCTTTTAAGCGTACATAAACATTGAGAACATGAATTAAAACTACTTTAAATTCACAGAGCACTACCCGAATAGCACAAGTCGGTTAATCGAATAGAAATCTGGCATGACCTTGGCATGATGCCGGCTTTGATTTAGATTCAGTTATTATGCTGACTTGGTGTCAGACTCTATTCGATCAACCGAATTGTGCTATTCGGGTCTAATTTGCTATTGTGTATCAAACTGTTGCTTGTGTTTCAAACGTGAATGACATGAAAATGGGTAAGGAAGCATGTTTTATAAAAATGTTGATTTAAACCAATTTAAACCCACAACAGAATCAAAAGAACAATTATTTTTAAATTAATCAACTTCATTCACAAATACAATTTTACTTTTTAAACAAAAACGAAAATGAGTTTAAATGTTTCATTGGGTTATGAATGATTAGAGCGCATTTTGAGGGAGTTAACTGTAACCGATCAGTAACTGGAAGTTGAAATATCTATAAAAAAAATTAATATTTTTAAAATATTATACTAGTTTTGTTCATTCTGGAATGACAGATTGAAATTCTTATTATTTGAGTAATTCAGGCTATTCAGAGCAAATCTTTAATGTTCCTAAGTCAACTTCACTCTAGATTTTACGACCTAAAACTTCTGCATTTGCCAGCTAATATTAAGGGTTCTAAAATCGGAAATATTCTCAGGAATTATATCAGTACTGTTAATGAATGATATAATTGTGCACCTTAAAGGCAGAACTTGCAGTTTTTGTTCCAATTTTTAAAACCCCATTCCCGTACCAAATTCCCGAAATCTCATGGGAATGGGAATTCTAGAAACTCTACCTAGGAGTCTCAAAAAAACTTAGGGTGCATTAAACTCTGGTTCAATTTTGACAGGAGGTCCCAAAATATTCTCAAAGTACAACTAGTAACGGTAATCAAAATCAACTATTCTGCCAGTCATAAACCACCCCCACGCAGTCAATGTGAATAAATAACCTCAATTTTTCACTCCAAAAAAATGCCTCAAAAAGTCAAGCGTGTAAAAACTTTTTTTTTCTTCTTTTTTTTAAAAAAAATCTGCTAGCAACAAGCTCTAAAGAATTTTTTTTAATGGATAATTAGCATTCAAAGAAATCCTCAACATTACATTATTTCAATTATTTAATGAAACTTACCGCGCATTTCTTGAACATCTTGTTATTATTTTTTTCATTTTTATTACAACATATATCCAAAAGAAGAAACATAGAGAGAAATTTTCATTGGACGATTTTATATGGAAAAGATGCCGGAAGGTATGAAGGTGAATATAACAATGTGTATGAGTATACAACGAAAAGGAAAAACATTGTTTAAAGCTTTTCATGATGAAAATATAAAAGAATAAGTTTGGGGAATTTTTAAGGTTGGGTTTTGGGAAGTTTTGGCGCATTTTTGTGGATTTTTTAAACGTTTTTGAATCGATTTTAATTCGAAAGTCTGAAGAATCAAAGCCTGAAGAATCTTTGTGAAAATCAAGCATGACAATATGCGCCAAAATAAGCACCACATCTCAATTCGAGCACTTCCACTCAGAGAAAAAACCGACATAAAAAATATTTTATGTCAGAAATTTTTTACGTCAAATCAACCTCCTCAGGTGAGTCTGTATAATAAAATTCAGACTCTGAAATGCTACAAAGTGATCATCAAAACTGAAAACTATTGCTAAGTAAAGTCTCATCGCATTATATACATTTTATCCATTATTATTAAATCGTAGATAATAAAAGAAATCTTGAACGTTCTTATAAGATTTTGCCTCTTAACAACACACAAATAAGAGCAATCTCTATAAATTAAATGAAAAGAAAAAGTTTAATTTCTTTAAGAGCATCTTGACGGCAGTCTTCTTGTTTAATGTTAAGATTTCCAAAGGTGGTAAAAAATGAAAGGAAATTAATTAAATTTAAAGCATTAATCTTTCTGTTTCCATTTTAGTTATGGAGTTTTTTTTTTGCACTCGTTTTTCTCATTCTAACAATAGACAGCAAGAAAATAGAACTAAGATGGTGCGGGGTAGTTTTGATGTTGGTGAAAAAGTTTGAGAAAATTTGGATTTTAAAAGCTTTGAAGATGAATTTTAAAATCTTACACCAAGGACGTAGTAAATGTTTATGTTGCCTTGAGCTTAATCACAAATTTAAATCCCTTTGGATACATGATTCATTGATGTCAGTGATGACCAACCCTTGTGCCGCGGCACACTAATGTGTCTCCAAAAAATCAAACAAACTGTAATTGCTTTAAGTCATGTCTTAACACCAAGTGTGGTTGGAAAAAAGGTTTGACACCACTGCTCTACGTCACTGATTTGGACTTGTAATTTAAATCCAAGAGGTGTCAAAGGTTTGAACTAAGTCGCCTCTTTTTAAAACGCATTTGAAGCACTTCCTCTTATCACAGTCAAACTTTATACATATTCCAGAATGAAGTATATAGATTTATGTTTTGAGGCTGAGCTATCACTCTGGAGCTCTTTAAAGCGACCTTAAAAATGCATTTAAAGAGCATACATGAATCCAGGAACGTCCAAGAGGGTGCATCCTCCCCTCAAGATTAAAATTTACATGAAAAACTTTCTTTAATTTGCTAGGACATTAAACCCTTGACACAAATTCCTATTAATCCAAAATAAAATAACACTAGTTCTGGTTCAGTCCCCGAAAGAAGTCCCAGTCTCAAACTCTTCAAAGCTCTCATTATTTTCCAAGTTTCTCACCAACATTCAAAGTCATCCCACTCCCACTCTAGATGTAATCTAACTTTATTGACACAAAGAAAATGAAAAAGATTGATAGACAAATAATCAGCTAAAGAAAGACAGTGCGCTGCATATGAATACAGATAGATAGGAAGATAGATAGTATATATAACATAAATAGAGGTTAAAAAGTTTATGTTTAAATTCCTTAAGATAGATAGAGACAAAAAAGGAACAATTGTAAATAAAATAAATTTGAGATTGTAAGAAAGAGAAGAAAAAGGTGAAACATGAGGTAGCAGCAGGTGCTTCGAGGGATATAAAAGAAAGAATCGTAAAATAAAAGGAAAGATTTTTTTTTTTGGTTTGGTTTACACGCAACAAGCTATGGTCATGCTTACCTTTCTCCAAGGAAATTTTTGCTTTATATCCACTAAAATGGTGCGAGTAATCGGAAGAGAAACGAATGCCAAGAAAATTGCTCCTTGACCTGTATCGCAATAATTTTAGTTTTGAGCTCCAATCGCCGCACATTTTTCGTGGCATCCGGTCACTTAATGTACTGGGTGGTGGAATAAATGTATTGTATGTGCTATTCGACGGCTGAAATATGTTTCGGTATTCAGCTTTTTGATTCTCGTAATCACGCAACAATTGCTGAAACTCAAGGAACTGTTGCTGTTGTATACTTGAAAAGTCATTAATCTTCATCTCCTCCTTATTTCGTTTCTGTCTTGTTGACCTCATTGTGATATTTGAAAATGGCTCAAACATCTCTACGAAATCATATGAGCATTGTGGCTCATTCTCAAGCACCATCTCTTCAAACTCTATAAATATTCTAAATCCAGGTATTGCTGTGATAAATGTAAAACAATTGATATTGTCCGAATAATATCTCGGATATCCTGGACTTGTGATGCTCATCTTCATATTGTCACGTGTCAAATGAATTGTTTTATTACAATCTTCTGTCTCGAGAGTACCCACAGGCTCTATATATGGACACAAGTAAAAGAGAATGAAAAAAAAGGATCAGAATGGAGACAATGAAATTAAGATAAATGGAGAATGATAATGAGGCAAAAAGGTTTGTGTATAAAAATGACATTTAAATGGATTCTTTTTGCATAAATCCGTTTAAATCTCTTGCTTTGAGAATCTCTTAAAATCTCTGGAGATATTTGTGATTGTTTTAATTGAATTCTGGATGTAAAATGTGCATTGACAATTTAATATTAAAGCCTATAATTTAATCAAAATAAAATAATTTTTCAAAAATAATCCCACCATATTGTTATCCCCTTAGATTCCCCCTACCACACCACTACAGAGCATTGACATGCTTAGTATATTTTATAAAATACTAAAAACACACTAAATTTAGCATTCGAACGCAATGAAGGAAGCTTAAAGTCACAAAAAGAAATGTGCTTGATCAACAAAAAGACACTCTTCGTTCCCCTCCAACAAAATGACTTATGGAAGTTTTAAAGTAAAAAAAAGTTTAAAAATCTGTAGCATCTGTAGTTAACTGGCAAATTGAGTGAAAAGAACACATAAAGACATTAACTTTTTAGTCATATTTCCGTAATTCGGAAGTTTCTTACAAAATAAATAAGGAAAAAAGATCAGTAGGAAGGAAGAAGAGAAAAGAAATTTTTCTGTCATTGATGGATGTGAAGAAATCAAAGTTAAAAACATGAAAAATGGATTTAAATGTTTACCCAATTCTATCTATCTATTTTTTGCGTAGCTAAGGGACTCGATAGATTGAATAGAAAAAAAAGGATAAAAAGATTTGAAAAGCTCATGATTATTGCTGCCATGGAGAAAATATTTTGACAAAAATCAAAACAACGGCTACAAAGAAAATTATTTTATGGGACTTTTGTAAAGTTAGAAGATTTTGGTGTTGTCTAGTTTTTCTCAATGGTGTGGAATTGAAGAATTACATTTTGATCATTTTTGATCATTTTTGATAAATTTTGATCATTTCTTCAGTACCATACCCTTGGTTTTTCTGTGATTTTTTACTGGGCAGCGGTGGGCAGCAAATCTCAAACCTCCTTAGCCTTGAACTTGAAGGCATCTAGATAGTCGGAGAATTACATTTTTTTTTCATATAATAAGACACTTTAAGTGCTTTATTGAGGACTATCATAAGTTATACAAATACATTTTTTCGGCTAGATTTATATGTTCATAAATTCACATAGAAATTAAGCTGACGGATTAAAAAGGAGATTTGTTTCTAATTGTTTGTAGGATATAGATAATGACATGGCTACCTGCTGGATCGCCAAACGTAACAAGACTAAAGACTATAGCTGATAAATGAAGAAAAAAGTTTCATCTAAACTCTTCTTAGTTCCTCATATCCAAAAATTCTTCAATTTTCTTGTAGATTCGCCAAAAAAAAATCACAAAACTTTTCCCACAATATTGTTACCCCCTTGGTTTATTTTCCATACAAAACGTCTCAATATAATAAATCTAAACAGAAAGTTTCCATATTTTTCATTGAAACTTAAACAACCTTAGTTAAAAACTTTATAAAGGTCAGCAGATCAATCTTCGTATCGTTTCACACAGCACAAGCTTTGATTTTTCACGAAAAAATACAGAACTTTCTAGCTATCTTCAATAAAAATATGAAGAAATGTCTGCTTCGTAGTTCATTCTCGTGCTGCCCTTGAGATATAAATCATCTTAAATAATTTTTGACTTATTTATTTATTTTTCCTCCCATTTCACTTCCGATACTTCTTCAAAAAAAAATTGAACCCTTTTTTAAGCACGAAATTCATTTTTCAAATTCCATTGTGATTCACATAAAAAAATATTCTTTATAAAATTTATGTTTGGCTTTGTTATTCTCAGACGAATAGAAATAGCATGACAAAAAATACGTATGACAACATTATTTGTATCCTCATACTCCCTTACCATCAATAAGAGGCCGTTCACATAAAAAAAAGTTTCTCGTTGCACAATCACGATCATTCCACATGAATGACTCGGTAAGTGAGGTTGTTGTTGAGGATATTCCACTTGTGGAAGGTCGATGATAAAATTTTCTTATTTCCACACAATCCTGCTCGCTTAATCCATCATCGTTTGGCTGTCGATTATAATTTCCATGCTCTTGCCATCCGGGAAACCATTCTAATTTTTGAGATTCCAATAAAAAAACTTTAAAATTGAAACAAAAAGAAAAACTTGCAAAACTTACTTGTGAACGAGAATTGTTGTCCATCCGTCCACCGGAAGTCACCCTCAAAGTACTTATCCGTTGCTCCTATCCAGTAAGACACGTGCTCGTTGTAATGTGCACTGTACAACAAAAAAATAGCAAGGAAATAAAATCAATGTTGACATAAGGATTTATGTGAGAAAAAGTGAAATGGCAAAAAAAAATACTTTTATAGGAAAAAGTTCGTGTTGAAACGAAAACATGAGAATCTTTGGGAATGTGTGGGCGGCTAAGAGGGGTTCTTATACTTGGAAATGTTTCAGACGGAAAGAAAAAGGAAGCTTTTTATTTAAACATGAAACTAAGTTGAGAGAATTCATAAATTAGAGTTAAATCTTTCAGAAATTAAATAATCAATAATCTAATGACCAGTCCCGATCAGCACAGTTTGAATGAGGACTTTAAGGTTATCACGTTAGTGGCTTATTTTGAATTAAACTATTAAGCGACTGCTTAGCGATTAATTAGGTTTCTGAGTCTATTACCAAATGACTAAAGCCCGAGTCAAACAAATCTCAAGACTTAGCCATAAAGCCATTAATTAAGTAATCATCTAGTCCCCCTTCCACATGACAGTCATATCCTTTATTACTTGTGTTACTCAGGATGCTTCTATTCTAAGTTGACTATTCATTCGACTGTCCTCTGGACTTCCATTCAAATTATACTAATCGATCATTAGAAAAGTCAATAATCTCACCTATTAATCAGCATTCTATCCACCAATTGCTGCTCATTTTCATTACTAATTGAAGCTAAATGACCACCAAGCTCATTACACTTATTCTCAGCACCATCCCATGTCATAAGTTCGTCGAACGATGCAACGCAATATTGACCAATGAGTATCCATCCGAAGGCACATTGTGACACTATATTTTCTATTGGAACAGCTGTATATTCAAGATTTAGAAATGAAATCTCTTTTTTTACATTATTTTCACTCATGATCGTTGTACTGTCGAGAACATTTGTGCTAGAAATTTGTTGCATTGTCATTTGTTGTCTCTTTGTTATTCGAATAAGCAATACATTGTCTGGCGATGCGAGTTTAAATTCAATATTTGCTTTACGATCGGACAATTTCAAACATTCACTCCATTTCTCATTCATTCGATTGATAATTTCGATTAAAATCCATTCGCAGTCAATCTTTCTGTGACTCTCGAATGTAAACGAGTCGGTGTTAGGAGCAAAATTCTCTAATTCTATAAATTCATCATCGATCTTATTATAGTCTAAATGCATTGAATGGTCATCGTTGCGCGTCGTCGAATGTGTCATTTGAATGTCACGTACGACATTCGGCACATTATCACTTCCATTAAGGCGTAATTTTAATGCAATATTATGGCCAAATGGTAAATGTATTTTAAAATGACATTTTAGTGCCAAATGACTCATTGGCTGAATTATAAATGAACTATTTTGATCCATTAGTGTTACATTGTAACAATAGTCGACGAGCTTATAAACGAAATAAAATTTCGGATAATTAAATATACTAAATGATGTGTTGTCGAATGATTGGAAGTAAAGTGTGCGTTGAGATTCGGACAATTCCTCAAGCTTTCCACATAATGTAATTGTTTTGTTAAATCTTATAAAACCGCCACTGGTACATGGCACATTTAATCGCATTAATCTTACAAGCATCCCAGGTGGTTGACTTTTATATTGATTTTGTATTAATTTCGGAAAATGGAATGTGCAATTTTTATATCGATAAGGAAGTAACGTTGAGTCTAACCATCCTGTAAAATCCTTTAATGTTAATGAACAATCTGTTGGAATGGAAGAAATTTGATAAGAACATTTATTTTTAGATGAAAATGTTTGTCTGTAATTAATGAAAGGATGAAAATTGAATAGTTTGTAAGAATATCTTCTTCGTATGTTTAAAGACCTTCTCTGAAGATTTAGTGAAGGAAAGGCAAGCTTTTGTGTTAAAAAGATCAAATTTCGTCTGTTCTAGCTTGGAAAAAGTTATTTTTTCCTTTAATTAACATTTAATGCTTGTTCCTTTATAAAATATTCGAGCTTATGAACAAGATTCTTTAAATATATTTAATTCCTTAACATTGTCAGCATCTCCTTCCTTGATTCTTCATCAAGAAATATTAAGCAACAAATTTTTCAATTAATTAAGAGATCATAATAAATTTATTAAGAACTCCGAATAGCACATGATGGAGAAAAGTTGCGTAATAGTTGCACGAAGATAGAATGAATGTAGCTGGCGAAAAGCTAAAATATAGTAATGCTGGAATTTGTCTCTAAGGCTACCAGAGGTGAGTTGAGTACAATTATTTTGAATTTAATTAAGAAAACCCAAGGGAGCGCTTTAAATCAGCCACAGATTCAATGAAATGCAGCAACAACCCGACCTTATGCAACTATTTTGCAACTTTCTTAATCTATGTGCCACTCGGGAACTCTCTAGCAAACATCATGTAAATTACAATTAATTTCGATTATTATAGCAATAATTATAGATTATTAATAATCAGTATTGAATTTACCATTATAATCATTTATAATCTTTAATTTCAAATTAATGAAACAATATTCTCGAACGACTATTCAATTTTCCATGATAATAGACTCTGTAACTTACCTTGAAGTAAACTTAATGAAAAATTAATTTCGAAAATTTCCCGTTTATTTCGATAACGGTAGAGTAGACTGAAATTAAAGAAACAGAGCACATAATTAGTTTCATTGGTTAAAGCGATTATTTTGATAATTTTCAAGGAGGAGAACGTAATGTAAAATTAAAAGGTTTTGGGTTTTTCGTGAAAATATCGATTTCTTGGTGATTATTAATTCAATGTTAAACTTGGCGCATTTCTACATGATATATAAGACGTATAAGATGTAAGACATGTCAGATTATTGAATAGATTATTAATTGACAAGGTGATGTAGCAGTTAAGTGCCTTGCTGGTCGAATAGGTAAGGCGCTTGGCTCAAATTTGGGATGGTAACTCGAAGGTCGTCGGTTCGAATCCAGCCATTTCCAAATTTGTTCTTTTTCGGAAGTTTAGATACTTCGACTGCTTAATGTACGAGATCAAGCCATAATTGGGCATTTGGGCAACGTTGGATTAAGGAACGGGTCAGGAACTTGAAGTGTAGCGGGAGAAATAGGAACGAGAGCTACAAGATTACCCACGAATGGAATATTGTTAGAACGGACCTGAAAAGTATCACGTAACGCCTACAGAAGATCGAAACGAGAGCCTTAGTTTATTTGAAACCTAGATATGAAGATTAGAAGTTTGATCCTACATAATACTAATTCATATGTATACAAATACAAAAGTGTAAAATGTGAATTATTTCCGGACAGTATGTCGTCAATAAATGCAATAAAGTGCAATTAAAATGAAAAAAAAATATGATGATATGGCTGTATATTATTATGATGACGACTAATACGCCCCCAACCTCCATCCATACATTAGCACTACTTTAGGATTGAACTGAGAGGAGGACTTTCACTTATTCAATATCCTATCAAATGAATGACCCTGCGGAGCCTTAATCCCTGGCCATTATGACAATTCGCTTATATCCATACACCTTGCCTCACTCAGTTACTTGGCGATAAAACATCCCTCAAACAATCCCATTAAAATCTCTAAATGAGAAACTTTTAAAGTCCCATTAAATTGTCGCTTATAATATATGACTATTAAAACTCATCTGTTGCTTCATATCTAGCATTACTCAGACTTAATGTAAATTTTATTCAATCCTTAAAAAAGGAGAATGGAAGGAGGAGAACTTTAGAAATGTCAAGGACGTGTGAACAAACTAGAAGCAGAACAACTTTTTATACTTTTATGAAAAAAGTTTACAATAGCAAACATGAATAACAATCGTATGTAGGAACACAAAAGGATACACTGGAGCTATTATAAAGCATGTTTAATAATGAAATGAATTTTTGTTCGAAATCAATATTTTCACATTTCGACTTATCCTTTTGTGAGAGTAAAAACTGTCATGTTTTAAAGGTCATGGATTAAAGCCTTGAAAGCATCGTTTTTCCTTTTCATGGCAAACCTTCTTGTGGTTTTAACTTAGAAAATTTCACATTTTCATCACAAAAGTGAAATTCCAAATATTGTGACTTTAAGTTTAATTCTTGTACCATAATAAACTTTTAATCTCATTTTGTCATAATTATTGAATGATGGATTTGGGTGTCACAGGTGCGTAGCCAGGAGGGTCTTGTCCCCCCCTTAAACGTTTTGAACTGCAGCGAGAGCACTGCCTTAAACGCTAAAGAGGGGGACAAGACCCTCCTGGCTACGCGCCTGGGGTGTCATAACCATTGAGTTTCTTGGAACATTGCATAAACATTCATAATGAATATTAATGGACAACGATACAATAATATTTAATGTACAGTATTTCGATGAACTGTCGGTACTTTTACGTTTCACAAAAAAAAGTTTATCAACACATGAAATAATTGTTTGAGTTTTAATTAACTTTTCTAGTCAGTATTTCAACAGTAATTTAAATAACCCTGAGGTGTAATAAAACTGACGAAATGTTGGAAATTGAATAAAAACTTTTTATGATGCTAAAACAATAATCATTTGGATTCTCTGAGCGTTTTGCTGTAATTAAATTTAAAAATTACCAATTATGGATGATTTAATGACGTAGTATGAGTTTGGTGACTTTAAGAGTGGTCTCAAGTGTCATATTATCAAAGTTATACTCCTCTTTATCAAACTTAATCTTTAACCCGTTCTTTACTAGCGTAACATATATGTTACGCCAACTTTTTCGTTAAATTCTCTGCAATAATTGATTTTTCATTGAATCTGATTCATGATTTACATTTATAGCTAGATCAAGGACCTCCCTTAACATTTAATGTTGCTTAATTATGTAAATTGGAGAAGTTAATTAAACTTTTCTTTCACATGGAAAATTTAGTCATTTTGCAACTCAAAATTTCAACATTTTCTGACACATTTTTGATCAGAACTGGACAGATTTATAAAGTAAAGCATCTATAGTTATAGTTAATAACTCATTTATAAAGATAAAGCATAGTTAAATACATTAACTATGTGACGATAATAAATGTAACATATGTGTAACGCTAGGAAAATACGATATAAATTGCCCGTTACATATGTGTAACGCTAGTTTTTCGCAAATATTTTAGTGTTTTGGATTTAAAATATTATTTAATTAATTAAATTAATTTGGCTTTGATATAAGCCAAATCATTATGTGTACGGCTAAATCATGATAACAGTGACGTATTTTGTGGCCAATATAATAAAATTAGTGTTTCAAGGAAGATATTTTTACATTTGAAAAAATTTGATGAAAAAAATTAAGAGAAAATTTGAAAGTGATTTTTCTATGATTTAGACTGATTTCGCGTGATTCATAGTTCAATGATTAATAAAATAGAGTGAAAATAATGAGTTGGTGAGGTATGAACGCTAAAAAATGTCCCATTTCAAAGATATGACATAAAATAAAAGTGGAAATATTTTTGAGTTATTTTCGTTTTCCTATGTATTAGAGTGTTTAAATTTAAGTCCAATTATGTGAAATAGCATATAATTAATTAAAAAGTATTGCATTATTGACACATGTAAAGCAAAGAGGTAAAATACAAGAATTAAAGTTTTTGGAAGAAAAAAATTTTTTGCTTGCAAACTCCTAGCGTAACATATATGTTACGGACAAAATTTGTTAATTCTATTAAATCAGTGCATTTATTTGAGCCAAACTCTTCGTCAAACTTATTTTTATACTGTAATTCATCAAATAAATGCACTCTAATGTCCCAAAAAAATTCCGTAATTAACGGGTTAATTTGACAAAGTGTGCTCAAATTATATTCAACAGGAATTTAAAATACGTGCTAAGTAGATAACTCCAGGCGCGTAACCAGGGGGGGTTGTCCCTCAAACTGTAACCGACAACCCCCCCGTTAAAAGAAATTTCTTCATTTTGGTATGAAAAAATCATAAAAATTATAAATGAATCTCCCTTCCCTCTGAATTTTCCATATAAAATTTTTTTTGTCCGCCCTCTTCAAATTCCTGGCTATGCCCCTGGATAACTCTTATAGTGAAGTCTCATTAAAGATCGTCTAATTGGTCATGGAAGATGAAATGACTTGAACTGCAATAATCTAATTTTAGTTCACTAAGTTTTCAGCGAACTTACACAGCCTCCTTGAAAATCTAGCTTAAGATCTCAAACGACACAAAAGTGACGAGGGAATTCATATTCAATCCATGCAGCTGAATAAAGTCTTGTTTGCAGAACCAGGCTCCATGCGACTCTAATAGATTGTGGATACATTGACATCTCATTTTTAACTTTCTTTTGAAATGAGACTCATTAAATGTTCCTTACTAAACTTGCTGCTTTCATATTTCATATTCATTAGTAGAAGAGGAAATGAATACAGAGTGATAAATATAAAGAAGTACTTCATTCACTTGACAAAATTTTAATAGAGGGAGAAAAGGTAAATGAATGAGAATTGGAAATGAAATAAAAAAAAAATCTTTTGAATATCAAAAATCCAAAAGGAATCTTTTAAAACTTATTGAAGCTTGAAGCCCGCGTAAAATAAATATTCACTCGAATAATCAATTTCTATGGTGATTTTTCGCGCATCCTTGGATCTTCTCTTTAGCATGAGAGGAAAAAAAATCAATGAATTTACTTTGACTTTACGAGTGGTAAGGTCAATGTCACGGCTTGAAACTTGATACTTTATTTATAAATCATCAATTTGGTATGATGTGCTTGATTTATTTAGAATAAAATAGAGAATTTTAGAAATTTGATGAGGATGAAGTCGATATCAGGGGAAGGTAACTTCTTGGTGGGACATAAATGATCACTAGCATCTCTAAGAACTAGAGTGTACAAAAATTAGTATCAAGGAAGCATGAAGTTTGTTTAAATGAAAAGGAATCCAGAGTATTGAGCCATATAACATAAAATCAGCCATCCAGATTAATTCTTTTGAGACGAAGAGTTAATCTATAGATTGAGTCTCTGTTTTGTAAGCATGGGTTTAATTCTTTTTGAAAGACTACATGCTGTTCTTTTAATAAAGACAATATGCCTCAAAACTTTAGCTGAATAATTAAATATTTTGAAAACGGCTGCTGCAAGTTATCCTTGACAAAAAAAAAGTATCATTTTTAACTAAGCGTAACCTGACTAATTTGTTTAAACAACTCAACAAAAGCTCAGCAAATAAATTTGCCTCCAAAAAATTGAATGTGATCTAACACGTATAGGCAAAATATGATGTCATATAAAATTTCAATGAAGGTTCAACATGAGCCGTAACATTTTCATAAAAAGCTTGTAAAAAAGCATGTACAGATCCTAGTAACAAGATATGACAAATTCATGTACCAACAGTCCTCGAGTTTATTTGTATTGAATATTTTCAACAGAAAAAAAGAAGCGTCTTTATTCAAACTGACGTCGATGGTGTGAAAACCTTTTCTCTTGTATTGTAATCATTGACGAACATTTTCCATCTCAAAACCTTCTTTTTTTATAGATTTATAAACATTTTTAATGTAGATACTCGTAAAATTAAACAAAAAAAGTTCACTTTAAGTTGACAATCCTTCCGAGAAATGTTGATTTTATTCTAAACATTTCGAAAAAAAAGAGTTTTTCTGTGCACATAAAAAATTCATTAAAACAACAAGAGAATACGTAAGGATCATAAATTCTATACGGAAAAAAAATCAACAGCTTTTTTCAAAATTCATTGTGATTCAAAATGTTATTCAATTTTTATGTGGCCAACACGAATTTGAGTTTTCTAGTTTTTATTTGACTTTTTAATACCACATGCTGCTCAGGAACAAATATATACATGAATACGACACGAGAATGGTAAGAAAAAGTTGGCAATGTTTCAAGTTGTATAAAAACGTAAAGAAAAAAGTACAATTTCGATCGAGTGAAATAAAATTTACGCTAAGTGCTTCCACAAAAATATTCATTGAAGCTTATTGAACTCTTTGTAAAACGGAATGTGAGTTTAGGTTGTTTGCTATTTTTTCTTGCTGTCTGTTTGTTGAATAAGGTTTGAGTTTGCTTTAAATTTCTTAGTAAAGTTTAAAAACTCTTAGATTTATTTAAGTGTCAAAAAGCTTTTCGAACTGTCAAAAGACTATCAGTTTATCAAAAAAATCTCGATGTATTATCAAAAAGGTTTTCAAGTTGTCAAAAAGCTTTTCCAATTTATCAAAAAGCTTGCTGAAAAGCTTGTTAAGCAGACAAAAGCTGGCAAAATTGTCTAAAAAGCTTTCCAAGTATTCAAAAAGCTTTCCAAGTAGTCAAAAAAGCTTTTCAAGAAGACAAAAACTTATCAAGTTGTCAAAAAGCTTTTCAGGAAGTCAAAAAAGCTGTTCAAGAAGTCAAAACTTGTCAATTTGTCAAAAAGCTTTTCTAGTTTGTCAAAAAGTTTTGCAAGTAGTCAAAAAGCTATTCAAGTAGTGAAAAAAGCTTGCCAGATTGTCAAAAAGCTTGCCAAGCTGGCAAAATTGTCTAAAAAGCTTTCCAAGTAGTCAAAAAAGCTTTTCAAGAAGTCAAAAAAGCTGTTCAAGAAGTCAAAAACTTGTCAATTTGTCAAAAAGCTTTTCTAGTTTGTCAAAAAGCTTTGCAAGTAGTCAAAAAGCTATCCACGTAGTCAAAAAGCTATTCAAGTAGTGAAAAAAGCTTGCCAGATTGTCAAAAAGCGTGCCAAGTTGTTGAAAAGCTTGCCAAATTGTATAATAAAACTGTAAAATTGTAAATAAAGCTTGTCTTTTAATCAAAAAGCTCGTCAAATTGTCACGATGCATTTTTTCAAAAAATTCGCCCTAATCCTCATTGCCACAAAATCTCTCCCAACTTCCATATCATCGAATTCTGTCGCGGCATATTTTGTCTTCCGTACGCAAATTTTTTATTTACTTAAATGGATTTTCTTCGTCTTCTTCTAATTTTACCTTATCTTCATACGTGTAATAGCTCGATGATGTCTACAGTCGAATCGTACCCAAAAGAGCTTTTTACCGAAGAATATTTAATACAAAATATAAATGTATGAGACATTCTCATGTATATGTAGACATTTCTGTCTGTCATCGACAAACATAAAGTTGATTTCATTACATTTATTCACTTTGCCGAAAAAAAAAACTTTGGAGGATGTATGAATATAAATTATTGTCATTACTGTTATGATGATGATGATGACGATGATGTGGTGGTTTTGACTCTTCTATAATTCCATTTTATTACCATTATGTTAGGTTAATAAAACTTTTTATCTTAATTTTTATTGCTTTTCAAAATGCGGCTTATGGAACGTCAATTTGCTTAATGTACTTTATTCAAATCATCTGAAAAAGATTCATTAAGGAGTTGGATGTTTGATGAACGACATTAAGATACGAGTTTTATGCTTGATTATTGAATTTTGGGAATTTAAGCTGTGATAAGTTCTGTGAATGAATTTATTTGGATTTGTTGTTATTGATTTTTTTAAGAATCTAGGGATCTAAAGCTTTAATAATTAAATCCATCAGCATAAGAGCTATTTAACCAAAAGCAACATCTAATCCACCTTTAAATTCCCACAAGAACAAATTGAAACACTTTTGTGAGAAAATTAATTAACATTATTCATTCTAATCCAAAAAGCTAACCTTACAAGACACTTTAGTCAGCATAATCTTTCTCAACATTCATTTTGCCAAGGAAATTTCAAAATCTTCGTCTCTTTGACAAATGAAAGAAGCACAAAATTAATTAAATGCACAATCTGGTAATTAAATTATTGCATTTATCAAAAGTTTCAATCACAGATTTCTTTAATTAAAATCTATTAGCAATTTCATTTCTAAGTTTTGAAATGATCAAAAGATAATTTAATTATGAGAACTTTATTGACGTCAAACGATATGCAGACATTTTACTTTAGAGATGTAGACAGCTTGATAAACTTTTTTTTTCATCGTCTGAAGTTTTCCAATTTCCTAAACATTACATACACACACACATACTGATTCTTATCTTAAATCTCAAAAGTTCTCATGAATTTTCCAAAGCGTTTCTTAACAATAAAATGAATTTGAAATGTAAGCATTGATGCTCTTGAGAATGCCCTTGAATTTTACATCCTCTATAATGAGAGAAATGTTATTCTAATTTTAATCCTGGTGGGAAATTTTTTTTGATTCTTTTATAAGTGAAAAGTGAATTTTTATAAGTTTTTTGAGGGGGATAACAACGTGATGGAGAAAGATTGGGAAATTATCTATCAATTTATTATGCAAATTTTGATCTTAATAAAAATTCTGATTGTGGTGGCAAATTGTTGGCAATTAATTACAAAAGATTTTTCCTTCATGTTGTTTTCCCCTCGGTGTTTTTGTGTAATAAGTCGTAAACTTAAGAAAACCATCAAAATCACATGTTTTTAGAAAACATTCAACCTCTGTCACAAAACTAACGAAAATGTCAATAACCCCCCTCCCCCTATCCTCCCCACTTTGTGTTGTTTATTCATAGACACAAAAAAAAAAGATTTCAGCTTCAAAATAACAATAAAATCTTCAAAAACTAAGACTTCTTGATATTACATGAAAAATTTAAGATTGTAGAATGCTTCAATTCTAGATAAATATATTCACATGAATATAAACTTAAAAGCATCCATATCAGACCCTTATCATCATGTGAACATTAAAATAAGAGAAAAATTGTTAACACAAAAATAAACTCGAGAGAGAATCTCCGACTCTTCAAATTGATATGGAAAGTAGCTTGAAGCAACAAGATCATTTTGTATGTAATGGAACAGGTTGGCATGTATTTAAACGGAAATATGATGTAACAGAAGAGAAAAAATATGGAGAATTATGTAAATTGCCTCATTTAATTGTCGAGCATGTTTTCTGTATAATCTAAACTTTTTTTTTGTTAAGCTTTTATATAGTCGACCATTAGTCTCATGTCGCTTTTGCTATTCTTTTCTTATTCACACACAAAGCTTATTTAGTGGGTAGGATTTTGGTATAAATAATCTGGCTTTAAAAGGCATAAAATGGAGATTGAAACTATGAAGAAAAAAAAACAATTTTCTATATGAATTATTTATTCGTTCATAAGCAGTTAAATTCAGTTGAGTGAGGACTAAAATACATTTCCATCTATCCATTCAATCTATGAGATGGAAAATGGAATACTAAATGTCAGCTTTTATTTTCAAAACAAGAACTCATCTCATGTCGTTCTATTATCCATGAGAAAATTAGTTTTGAGAAGACTTTAGGCTGCGTGATGACTGACAAGACAAATTTTCATTTAAGGTGTCCAAAATGATTAGACTCGTACAAAATTTTGAATTTATAATAGTCATATGATGTGAGATTCTGAATTTTAGATTCTGTCTCTTCTAAATCACTAATCTGATGTTCTTTTGGTGTCTGAATTGACCAAATGCCATGAAATCGATATCATAGTACCTAATCCTGACCTGGTTCCTAATCCAGACATTAAAACCCAAAACATTTTACAACAATAAAATAGTAAAAAGAAAAACTTACCGAAAATTTACTAAAATGCTTTCGTTCGACAGCTTAACATCGCCAGTTGTCCAATTGAGTGTCACTTTTTCGTCACTTAAGCTAAATTTATGATAAAGTACGTTTCGTTCACAGTCATTATGCTCAATAACGCTTTGCTTTTTGTTATTGCTATTACGATTTGCATCTAATTTTTTATTATCACTATCCGACGTTACGATTTGTTGAATACCATTTCGTACAACTTCATTGGCATAACCGTTTCGATGATAATCTACAGGTGTCTCTGGAAATATTCCTATTACATTTCCATTTTCCGTCGTCGACTCGAGTATGAAATCAATGATATCGCGTGGCTGAGGTTGAGGAACTTCAACTGAAAAGAAAAATTAAGGAAAAAACAAATGAATAATTAATGATATTATACCGTGTCAGATCAAATGTATGTCAATTATGTAGACGTATCCAATGAGGAGTCATAAAAATTTAATAAATTCTGTTGTTTTCTTTTTTATGAGGAATAAAACTTTCACGTTTGATCTTATAAATATTTAAAAAAATACATTAAAAATGTAATTCTTTTACGGATGCTCAAAAAAATTCAGGCTTTGAGGTAAATTCGATTTGTCTGTCACACGACCTCCAATCTCCTTTCCTCATATTGATTCTTACATAAAACATTTATTTTTGTCGTATGCCTTATTGCCAAAAAAGAAACATATTAAAAGTGCTTCCTTTGTGTCGTGCAAGAATGCTGATTGAGAAATACAAATATGTGGAAGCTCTTTTATGATCTAATTTTATGGGATGTAAAATGTTCTTGCGTTATTAAATTGATTATCGTCGTATGACGAAACATTAAAATTTATTTTGTAGAAGAAAGCTTCATAGATGTTATTGAAATAACTCTATCTTTGGATTGTCATATCGTTTTGCTAATGAATTTAATGTTTTGAGAAATTGATATGATGGATATGAATGTGAATAGAAGGAAATTGTGTGGAATTGATGATGTAGTGCTAACATATTTTTTTTGAAAATTAAAGAAATGACCATGGAAAGACATGAATCTTGGGCTTTAACTTAACTCTCTCAACTTATATGCGTAGCAAGGATTTTGTCATCCGAGCCACCGAAACCCTCGATTTTGAAGCTCGCTTTTGAAGAGTTCTTAGGATTATTTTGACGTTAACAGAGCCATTTCACCTATCATTCTCTTACCTAAGCTACTGAGCCTTAATTAATCCATAAACTTGTTCATTCCAAATTCAACACACTTCCAAACCTTTCATTAAATCTCAATTACACATTTCAGCACGAACAGCATCAAAAATTCACTCAAAAGCCCCCAAAAATTAAGTTTAAAATTACAAAAGAGTTCTCAAATCCCTTTTTCGTCTCATAAACAGCAACAAAAACTGGTCAAAAATCTTATCAAGAGTAGGAACCCAAATATTTGAGTCGACATCAAGTCCCTTTTGACCACAACGAAATAAAGCATGATTGAATAAAATTAAATTCTATTAAATATCTTGAGACGAGAAATTATTTCGAGAGAAAGACTTGAGAAAATTTCCATCAATTGTTCATCATGAAAAAAGGGTTTCCTCCATTAAATTAAGGAAGGCTTATATGATTTATAAAGTTGAAGCAATATATGGCGACTCAATGAGTTTTGAAAGCATTTTTAACATACCATTTTAAAATTCAAAGCCATATTTATTTATAGTTCATCACATTTCATTAACAAAAGGAAGTCTTGTGGTGACAATAGGAAAACTCAAAAAAGATTAAACTCTTGAAAGATTTGTGTCATCTTTAAAACCACATTTTCATGTCATTGGAAAAGCATTAAGGAGTATGAGGTGATGAATAGATTTGAAATATTCAAATGGAACTTCTTTAATCAAGAAAAGGAACTGAATAGCTTGTTTAAAGTTATATTTTTTTTAAAAAAAGAGATTTGATGCTCAATACTGTTGCTACCCAAGCAATTCTAACCAAGGATGTACTTCCCAAAAAGCACAGCTGAAATATTCTGGCATACAGCTGATGATATGCCAGCTTGGGGTTATATTCGAGTCAAAATCCACTTCCTTTATCCGTATTAAGCTGTCTCTTCCAAGTCAGTTTGTAAAAATTACCATAGACCAAAGTTGTACATTCTGATTACCTCAAAACCTAGTTTTAGCAGCAAATACACCGAAGATATCATTACTAATAATCATAAGTCTATGCACACGTAACCAAAATCGCCGTCAATGAAAAAATCGACTTAAATGTACAATTTTTTGGATGATCCAATAGACGTCGATTTTTTATCCATTACATTCGTTTTTCTTGAGCCGCTATATACTTCACAAGTGCAATTAGAAATCACTTATATAAGGCACAGCCAAATTTTCATACAAAGTGTGATTAATTAATTAAATTAATTACATGCGAATTATTCATCTGAATGAAGACTTCGACTCTTTTTTTCAAAGACAAAATCCTTAATAAATTTTTTTTTTGGATTTTGTCTACAAATTATAGTATAATTAACATAAAATATTTTCATACAAAACAATTCAAAATTTTTCCGTTAACCGGTTTTTTTATTGTAACGGTCAAAAAAAATTTGATTTTGGTTCAAAAAAATAATCGACGTGAAATCGACGTAAAATCGACTAAAAATCGTCCCTTTTCATATTCGCATAATGTCCAATGTACGATACATGGAATGTACATATGGAACATACATGGAAGATTTTGATGTAATACATAAAATCTTCCATTCGTCGACTTATGGTTACGTGGGACACTAGATCCCATTACTCATAGAAACAGCACAATAAAAAAATATATCAATAGAATTGTTTGTTGAGGACATAAAGTCGGAGATGAAAGGAAAGAAGATAAATAAAAAAGAAAATTCAAATAAATCAGCATGGCAATTGAGGTAAATTAAATTACCTCCTAATGAATACAATTTTAAAATACTCATTGTCAGAATAAAGAATGACGATTGACGTCAACAATCAGAGTGTATTGACATTGCTATTGTACATAATATAAAAAGGAGAAGGAAAGAAGGAAGGAAATGGAAAGAATATATCAAAAGAAGAAAAATGAATGTACAGAAATAGGATTCAAAGAGCTTTTCTTATGCATAATCAAACATCTCCATTGTTCTGACTATTTGCAAAGAAAATATATAAACATATACATGCAAAGTTTAGGAATTATTTTATAAGCAGATAGCATATTTTTCATTGGCTTAGGGGGCTTTAAAGCTCGACATTCAATTTCTATGAATAGAAATCCTTCATCCAAGCTATAGTTCTTGAATCCAGATATACAATTGTGGTTCCTTAATCCTTTCAGAAAAGATTATGTCATGTTCAGGTAGAATCAAAAAAATCGAATGAATTTCTGCCAGAAAACCTCAAAAATGTTTTATTCTGTTGTTAAAAGCATCCTTACAACCAGGGTTGATAACAGTAGCCAGACTCATTTGAAACTCGAAATTTCGAGGATATTAAGTTTTCATGCTGGTATAGAAAATCTCAAGCATCACGAGAAATCAAACTCTAGTCTTAAAATCCTTACCGCAAACTATAGCTTTTAATCCCCATTCAACACCCCTGCCACAACCCATATACTCACAAGCAGCATCCATTCATTCATGATAATATCAAACATAAGAAACAAGATAAAGATGAATAGACGATAATGGAAATTGAGATGTTGTTGAGATGAGAAATGTTCATTCATCATTGTGAATGGCTGGTAAAGCACATAACGAATTGTGGTTTGCGACATTTAGATTGATTCGTGAACTGCACGACTAAAATTTGTTTATGTCAATCACGCAATTTCGTGACAGTTTGGTGGATGTTGTTGTATCAACAATTGGAATCGATGAAATTGATTGTGTGGAAATGAAATTGGGTTAAAAAGATTGAGATGTGGGTTTTGTGGATTAAGAAAGTTTAGTATGGGGATGATCATAAATCATGTTCTGATTATATTATTTAAAACTTTTAAATCCTCATACTTCCTGCTTTTTGGAATCTTCTTTAAACGATGATAATTTCTAGAGCATGTACATGCTTCTAGACCATTTAAAATGTAGAGATATTCTCAACTATAAACCTACATTCTTAGCAAGCATACATAAAATTCCAACATTAAAGCCTCAACATTCCTTCCTATAAAATGTGAAATCTAAAGTTTTCTTTTCATCATCTTAATCTTTTTCATAAGAATCGTACTCAAGTGTTCACGTTTTAAAACTACAATATACAGTTAGACTCGAGGGGAAATCAGCATGATGGGAAAAAATTTAACTTAAATTTTCCATCAAAATTTTGTTTGAATTTTGGTGCGAATTTTCCATCAAATTTTTCCATCATGTTGTTCTCCCCTTGATTAAACGATACTTCCGCAGCAGTTCTTGCATGCTTGCTATCAATTCTCAAACGAATTTAATTATATACAATAAACTAGCCCGAGCGGCACAAGGTGGAGGGTGGTCTCCATATGGAATCCATATGAAAGCCACCTCCACTATGTGGGAAGTAAATGGAGGGTTATTTTTTCATCCTTCATATTGATTCCATTTGGTTTCCATATGAACTCCGCTTTTTCTTAAATCAAATACCGAAAAACTCGTGCTTTTGAATTTTTAAAAGACAAAGGTCAGATTATACTGTAATGGATTGAAATATTGTCGAAAAGCTTTACTGAATCATATTGCTTCATTTCAAGCTTTAAAAAAGCAAAAAAGGATAATTTTTTGTGATTTTGTATGAAATTACATACTTCACAAGCGCATGCAGAAATCACTATTATATGGGGTCGTTTAATTTGTATGAAAATTTTTAATAATTTCTTATGTTTCTCACGCGTGTGATCGAGACTTAGAAATTGCTGTGGTTGCGACTTAATTAAATTAAGTTGTAAATTTTTCAATAGTGTTAGTGTACTTTAATTAAGTCCACTAATACAGCTACAAATCTTGATATAAAAATTGCGAAACATAGAAAAACACGTGGAAAATCGTACCAAAAATCCTTTGAAAAATACTTCCATTAAACCTCCGTTTGACTACCACAAATGGATCCTCCATCCTCCATCAAAACCTCTCAAATGACTTGCATTTGGTGTTAATAAATGCACGTCCCACGGAGGATTTTCGGAGCTTTGGCTCCGTCAAAGTTCCATGATAGTAAGGTTTTCGGAAGATTTTCAAATGGAGGGTGGAACATGGAGGCTCCGTATAGCTTCCATATGGAAGGCAAATGGAGCCTTTGTGCCGCTCGGGTAGAAACCTTAACCTTCTCTCAAGGTTCGCTTCAAATGCGAAAACGATCTATATTCGATATTCTCATG